CCCTTCCTCTCTCTCTCTCTCTCTCTCTCTCTCTCTCTCTCATTCTCTCTCTCTCTCTCTCTCTCTCTCTACGTCCCGCCTCTCTTCCTCTTTTTTATTTTCTTTCCTCTTCTCGACATATATGATTTCGAGGCATCCGAAATGTCAGGCGTGGCTAGCGGGAAGCTAAGCTCGTCTCGATATTGGCGGTTCTCGGGTAGTCGTAATGAGACTAGGCGGCGATCTGGAAGTTTGCCGTCGGCCAAAGAGAGGGGAGGGAGGGGAGGGATGTAGATCTCTTGCCTAGAATAGCGACGGGCGCTCTTTCGTAATCCCGAGATGTTGGGGTGGTGATTTGACCATCCCGTGCGCCTCGGAGGCGCCTCGTGCTCCCAGCGTGTACCTCCATACATGTGTAGGGGGTGGTGTGGTGGTGTGGGTGCGCGTTGGCTAGGGGTCGGGGCGGCGCGTGTGCGTGTGCGACTCGCCCAATTACCTATGTTGGCGGAGCACAGGAGGAGAGACAACGACAGCGGGAGAGCTGCAGGTCAATGAATCCGGATCCACGGTGCAAAACCCAACCCGGTTCCCGGGTCCCGTCAGCGTTGATCACTTCACTTGTCATAAGTCAACCCTGTCAACGTCTTCTCTGACTGGGTGCGTAATCATTATCCCGTCGAGAGGCATCGAGCCACCGAAGACGAAGCGGATCTGCCATTCTCTAGCTCTGTGCTTCTCTGGCCCGTACGCCTTGCTGACTGCGCTTGCTTTTGACGCAGAACCGTCTGGCTTTATCGTGGCCTGCCTAATCTCGGGCACGACGCTCGCCAGCCCACCGGGATAGACCGGCCGGTATTCCGCCCGGCACTCCGCTTGTGCATACTCGTTGGGCACCACGCCTCGACGAAAAGCCCCGAGCCCTCGGCAACGATACGCGTGCGTAGTCCCAACCGATTTTTGGGTCTTCGCCAGCCCAGTCAATCAATTTTCGAAATTGCAGCTGGGACGCTACGTGTTTCACACCGGGGCGACAAGGATGGTCCTGGACGGCTACGGTGAGGGCCACGACGACGAGTTGAGATGTTGTTGGGCGCCTCTGCGGCATATTAGCTGTCTCGGTTTAGACGACGCCGGGCCTCCGTGGGTACATGGCGGCTATAGACACGTACCTACCATTACGCTAGCCTGCCTCCTACCCGCCTCGGGTCGATCTCTCTCGCCTCTTCCGCACCTCCCCACGTAGGTACCTACCTAGGTGCCAGACGGGTCTGCCTGCGATGGCCTAGCAATGAGACTGCGGGGATCGCAGTGTACTGCTTCTGTTCCTATTTACTGTTTTTATTTATTTATTAGTACCTTTTCTCTACGTCTGCTTGTTCTCGGGAATACCTTCAGTCCCGGCAACGAGCGTCGTTATAAGCAGTTACGGCCTAACCAAAAGGGGGTTATGTACTTATACCTATGTAGGCATTATGAGCATGCATAGCACCTCTGTTCTTCTCCACACGGATCCGTACAAGGTACATCGGCCACCCGACCTAGCCTTAACCCTTCTTGGCTTTCCGATGGGTGGGAAAGACGCCGCATCGCCCATCGCACTGTGAACCGACAGCTGGCTGCCAGTCGTCACCCTTACACGTGTGATTGGCCCCTTTTACTTCGGTCACCCCCGTTGTCGATTACGGCGGTCAAGCCACATTCCGCTGTGGTCCCCCTTCCCCCACCCACGGCTCCCCACGCCCTCTTCCACCATCTTCCGCCCTTCTCTCGTCTCATCCCCTCCCGTCTCTCCTCTCCCTCCCCTCCCAACTCCCACATCGTGGCCCGCCGTCGCAGCCAACGCCATGTTGCCATTTCGCACACAGGTCGACGCTGGCTGAACACGAGATCGGAATTAGCTCGACTCAGAACGGCCGCCCCCCCCCTCTGTCCGCTCGATCCGCAACCCTGCCGCTCCTCTCTCCCCTGATTGACTATTCATCGCCTGCCACAACGGTTTCCCGCATCCTGGGCATTGCCACGGCCACTCATCTTACCTGAGACCCTGGCGGGACGCCCTGGCTGGAATGCGTCTGCGCCCTCCACCCTGTCGATGCTACCAATGACACACAGACTGCCATCTGGCAGGCATCGATCAGAGCTTAGGTGGTGATGCGGCGACTCAGCGGGCCGCATTGGTCGACCCTCGCTCTGTCTTATGTATGCAACCACCTCGTGTCCTCGTGTGAGTGATACCTACCTATGCCTTCTCCATCGCATAAATCGCTGCCCTGTTTCTTCTTTCTCCATGTTCCACCGACAGCAACGGAGAGCGAGAGAGAGAGAGACATCCGTGTCGCTTCCGTCAACCAACACGTTCACTAGCGATCGATGGTTTGATTTAAACTACCCTGTCGACACCCATCCCGACCCGTTGCTGTCGACACGACCCACCCAGCGCACATGGGACGCCGTGGTAGTGGACTCTATTGGGACCTGCCATTTGCGACAATACCTCGAACAGGAAAAGATAGGATGGACAGAGCCGGGATCGTTCCGCATCCACGGACCTTACCCAGGGTAGTAGCCTACCACGTCCCCCTGCCGCTGCGCTCGCTCCCTTGCTTCTGGAACAACGTGCTTGTAATCCGCCCTTCATTCTCGAAGTCGGTTCGTGGGTGCGCATCGGCACAGCGAGACGCGTGGTAGCGTAGTAGCTGTGTCTATTTACAGTTAGACACAGGAACCCTCATCCTCCCTGCCCCCCCTTTCCTTTCTTTTTCTTCTTTATTTTCTTCCGTCTTCCCCTTGTTGCGGACAACCCATCGTGTTGGCGTTTTTTAACAGCACGTTTCCACACTTCAACACGCCTACATGGCATACATTCACCTGTTGGCCTATCCTGCCCTCAGCTTCGCCAGACCTTCGGTATCACAACTGACGCGGTATTCGCTGGCCCTGTTCGCCGTTCTAGCTGTATCCAGAAGCGAGTTGCGACAATCTAACTCGCCGCCCAACGCTGGCACCGGCGGCGGTAACGGACGACGCCCAGGGTGAGGGGTATTTGCAAAGCCGCCATGTGAAGTTTTTGCACACACATCCCTCTCGCCAACGGGTCTGCGAGGATAGAGAGGATAGTGATTTCCATTGTTTCCCCCTCCTTCGTCTACCCCCTGGGCAAAACAGGTTTGATAATAGTTATGGAAGAAAGTGTGGGAGCACGAGGCGACGATGAGCCGTTGGCACGACATCGCCAATCTTGCAGACGGCCACAGGCATCCGCGGAGAGGCACTATCAAGTTACGGTGCCAGGAAGACCACCGGTAACTGAGCGAGCGTTTCCGCATATCTACAATGTTATTATTGTCGGCGGGTCGAATCCATGGCGTCTCTTAGATTCCCTGGGCTGGTGGTGAGGTGAGGCCTACATCAGCCCAGATCTCATCGTTGAACAGCATTCCCACCGCCATTCCACGCGGCACGAACGGCTTTCTGCATAGTTCGGCGGGGTTCGTTCGTGGCCCGGGAAAGCACCCGCCCGTCAACGTGTAGGGGCGAGGGTTGACAAGTTGGGGTTGGGTTTTGCGGGTAGTACGAGTGACACGAGTGCGTCAACCACCCCGAGCATTATCTTGGCTCAAGCCGCAGTTGTTGAGCCGGCGTGACCACTTGGCCCTCTCCTACTACATCAGGACGCCTGCTTCCCGGCCAATATAGCCACGGTGAATTGGTGATTCTGCTTTCGGCACATCAGAACGCTCGAGTGGGACCGCCTATCCCTTCGGATTCCGATGTCCTCAGTACCACTTCGGGAACCCATAACCGCGTCATTAATAATTCTCTCTCTCGGATCCCCTCTTCTCGATGGGTTTATGAGAGACTTTTTTTTGGTTTTTATTTTTTGAAAAATCGTCGGGGTAATGAGATGATCCTGCCGATTTGTTAGTGTGTTTCAAGCGCGCTGGTCATCCTCTCTCCTCCCCCCCCCCCTCTCTCTCTTCTACCGCAGGACCAACTCCGAGGTCTTAACACGACGTAAGTCTCATCTTATTAGGTGATGAGACCTGTCATTTCAGAGCTGCCATCCTAAGATCTGAGGCTGCTCATCGGAAATATGCATACTGCATGTCTTGGGTGTTCGTCACTCACTTGTATAACCGTTGCCCCTTTTGGCTGAATACATCGTCGGATGGAACGCCCACGTCGACATCGACCAATTGTCAGCCCGGTAAGCCGGAGACTGACCAACTTTCCGTCAGCGTACTGTCCGTGTGCGCCACAATTCTGTGCCAATTTTCGAGCTGCTGCAGAGCTTCCGCGTCTCAACGATCCCCTTTCTCTTCCCAGCAATGCCTCAAAAGGCGCGACGATTCTACCCGCATGTCTCGAGGATCGGAGCAAATTACGTACGCGACTCTACCTACACCTGCTCAAGAGAGGGCGTCCCGGCGGCTTGGTGATAGGCAACATCGGTTACGGACAGCAACGCCCACCGGGCTAGCGCACCATACTAAGCAACGATATTAACCTCGTCGGATAGGATCCACAGAACCGGTCTACGACTCGCGCGCCTTTTCGGGCGTCTCTTCCCATCCGATTGTGGCTTATGGTGATGGGCGGGTAGGGCCGCTATCGTGTTGATGTCGCTTGCCTCATCTCATCACGACGCCCCGGTGGTGACTATTCCGGTCGTGATTGGACGAGGCAAGAAATGTGACTGTATCTAACTACCTTGAGCCTCTATCCCCGGAATCACGCGGATAAGTGTGTTTCACGATTGGTGACGCCCCCTTCCCCCCTCCCTCTCTTTCGGAGGGAGAGAGAGCGGGGGGAGAAGGGGGGAGGGGGGTGTTGGCCGATGAGATTTGTCTATACACAGCTTTCTGACATGCGGCACGAAAAAAATTTATGATACGTGACGTTATAGCGAGCTGCAAGGACGCCATGAAGCGCACAGTCAGACGCTGTTCCGTATCCTACTCTCCTATCATAAAGGGTTGACAAGCTAACTAGGGGCGAGTTGCACCTATGGGAAGAGGGCATCCTGGCCTCCCTCTGTCGATCTCACACCGGTGAGCGCCGCAATAAATATTCGTACTACGGTCTGTCTAGTCTGCGAACTGCGATTTGGGACGGAATGGCTCCTAAATCCTTCGCGATTCAACGTTCGGCAGCCATCCTTAATATCGTTATTTATCGCCTTGTGTACGAGGAATCTGTCTCGGCCAGGCAGTGGTCCTGGCTCACTACTACGAGAAGGTGAGAGACCGGCACGGTCCCATTGGCCTAGACTGAAGCTGGCCGATAACACCCTGTCGGTATCAGATCTTGCGCAAAGGGCGGGTGCCGGGGTTCTGACAAGGGTTATCATGCAAGGGTACTACTGAGCGTCCAGGGATCCTCTTTCTGGCTCTTGGTCCGTGGGGAAGCCGTGTGTAGTATGTGTGCGTGTGCGATTTGTGCTTGTGCTTCGTGGTATTGCACAAGAGACGAAAACATGTCCGATTGGAAACCGCACTGGCGATTCTCTGAGACAGCGACCCGAAGTCAACAACCGTCGCAGTCCGCAGAATCGTTGTCTGGAGCTGGCGCTTGCTGGCGGATACATACACAGGGCCGCCAGCCAAAGCACACAGCATCCGAAGACAAAGTCGAAGCGCCCCGGGCAACTAAGTTACGAGAGGCTAACTCGACGCACGCGCGGCACAGTACTACTTATATGTATCAGGTCGATTCAGCTTCCGATGTTGTATGAGCCCAAGCAGCTATCAACTCAGAAGCCTTGGGATAGGAATCGTGAGAAGGTATTTCAAGGCGCCCCCAGCTGTCAACCTAGCGACCGAATCGCACCTCAGGACCGTCTTCCCTGTCACAGGTCTTCGTCGACCCCCCCTGCCCTGTCAACTGTCAAGGCTGTCTCCTGGTTCTCGCTTACAATTAACAAGATTACTTATGCCCACCGGCCCCGCGCAAAACCCTGTACCCTGCAGCCCCCCAATCACTCGGTTACGATTACGATCGTTGCTACTGTACATGGCACAGTAGAGTAGCATTCTCAATAGGGTTCGCCGATTCACTATTCGGCGTACAGAACCTTGTCGAGCACAGGATAGCGCCGCCGCATGCCTGATCATATAACGACCGCCGAAGCCGCCAACTCCTGCCCCTTTCTTATCGAGATGGCCTCACGTACGCGATGTCCGGCGCTATGAGAGGGACCGGGCTAACGTCAACCTGTGTGTGTACGTGTATGTACTCGCACAATAACACCCGCATATTCCGCGGCAGGTTGCGTGTTGAGTGGGGATCCGTTTCTAGCACGTGTGGATCAGAGGGATAAACGGGCGTGTCAATCCCAAATGACGGAGTGCCTGAGCCAAACCGAAAACCAACCGTCTCTGGGTCGGACCCTTGTCGTTCAGTCATTAGATGGTCCGCCGATTCACCTGTTGTCCATCTTCCTGATTCTCCCTCTCAGTAGGTTTAGTACGGCTTTCGGGAGTTTGAACTGTATCGGCGGGCTCCCTAAGCAACGCCGACAGCCTTAGGACGGTTACGGCATTCACCGTTATCCCATCAATCTAGTAAGACCTGCGGAATGTTGTAGAGCAACACCTGCCTACCTGAGAGTGAGGTAGCGGGTTCCTGCTGCACCTAGCAAGGGGAAAATTTTCGAAGAAAAAAGAAGGGGGGAGGAGGGGGGGGAGTAGCGGGAAAGGAGAAGTGAGATGCATTTACCGAGTCGAATTGCCCTCCCGACTTACTACGTTATCGACAACTAGACCTACCAAGATGAGCAGGTCAGGCTGGACCGTGGGTGATATGTGATGGGTCGAGTACATTCCTGACACGCGTCCCTATGCCGCGCCGTTGCGGCTGCTCAATCGGGCAGTGTTGTCCGTAGGGCTGTCAGAGAAGACTAGGTGACCTAGTTCACCAACCGGTCAGAACTCCACGCAACTTCAGACCAGACGAGATTGCAATGCCCGCTTCGGCGGCCTGAGCGCCACGTCCCTGCGTAGTACGTAGTAGGTATTCCAGAGCGCATTTGATCGAGACGCTCAGGAGCTGCCACTACTCTCATAGGACCCAGGACAAGACTGTCTAGTTTTTGTTGCTAGGTCCGAAATCCACACGGCATGCCCTACGGGGGGAAGAAAGGAGAATGGAGGGTTGCGGGGCTACCCATAGACGGCCTACCGCGCTCACAAATTCAGGCCTGGAGATGTCGATTGCTACCAAGTGCTGCAGCGGCGGAAGATGGCTTCCGTGTCGATCCGGAACATCCCAAGTCGACCGAGCACTTCCACTCGGGAGCCAGGAGGGACTTCTCAGCTGCGCTCTGCTCATTTTCGGAAGCTACGAAGCGACAGCAGCAGCGTATGAGACAAATACCGACCATCGGCCGATGGGGTGACCTCGCTGTCTCCAGTCTGCTCGGGAAAGGCTCGCGATTCAGCGGAGACGACCTATCTCAGGCCTGGCCACTGCACGGATTAGAACCCGGACGCGGTCATTCAGACTCAGGCACCTAAAACTCGATGCTCCCCGGGCAGCTTATTGCGACCCTAGGACGGAGTCGCCACCTCCCGCGCGTTAACAATGATACGAGGATGGTGAGAAGTGGGATATGATCACCGCTACGTAGGTATGTATGCAACCCAGCGCGGGTCGTCGAGGAGGACTGGCAGCCAGACAAGTACCTCTACACGAACACACACATGCCGGCTATAGAGAGGATTGGCTCCTAGGCCATGGCTACCCGTCAAATGGCGCTAGAGGACAGACTGATACTGATCGAGGTTACGGTGGGCGAGACATCTACCTGCCATAGCACAAGAGGCATCGAAATGATGGCGTGATGCTACACCGCTATTATCAGTCGACAGCGAAGGTCGCGGTGCTTATCCTCATTTCGATTCGACGTCGAGAGCGAAAGGTTTAAATGTAGGTGTACAATTTGTGCATTTAGACATGCGCGCGGGATACGTCCATGGAGGTATATATGCCTACATACAGACCTCGGTGAGAGAGCCTGGAATGGGGGAGAAGGGTTGCCTAATCGCCGGTATACAGTGCTGTCCTGTCCCCCCACAACGGAAGGGGGTTAGGACCTTCAGGATGCATAAAAGGGGTGTCAACAACGCATACGGCTGTCGTCCCCAGGCAGCCTACATTCACCCCTGATCGCGTGACAGCCTGCCGGCGGAGTTCTTCCCGTCAGGACAATGTATGGACGTCTATTGTCACATAACAGATCAAATTGCCACCAGAGCGGTCAGTTCAGATACGTACGACGACACCAGCCACAATTTTGATCCCGTTTGAATGAGAAAGGGAGCGGGGATGTCCTCCTCTTCTCTTCTCTCCCCTATCCCCGGAATCCAGAGCAAAACACATACATGTACATACATATGCAGTAATGACAGTAGCCATATTATTACCGCTTGTTATTATACTCCAGCGATCACCTTTCCCGCAAGTAACCCTCCTGCTTCATCACGCATGGGGAAGGGCAGGGGGTCGGCGGCGCATGCGTGTGAGGACCAAGGGGAAGCGTCCCAGGAACCCCAGACAGCTCGCCAATTGCAAACAAAAGTGGTGATCATATCCGCGTTCCCCGTCTTAAAGTAACAGAGCGAGAGGGGGAAAAAGAGATCTATCATCGACACGTGGCTCGCCCGTATCCACGCTTCCCTCCACCCGATGAGTGACATCCGTATCCCTGTCGCCTAGGCCGCGGGACCCTCACTCCATCAACAACCCTCGACGATGAAAGACACGGTATATGTGGTGGTGACATATATAGGTATACATCGCGTATCCCGGCGTATCGCCTAGCTAGTTAGCGACGGGGGGGGGCAAGGGGGGTGGGGGGGGGTGAGGGGGAAGACCCTAGCTATACCTACGATCCCCCTACCACACCACGCTGGAGGCTCTCGTACTGTAGGTACATAGATAGTAATCTCCTAAGGCCCCTATCCTAGGCGAGGAAGCATCGACGCAGAATGAGTGCGTCTGTCTTAGGTAGGGGGCAGGGAGGCCTGGTAGAGCCTCTCATCCGAGCCCGAGGCCAGGATGGCAGTGAGGAGGAGTCTATTCCGGGGCAGGAAAGGGGGCAGAGAAGTAGCCGCTCCTCTAGGTAGGAGGACGGCCTTCGAGGCAGCGCCTGGTGAATTGGTATCCGGGCTTCCTGGAGCGGTGCCTGCGTAGAGAGGCACCTCTTCCTCGGCTCGAGAGCGTCTGCCTCTGCAGTTTCTTGCCTGCGATAGCGCTCCAGGTGACATCCGGCGGCTCGCTGCCGCCGTCGCGCTCTCGCAGCGCAGGCAACTAGGAGACTCGCCGCAATAGCACCACGCTGGGCACACATCTCGCGTAGAGTCGCATGCGCCTAGTGCTGAAATCCGCAGGCGGTAAGATTGTACGGGGAGCACCTCGCGTTCTGCCTGCGCAGCCAGGCTCGGGCGTGTACAGCGATTTGCCCGGCCCCCTAAACGGCGCCGCTATCGTGCCGCAGGATCCCCAGCCCGCCGGCTCCTCCCGCGGAGAAGCTGCAACTTGCTGGAGCGCTCTAGGGGCGCTGTTGGATTGGGGCGCAGAGCCGCGGAGCCGCTGGCAGGCAAGGCAAGGCAAGGCAATTAGACCCTCCCTCGCCTCGAGAGCCGCCGCTCCCACCACATGGCCTGCCTTTTTTTTTTTTTTTTTGCCCGCCGTAGACATGATAAGCTGCCTCGCGGCCCCAAACAGAGAGATCCGATCGACCCCGGCGAAGCCCCCGGCCGACGACGAACCGCCCCTATAGCCTCCCGACGAAAGCCCGTAGAGAGCGCCGCCGCCGAAAGCGCACGCGCCAGCGGACCTAGCCCGGCGCCGCGCTCGAGGAGAGAGAGAGACAGAGAGAGAGAGAGAGAGACAGAGAGAGAGAGAGAGAGAGAGAGAGACAGCACTCGCTCGTCCGCGCCGAGGAGCAGAGCCCGCCAGCCCGCCAGGCCCCAGGCCCACGACGTGCTAGCACCCCGCCGAAAACCCGCCCACACGCGCCGAACCCAGCGGCCCGCGCGCGAGAGCGGGCGCGGGCTACACATTTGGGTATGCCCGGACGCGCGACGCCCGCGGAAGCCGAGCCGCGCGGCCCGCGGGGCAGACGGCGCAGGGGAGGCGAAGGGAGAGCCGCGGGCTCCCGCCGGGTCCTGCGAGCGGACGCGACGTGCCCCCCCCCCCCCCCCCCCCCCCAGGCGGCGGCACGAGAGAGAGAGGGGGAGAGGGAACCGCGCAAGCCGGCGCTGGGCTAGGGCGAGGAGACAGGGACGCGGGAAGCAGGATCCGCGGCAGCGGCGCGTGCCAAGCCGCCGCAATTCCGCGTCGCTCGCGCTCGCGACTTAGTTCGCCGCGGTCGCGGTCGTCGGTGGTCAGTCATCCTTGCTATCACGTAGGCGCGATCTGCGCAGGCCCCAGGATGTAATGTAGGTACATACCGGCATGTTGATCTTGATCTATGTAGACATATCTATACGGGACGACCGAGAGAGAGAAAAGCAAACGAACCCTGCGCGCGAGTGATATGCGCGCTCCGCCGTCCGCAGCCCAGCAAAGAATAACCCTCGGCTCCCTTACCCCCCTTCCCCCCCTCGTGTATCTGCGTGCTCATCTCTCGTATCATACTCGTCATATCCGTTCATCTGATATATAATATATACCCGTCTACACGCAGTCGTAACGGTAGCAGTAGGTACTAGTAACAGTTCATGTAGCACAGTTCGTCCCCTTCGCCAACACCAAAAAGAACCACTCCTATACATGTGATTCCCGGCCCCTAAATGCCCCAAGCCGCGTGTGTATGGTAGCAAGGTTAGCTGGGTAAGGGAGAGAGCCAACCGCCCGCCCCCCCCCCCCCCTCCTCTCTACTTCCGACCCCTCGATATCGTCGCGCTGTAGCAAACCCGAATCGCACCGCTACCTTCCAGTCATACTCTTATAAACACAAAGTCATCCTCCTACCGTGGCGTATCCGGACGACCGGTCCGTGGCGTGTCTGGACGACCAGTCCGCATTAACTTGTTAAAGAGGCCGCGCCCTCCGGATCGCTCCTTCTTCTCGGGGACGGTGTCGTCGGATGCGGATTTGGGGCCGCGCCCTGACCCTGCCTTCTGCGTCGTGGACGAGTCTTGGGCGACCTGCTCATCCTCGGAGTCTAGCAGGTCGTAATCGGACATGGAGAGCTTGTCTGCCGCGCGCTTGATGTCGGGAGTGGTGGTCATACCTGCTCCGAGGCCCTTTCCGGCTTCTTGCATCTTAGCGATCCCGCGCTCCAAGTGAGCGACCATGGGGCCCTTAATAGTCCAGTTGCCATCCGGCTCCCGCTCCATAGCCTCCTGGAATAACAATGGATGGCTCCTCTCAAACTCTTCCTCAATCTCCTTCTGGTGTTTCACCATGGCATCGACGCGTTCGGCCTTCGCCACCGGAACTAGGTCTGTCGACTGTACTCTGTCCTCTCCCTCCAGGAGTTTAAGCCAGTCGTCATACCGTTGATGATCGTCTTTCTGCTGACGAGTAAGCATCCTATATTGGCTATCGGCATTTCCCATATAGACTTACCGTCTTCTCCCAAGACACGTCACGGAGGCTCGCAAGATATTCCTTGGCATTGGCCGTCGTATTTAAGCCAATGATGTACTTGTCGAACGAATGTGAGAATTCGCGGTAGTGGCCTTTGAGCACGAAGCATTGCCCAGACCACCCTTTGGTCTTGAATTTCTGGAAGAGGGTATTGGCCGCGGGCGCCTGCCAGGGATATTCGACCACCTTGTCGTAGAACACGACGCATTTGCTGGTGTACCATTTGTTGAACGAACTACGGCTCGCCTCGTCTGGTAAGGCCTTTTCAATCATCTCCATGGTCGCCCGCGTTACAAATGACGCGGGGGCCCGGAAATTGATTGCGCCGTGAATATGAGACTGATCGTATTCCGCCGGCGGGCGGAGATCGATTATGACGATCTGACCGGTTGGGAATATTTCTAGCAGCTTGTTGAGATGCCCGGGAAGAATCATTTGGGGGCCATCATTGGGAGGTTCGTGGCTATGATCGTCTATTTTCAGGCTTTGCAGCCTATTCGACACCTCCTGCTGTTCTCGGCGGTGGTGGAACCAAATCTACGAAACGTCAGCCTATGCACTACTAGGGGCTAGATCATTCTACTCACATCAATATCCGCAGTTGCTATGCCGAGCATCGAGGCCAGGAATTCTTTGACAGCAACTGTCGGCCTTTGGTTGTCCTGGAAGTATTCCTCCAGACGCGTTTGCGCATGGGGCGGCAAGTCAGGTTGGTCTTCTGGGTCATCGATAGGATCTGTGTGTGTCTTCGTGATCCGTGGTATGGTTGTAGCTGGCTGTTGTGACATGTTGTTAGAAGACGCGCTCTTGTGGAGGCGGCTGGTGGACGCCGGCTTGGTTCGTTGCCTTGGTGGGGGACCATGGGAAGACGGGTCCCAGTTCCTGCGCACCTGAGGAGGATCTCTAGGCGTCATATTCGCCGAAGGGCGGTGGCCATGGCTGGTGGATCCGAACATGGGGCGCTCAAAGCTGCTATATATCGGCTCCTTGGGTGTCTTCCCGCTCGAGAAGGCCGACATCATAGATAGCCTCGCCCCTCCGGCGGATTCGAGCGGCCCGGCGGTGTATGCGGTGGTCCCCGAATAGATCGATCGCATGTCCTCGTCTGCGTCGACACCTGTCGATGCCTCTTCCTCCAATGGTCGCAGCGCACCATCCTGGCGGACAGCTAGGTTGTTGGATCGGATGAATGCTACAAAGTTACACGCGTGGTCCTCCGGAATTAGGTCCCAGATCATCACCGGCATTGATAGAAGTAGCAGCGTCGAGTGGCTCTTGAAAACTCCCTGGACCTTCACATATCTAGCAAGCGCGGGCAGCGTGGAAAGCCAGTTTTCCCAATCGTTAATATTGAGGCGCTGGTCCTCTTCGAGAGCTAGGGAGATCATCACGTGTGGCACGTCTTCGTTTGGTTCAGATCCGATGATGCCTTGCGGGATGGCGGGTCGTCCGGTGAGACTAGGTGGGTTCGCCCCGAGCCCGGGCTCTAGGGGGGGCGAAGGTGGCCTAGCGTCCGGCAGCACCATCCGGGTTATCTCGATGCTTAGCGCCTTGTGATTAGCAGTCATCATGAAGTGTACCGGTGTCGCCCGCGCCTCGAAGTGCTTGCCGTTGAGCACTTCGGGCCTCGGATGTTTGAGGCGTGCGAGGACCTCGGCGTGCAACATGACGGCGGAAAACGTCCTCCGTTTCCAATCCTGGAGCACTTCGATGAGGGTGTTAGTGAAAGAAAACCTCCCGGGATCTGGAGCGATAGCATCCCAGCTAGAGGCCGAGATCGTTTCCGTTATGCTGGTGCCGTTGGGGAAAGTAGCACTTGCGGCCCCCGCGCAGCAGTCCAGCAGGATCAGAACATCCGAGAGGGACCGTTCCAACAACGTCTGGATCGCGGACCACCTACTCGTAGGATCAGTTATCAGCACATGCTGGCTGCGAGCCCCATGGGTGGATGTCGACGAGAGTAGACTCACTGTAGCCAAGGCGAATCGGAACTTCGAGTCCTGCGTCGCGCGTTAGCAACCCAAATCGAGGGGCAAGCGTGGGGGCCTGGTAACTTACCCGCACCACGTACTCTGTCTCGACTCGTCTATCCTCGCATGACCGCCATAGTAGACGATGAACAACGTATCACTCGATTCGTGTTCTTTGACCATGGCCCCTATCTTCATCATCAACTCCAGATGCGCGTTGTCGGACGGTATCGGGAACGTTTCAGTCTCGAAGTTGTAATCCACCTGGAGGCACCCCTCCAGGTCGTTGAGTTCTCTGAGGACGAACAGATCATCGCATGTCCAGTGGAGAAGGAGGACGTGTACTTTCTTGTACCTCTGCAAGCCCCCCTTGTTGGGAAACGCCCGCGCGGCCGACTACGAACGAGAGCAACGGTTAGCTCTATCACAAGGAACAGTAACAGGGTTGGGCTGGGCGGGACTAAATTTATCGAATTGGTTTTCGATTTGGGGCTGGACGGGAAGCATGCGATCTGATGCGAATGACGAGGAAGGAAATCAGACGGAATTATAGAGAGGAAGGGTAGGAAGAACGCACATCCTCGAGAGTTCTCGCGAAATCGGATATATTCTTCATGTGAAAGTTTACGCGGCTAATGTCGTGTGTCGCCGACGGCGTCCTGTCATCATCACTGCCGGAGCCATACTGAGAAGATGTGATTAGACGGGAGCGATTTTGAGCCCTGGCTGCTCTGTTGTGTCGACGTACGGCAGAATCACCACTGCTGAAGCCGGTCCCATCCGTCGGCTGCCATTCACTTATAGTCACGAATGGCCGGCTGTCACCCATGATCGTGTGCGCTCGCGCAGACCAACCAGTTGAAGTAGGAGGGACGGGAGAGAGGGAGGGAGGGGGTAAGGGCGGCAGATGCTGGGGAAGAACGGGATCTCGCCGGCGTCGTCTTCACATGGCGTTGCCGCACCGCATAACGGGCGGGTCGCACACGAGAAGGGTAGGGACTCGGAAGAAGGAGGTTGGAGACTTGGATTCGAACGGAGAGAGAGAGGTATGGGATGTTCGATCACTCGAGCGGGAGGTGCGGGTAGGCAGACGAGGTATTGTCAATGGGGGGGGGGGAGCGAGTTCGGTCAAGGCTGTGCGCCTGAGGGTAGGTAGGTGATGTCGCGCACTCACTTGAGCTTTGCTATGCCGGCCTACCAACGGACCCTTCGCCAGCGTTCAGGGACGGGAGAGCTGGAGTGGGAAGGGGGGCGGAGACGCCCTACGGCAGTGGGCCAAGCGGCGGCTGAAGGGTGGCCAGGAGGATCGAGACAACCCCCAAATGCTGTCGACACCGGCTCTCTCGGTCGCAAAATCCGGTTTAGCGGCTCCCCTCGCGGTGAACTGATTCGGCGCAGACTTCCCGCCAAGAGAGCCCTGGTTCATCTTCCCCTGCCATTGGCCTCCCCCGAGGTTGCCGTTGTCCATTATCGTGTGTTGCCGCTGCGGTCGATTGCATATGGAAAAGACACCGTCTTCCAGAAAAAGGCCGCGTGGAGGGACGGAGGACAGATAGAGGTAGGTAGGTAGGTAGGTATAGATACCTAGGTATAGGTAGGTATTACATACCTACGCACCCCGTCCAAAATCTACGATCCCCTACGCTCGGTAGGGCCGCACGTACATACATACCTACCTACCTACATAAGTAGGTATGCCTATTGCGTAGTATATTTGCGCATCGATGAGAGAAAACAGAGAGAAATGGGGGAGAGAAGAGGAAGACGAGAAGGGAGAGAGAGCGGAGGAGGGGGAATGCACCAGTCACAGCGGTTATGTTTATGCACTGATCATCACGGACCTACTACCTACCTGTACATCGCCATAAAAGGTATTAGGTACCCGATACCGCTGTATGTGACAATCTGCATCTGCTACGCCGTATATACCTACGCACGCTACCCCAGATAACTACATTGGGCATCTCCTTACGTAGTTTGCACGCTCTCTTTACCGATAATGGGTCGGCATGCCCTTCTTGGACGACAAGGGCCGAAGGGGGGACGAGCGGAACGAGGTATGCGGAGCGCCGGAGAGGCTGGCCATGGCTTCTGGTTCGCTGTGTTCGTGGATTGGAAATATACTGCCTTATCACGGGAGCGCCGACCAGGTACGTGGAGCCTATTGCTGTTTATAGCCGACTATTTCGGTAGGTTATGTCAACGCCGGCGGAGTGCATCGCATCTCGTCGCCCATCACCGGTGCTCTCTAATCGACCACATACTCGCCATCCCGAAGCATGGTCCGGCCTTGTCCGAGGCATCGGTGGCCGCTACCCATCCCTCTGACTCGTATCGTCCCAACTCCCCCTATCGCCTCCTAGATGCGAGTAAACAGGGCTGTCCTGTTCCCAAGACAACCCGGCTGTGAGATGGCACACAAACAACCTCGCAAGCAAGCCAGCAAACGCATCAACAAACCCCCTGGCTGCACCTGCGTTGACGCATGCCAAGGAGCAGAATTTGTTGTTGTATGACCTTGTCCGAATGCAAACCAGCCAACCCTACCCTAACTCGCGTCCGCACCCCGGAAACATCTATACTCTGTATAGGAAAATAAGGGTTTATAGAACCGTCGTACATGCGAATCCCTGGTCCATCTCTTCCCCTGCCGCCTTTTGAGAGAGATACCGCGATTTTACTGCGCCGCCGTAAATGGGATCGATGAAGAACATAATTGCCACCCAGAAACGCCTGACCAAATAAATCCATATCCGCCGTCCCCTCAAGCCCGCGCGCCACCTCGATGATGCCCACCGGACGATGAGGAGGTGGTTGGGGAGCGATGCCGAATACGAGACGAGTCGAGGCGATGATCTGGCCCGTATTCGCCGAAAAAACAAAATGCCCCCCTGCCCTCCTCTAACGAGTCTGTGTGAGAAGAAAACCCGACCAAGGACCGGGCCACCTCCGAAGCGATACTTATTATGCCTGGCTGGAGTTAGGCAGCGAGATCTTAGTTGCGCCGGCTTGCCTATTTGCTCTGATGCGTCTCGTCCATGTCCTCCCTCATCAATCGTTCGCTCAGGCTCCGTGGTGTGCCAGTAAAATAAGTCAGCTCGGGCCGGTAGCTGCTCGTTTCGTCGATACCACTTCGCCCATCAACGCTACCGACGAATGTGTAGAAGTCGCCCATCTCGGCGGCTTTTCTATGCAGTTCTGGGTCGCGGACGATGCTGATCGAGAAAGGCTTTCCTCGATACGATCCTGCAGACGGAGCTATTTGACGAGAGGGCGGCGAGGAAGGCGGAGGGGTAGAGGTAGCAGCGGGCCGGGCCTTGGTCACGGGGATCGCGGGGGATGTAGAGTATAGAACCATGCTTTCGGCTGTAGCCGTCGCATCACCCTCGACACCGTCGTTTTCCTCCTCCTCCTCCTCCTCCTCCTCAATGTACTTTCTAGTCTTGTCATCTCCGTCTAATAATATGTCGTGATTGCGGTCAAATTGAAACGTGGTTTCCTCGTCGGACGTGGCCTCGCTGACGAGACCGGACGATTCCGTTGGCGGGCTGCGCCCTTCCTTTGTCGACTCACGAAGTCGAGCCGCGACGGTTGCTTCCGAACTGGGAGCGGTCGGAAGCGGAGGGGAGAACCGCTTCTTGTCCTTGAAGGAGCTCAATGGAGGCATCATGAGTGCGTCAGCGTCCTCAGTTTCTTCAGCGGCTTCGCCTTCTTCGATCTCCTCTACGGCGGGCAAAGGCACGCTGGGTTGAGGTGGGAGGTGCGCATGATTTATACGAGGCGTCGTATTTTCGGAGCCTACGTGATTGGCTGCAAGCCGGGGTCCGTCATTGGATTTTCGTCCATTTAACCCGGCCATGACTAACTCGTCTTCTTCGTCATCGGTTACCTCCAAACTGCCAACCACCTCCCACGTGGACGTGTCCTCGGTTGAGCTTCTCGCCATAGCCTTCAATCGCTCCGTCGAAGTGATCTTCTTTGGCGTCGGCGGAGAGCTGCCTAGTAGACCCGTCTCCTCCTCCGCCGGGATGACAGATACATCGTATGACTCATCTTGCAGCATAGTGGGGTTGCTGGACAGGGGTGACGGAAGATCTGATGCTCGTGGTAAGACTGGGGGTGATGAAGTGGGAAGAACCTCTTCACCTTCCACGTCGAAGCGTACCCGCCTCGGGCTTTGGACCTTGGCAGACGAACTCGAGGATCGGCGAAGGGCGCTCCTCCGTACTTGCGACACACTATCGTCCGACGTGGTCGAAGAGACAGTGTCTTGTCTCACCGGCTCTGGTCTCGGTGGCAACCCGATAGGAACTAGAGCATCAGGCGCGATGTCTTGATTGCTGTTAGGCTCTTTGGCTTCAGGTACAGGGGGTGGCAGGGGAGGTGTGAAACTAGGTCGCTGCACGGCATCAAGCAAGGGGAGATAGCTCGGTGTGAACAGACCATAGAACTCGCACTCTCGATCGTGCGGGCTTCGCGGGCCGTCCTCCAGAGGTGTGTTTCGGTCCCGAGGAGAAGCCGGCGGTGGCGACGAGAGGCGGCCGTGGTCCGGCCACGGATCCCCATCGGATCGGGCAGCATCAGCATCGGTGTCGACATCAGCATCGCCTCGCGCTCGCCAGCCCACGGCACGCGCACGCTCAAGACTAGGGCTCAGCGCCGGGTAATTGTGAAACTGTTCAGCGACGAGTCTCTCGACCTCGGCAGAGACGTGTCCCGGGACATCATGCAGTCGCTGATGCGAATAGCGACAGAACTGCTGGGCCATGCCCCGGCGATACTCGTCGACCTCGCCGTCAAGCTCGGCGAGCTTCTGGAGAAGGTCCGAGACCAGGTGAGTGGTGTCGTCCATGGTGTGCTGACGCGCGCCGGACACCGCAAAATTATTCGTAAGCAGTTGACAGACAGAGAACGGGCATTGTTGGTGTTAGCTAGCACGTAGGGGGGTTTAAGAGTTGGGAATTGGCCTTTGGCTAGCTGTTGTCGAGTGGGCGGACGGTGTAATAGTGTGTAGGTGGAGTGGTTCTAGTCCTCCAGGCCCTTCTCGGTCCCTCTTATCTAGGTAGTCTCGCCCGTGCAGATTGCGAGGCGGGATCGTACTGTAGGTACATACCGTGTTATCACAAGCCCAGGGTAGCTGGCGGCTTAGGTGCGCGCGGAGGGATTCTTTGTTACTGCGATTGCCACCTTGTCTCTCCTCTCACGACCATTACCATTGTTCCTCCTCCTCCGTGTCTTCTGCGAGGGCGGACAGCGGGCAGGGAGGGGAGGAAGGGGGGGGATCAGAGCCGCACGTGTCGACGCGCAAGAGTCAGGACCAAAGCAGGAGGATTAGCGGAATCGATGATCTGCTTCGGGAGTGCAAGAGGGCGAGTTGCGAAAGGGTGTCTGTGGAAGGGTGTGGAGAAATGGGTGGGTGTGGGGAGGCCAGAGGTGGGATTGGTCTCCGGCGACCTGGGAAGACCCGGTCAAGGAGATTCGGGGGACCTGGAAGATTCCGTGCACACATGTGACATTGTGCCCGTGGGTCTGGCTCATCCCGCACGCAGCATTTTAGGAAGAGGGCCACGGTCACGGGACGCATTCATTTTTTTTTTCCCTGCCTCCTCTCTCCTCTCTTCCCCTGTATGAGAGGTAGGTAGCTTAGAGGCACCCCAAGTGTGCCTAAGGCTGGTTGCATACTTACCTACATACCTACTCAATACCTCTAACCTAACCGAAGGTCCCGTTCTACAGGCGTTGCTATGCGTTAGTAAGGCTGTCTGGGTGCCTCTGTCAGGGCATGCTGTACCTACCGTGTATGTCCGTTCGATGTCCTACAAACGTACCACGCGCGTACCGCATGTTCGACGGCACGTCGGGTTCCCCAGTCCAGCCGAGCAGGACAGCCGTTAGGCACCCACGTAGGCGTAGGCACCCGCGTAGGCGTAGGTAACCTTTTAGTACCTACCTGTTCAGCCGTGGCTCGATGCTCGGATGACAGGTTCGAGCACGTACGTATGTGCCTACACCGTAGACATGTCATACTACTTTGCGTGGCTAAGGCACGTACCTACCATATTACGTCTAATGGCAATCATACCGGCGCTTCCACCGTTTCCGTGGGGAACCGAGCCTAGAGATAGATACCTAGGTAAGGTAGAGAGAGGTTAGGAGGCATGCAGATGGCGGCCGTGGAATGCAGCCGACTTACAAGTGCTTTAGGTACCTACCTAGGTGGGCAAGATACGGCAGGTACTTCAGCAGTACGTTACGCGGGCAAAGCACCTTATCCGAGCCTCATCTGTGTACGCATAACCGAATGTGCGATGTGCGCACGCCGGCCACGCACTTGCAGCTGTGGCACCCGGATTCGGTACGAAGCTGAGATGGAATGAAACCCTCAGATACCCTTATTGCACCCAATGATAATCTAGCACTTTGGTGTATTCCCACCTACTTAGGCAGCTCTTAGGGGTAGGTACCTAACGTACGAGAAGATGAACGCTGAGGTACCGGATGATTAGCCGAAGCCTTACCTTGGTACCGGGCTCGGTAGGTGCCTAAGGCCTACCTAAGGCCTACCGATGTCTTTACAAACCGTCCAGTTCTTCGATCCGGGCCTATTTAACGATGCCCGTTTTATGCCGTCGTCGCCATTCTCGTGAACGGGGCCCCTACCTGGCCACTGTTCTGAACCTCCTCTACCCAACTCCGAGTTGGGTAATTCACGAGCAGCATACTACGTAGGTAGTACCTACGTAGGAAACATGGAGGTCACGTACCTGGCTAGAGCCGCCTAAGGCCGTCACCAATTAGACAAGCCCAAATCGCCCCCCGAGTGGCCAGCAGGCCACCGGTATCACCACACGCCCTCTATGTACCTATCCCTGGGCAATACCACAGTTCCTATTCATCTGCATACCTACGTACCATAGGCCGGTACCCTGCGAGAGAGCAAGGTTGAATACACTATGCCGCTGTCATGGACATGTCGAGCCCGGCCGCCGCGCATCCGAGATCGGCAGAGGTCGCCCCGGCCGGTGGTGATAAACCGGCACCCGGCCACTCGTCAGGGCGAGTAAGGAACTTCTGCTTCTTTCACTTTACGAGCAAGCCTCGCCGCCTACACTGTGTAGACTCTAGGAGCCGTATACGGAAATATTGCCGCCTGCCTACACCCAGGCGCACCGGCTGCAGATGAGTGACAGGAGTAGGCTGGGAGCACTAATGACAGGGTGGCCACCCCTCCGCCGCCAACAAACGCAATTGCGCCCGCGCTCTCGGTCTCGTGAAGTATTACCGGGATCGCGCTATCGGACTCGACGGAATCCGGCGGGATAATACCGCCTCCTCCCCGCCTGGTAGATGCATACCGACCTATATAACCACCTAATATTAATATGCCGACTGCCTCTGCAGGCACGCAGGTGCATGTAATATATGCCATACCTGGTGGCTTGAACTCACCGCTGTTTTCAGTCTCGTCTTCTGTCGGCCCTACGTCATATTCATCAATAGTTGGGAGTCTAGGTAGATGTTAGCTTCTTCTTCCCCTCAAGTACCTACATCGATATAGCTGTGATGAGGCAGGGTGACGATTCCTCAGGTAGCCAGAGGGCGCGGTGTGGTGAATGTGGGCCATCAAAACCGTTCTCTGGCCGCTCGCCAAGTGAGGCCTCTCGAGACCTGTATCTTTTTTTTTTGAAAAAAAAAAAAAAAGAAGTTACAACGTAATATACACATACAAATTAAGGCGTTTCGTCGATCAATTCTGCGAAGCCTTACACTTCAGGTAATGCTATAAATATAGTTTTACACGTGGAATGTTGCACCGTGCTTTTTGGTATGACCGTGTGGTGGATGCGTCAATCAGCTTGTTTCTCAGAAGATCCCAAGTGCGACCCGCGACTAGACTGTGGTTGGATCTGTTGCTCTAAGCAATTGAGGACCGGCGCAAAGTAGTTCCCGGAGGTTGCGTAGTTACCATTCATGATGGTGGCATACTATAAGTTCAGCCCTAAGGCGCTTGTGAATTTAGGGGTGAGTAAGGTTGTCTTTATTTCAAGCCTATATCGGGTGGGCCTAGGGCCGCGAACCGTGGGCGAGATGTTGGGTTTACATCATGCTAGTTTCCATCGTTGAGCCGCCATTGATCCTAGGCGCGAGCATTTCACAACTCTAGTTACGTAGAAAGGCAGCCGCGAATTTCAAGCTCCGGACGGGAAACTCTTCAGCCCCCGCTGTCTGTAGATGCCGGATAGATTCTGGCCGTGGAGTTTGTTGGAAAGCTCCCGCCATTCGTAGATAAATCCCACCTCGGCGGGCATTTCAGAATGCAAACACTTGATCCTCGAGCTTGCTCACAGGCTTCGCCTTCTTAAAGCCAAGGGCCTCTGTCGACTTCTTGAGCCCACTGATCATCGGTGGCGGGCCGCAAAGCAGTATCTTGACGTCGTCGGCGGGCTTGGGTAGCCATTTCTAATTATGGGAGTTTAGCGGTCGAGCCTGAGGTGTGGTTATAAGAATAGGGGCTTACAGTGATCATGTCCGGTGTGACGTATCCGACACCGCCAGTCCATCCCTCCGGAGGCTTGTCGAGAACGTAATGGACTCTGAAGCCGGCGTCTTGCAGGGCCAATGCATCGAGATCTTCTTTAAGAAGAATGTCTTGCGACGTGACATTGGCGAAGATTAAGTCGACCTCGGTTTTGTCGCCAGCAGCTCGTCCTCGGATGATGGCTCTGACAACCTGAAGCATGGGGGTGATACCGGTACCACCAGCAATCATTCCGAAATGGCGGACCATATTCGGGGTATAGACGAAAGCGCCCTTCGGTCCCCGGACCCGGATCGTCTGGCCGACGGAGAGGGATGCCATGTGCTTAGAGATGTTTCCGGTCGGGTAGGACTTGATGAGAAGATCGAAGTAGCCGGGTTGGTGGTCGCCGGAGATAGGCGTATAGGATCGCACGATCTCCTTGCTAGAGCCGTCGGGCTGCGGAAGCGTAGCGCCGATCGAGATGTGCTGGCCGATAGGCAACCCGAGAATAGACGTAGGGGTGGGCAGGGAGAATCGGTAACTGCAGAAGGTTAACAGGGCGATTTGGGAATATCTCGCAACAGGGCAACGGACATGGCTACATTATGAGAAATGATCGTCTTCTCCTTGAGCTCAAATTCTTGGAAGGCATCGGGCTTCAGGACCTTCTTCGGCACTGTTAGGGCAAAGTTAGACCAGTTTCTTCTTTGGGCTTCGGGGACAGGCCAGACGCACGCCAGCGGAAGTACTTGAGGGCTCCCAATACGATCGCAATAAGCGCAGCAGCGGGCGTCCATTCCTTCTTTACAATGAAGGTTCCGAGCAGGAGCAGACCGGCCGGGATATAGATCCCGTCAAAATATCGTCGCGACGACATAGGCGGCGGGGGTGAGGGTGGTGACTTTCAACGTGGCCTTCCCGTCCCTACTGCGCTGCGCTATCGGCTGGAAATATAGGTGACACCTAAGTTGCTGCGGCTGGGCGATGGCATGCTAGGAGAGGGGGAGGGGGAGGGAAAGCGAAAATCTGGTAGGCTGACAGCTTCAAATACCGCGGCGGGACGGGGAGGACAAGTTTCCATTATGTTGTTCTCAATCCGCTTTGCGCTGAGGCCAGCAGGGGGTGGCACCATGAAAGCGCCATCGCCCGCAACTCGGCAGGCGGAGGGAACCGGCAGTTCGGTTAGAATTCTCTTCGGCAGGAGAATTTCCCCGTAGCGGCAGACCTGGCGCCTACCTGTACCTCTTAGGCAGATACATCCAGGTACCTCTGAGATATGCTTGCTATAGAGGTAGGTAGGTACCTATAGATCAGGAGGTTATTTAAGGGAGGATAGGTTCGATTCCTGACAGCGCTACTTGGCAGTCTTCGTTATTTAGCTCATCTCTCCTAGGGTCCTTACCGATCCTATGGGAAGACGTTAGGTACCCGCCTACAATTAGGGAGGTGCCCATTAACAGGTACCAAGCCTGAGCTAGGAGCCCGCACGTGGAGAGGGGTACGTCCATGCCTACGGCCGTCCCCAGCGAGTTCATGTACCTACCGAATGTATTAGATAGAGGCATTAGCCCGCCTAAACCGATACGTAAGTGCGCACGTGTATGAGTAGACATCCGTCCTTACATTCCGTGGGTACCTACCTTAGGTAACTTAGGGTAGGTAGTACGTGTAGAGGCAACCTGCATGGACCTCTCAATGAGGGTACCTTACCTAAACGTACCCGCCTAGTGGAAGAGCGGTCGTATCGTAGGTAGGTACCCATCCCTTAGAGATATGGATCTTACGTGGTGCGTGGCATGAGAGCAGTGTACCTGCCTTAGGTGTTCAAGGCCGATTTTAGGAGAGGGACTGACAGGAACAAACGTCGCAACTCTTCGTAACCGTACACTGCATGCGACGTCTCCTCCTACGACCTGTACGCCTCCCTTTCCGATACGTCCTGCAGCAACGACAAGCTCCCCTCCCCCCTCTTCGCACGTTGTCCTCGCTGCTCGATACCATCGCGATCCGCATCGCGGCATCGAGTCACATTCCGGCTTAGAGGGTTCGAGCATCGGGATGAGCACTGCCGTGCCCGAGCCCATCTCCGAGGAGACGCCTTTCCCTCTGACCGACGTAGATAGATGGGTGCTGTCACTGACTGATGAGGAGTACCAATATCACGATTGGGAGGAAATGAAAACGATTGTCGGTAAGCAACCCATGTTCATCTGCTTGTCCGCATCAGCTGGCTCAGACACGTCGCCAGGCAAGAATGACCTTTCCGTCCTCAAGCGAAAGCCTTCTGATCTGCGCCGATACATGAAATGGACGGCCGAGACGAAGGCGGAATATGGCTCCATGGCCAACTACCTCATCAAACATCGACTTCCCAAGGCCTGGGGCTCTCCTCCTTTCACGCCGGCGTCGCCCGTTCCCTTCCGCGACCCTTCTGACTACCGAGTCTTGATCAACGACTGGCCGTACGGATTAACCCCGAATTTGACCCACATAGTTGTCTGGTCGAGAACGGCTATCGAAACAGACACAGAGACCGGCGACGTGACCCCCCAATCTCGTCAGCTCATTGCCAGTTTTGTCAAGAGGTTCTTCGCTGATAGGCTAGGCCCGGACGGCAGCGAGAGAGTCCTGTGGTTTAAAAATTGGGTTGCATTGCAAAGTGTCAGAGCCTTGGAACGTATGTATATTTGCTTATCGAACACGACGCTGGCTCCCTTTCTTCATCGTAAACACCGTCGTCGGTGATCTCCTCCTCCGGTGTTGCGCGGGAGGGCTAGCTGCTAACGTATATGCTGTAGACATCCACGTTGTCGTCAAGGATGCCGATAAGGGTGTCCTGGAGGAATGGACGGAGGAGCTTGACTGTCATAAATTGTCGAGATAGGGCTTGGCGTGGACTCGACCTCGCAAGCCGAGGACACTTGACGTAGAGATTATCGCATGGCAGGTCTCTAGGCTGCTCGTCGTTGTTTCCTGTTGCCCGTGACTGGTGCGTCGTTGACCGGCTGCTGTCCTTGCATAGCTGCCATCCCGCGTGCTCCACTCAAAAGACCGTAGGCTTTAAAGGTTCCGTATGCGGGAATTACACCCCAGAGGAGCCATCCCCAGTTTCCAAAGAGCATAACTGATAGCAAGGAGGCCCAGGTGACCCAGATGACGTCGAACATGTACTCGGTAAACCCGGGGGCTGCCAGGTCTTCGCCGGCGGTCCGCATGGCCTTGGTCGATGGATCGTATCGCGGCCGCCCGGTCGACTCTAAGACGAACTCGCAGATGAAGGCGGGCACGGAAAGAATGACATAGAGCAGGACAGAACGCCTCCCGATCAGGAAATGGAACAGCACAAAGAGCGAATTGGCGATGAGGGTGCCGGCGTGGAGATTGGCGAGAGCGGACGTGTTGGCCTTTGCTCTGTCCTTGCGGGCTTTTTGCGCCATGGTCGAGTGCGATTCTGACAGCGGTGGTTGTTGACGCTTGCTCCGATAGCGTATACCTCCGATAGCGTATACGATGAGGATGCAGATGGGCGGAATGAGGCAAGGCGCTGGAGGGGTGTTGTGTGTGTCTCAAGGTTCTGTATGGGCAAGTACAATCTCAGCCAGGCGCGACCAGCGGTACCTCCTAAGGTACGGTAGTCCGTATATACGGGGGTACCAAAGGTACCCGATGCGGGAGGTCGAGGCAGATGTGGCGGAGACAGGTTCGGTACGCGTCCCAGAAGGGGAGCAAGTCGGTGACGAAGCGCTCCAAACCTTAAATGTCAAGGCTAAATGTGGCTTGTCTTGCCTTATATAGGTACCTAGGTACTAATAGGCTGGACGAGGGAATGGGCAGAGGGAGGGAGCGGTACCTGCCTCTAAAGTATCTACGAGGCTATAGGCGGCCTGGAAATGGTTGAGCCGTCCGCGTGCCGGCACCGGTGTACCCGGGCGGGTACTTCTGCTAGAGGTACACGCGTCTCTCGGTTGTGGCGATTGGGTGAGCTGGCAGCCAAGCCAAACCTGGGGCTGATAGGTTAGGTAATCAAGAGGTAGGTATCTAGGTACCTACCTGTAGGTCTTTATAACGACTTGCCCCGTTAGCGCCCTGGTCGTTGCTCTGCCAGGTTGCCTACTGGTTTCCTGTGAACCAATCACGCCGTCCAGCCTCTTCTATCCACCACAACATACCAAAACCGCGAGCGAGGTTTGGACTACACAGCATGGTGGGAAAAGGCTCCATGCACACTGGGTAACTTCACTGTTTTCTCCCTCCCGCTACGATACCCCCATTCTTGTTCCCATTCCAATTTCATGGTATCGCCGGGGCACGCGGCTGCTGGGCAGGGAGCTGGGTAGCCTGTCAGGCAAATCTCGTCGTCGTCGTCTCGTCACTCTCCCCCTCGTATTCCTTCCACATCCGTCCCCGTGGCGATGGGCTGTTGATGCCAAAATTCCTATCCAAGTTTTTCTTCGCTTCCGATCCAGACTCACGACCGACGGAAATGCCCTTCTGCGACAATCGCAGTCAAGCCAACGACGCACTTTCCCACTTGCCCCAATCTTCGGTTCTATAAACACGATTCCTCCGCCTCCTAGTGCCTAGGGTTTAAGCCCGCGACAATCCCGATACCCTCGATATACGATCTGAATACTCCCGCCTCGCGAGCACGCCGCTCTCTGCCGTAAACGAGTTCTAGTGCGAGTGCGTCTGGTACCTTTCTATTGCTACGATTCGGGCTCTGGGTTGGATCTGAGAAGTCGAGCTGCTCCGTTAGCTTAAGGCAACCGTCACATGGCCACCCGCGAATAGCCTCAACCGTAGACGATATAGGCACCTATCAATACGCCACTCACAGCCCGCCCGCCTCGAAATGGGGCTCCCTAACTCGGCCGTCGCCGGCCAACTGCGACAGCTGGTTCACTACCATCTCGATAACATATCTTATAGCAACGCTCTCTTTTTCGCTGAACGATTAGCTGCGCAGGATCCTCGCTCTACCGAATCTCCATACCTTCTCGCTCTTTGTCATTTTCGGCTCGGTGACTACCAATCGGCTTACGAAATCAGTAAAGCTGTCGGATACCGTGGGAGCAATGTTTCCTGCTCATACATTTTTGCACAAACATGCCTCGTTCTCGAGCGGTATAAGGACGGCATCATGGTGCTGGAGAAGTCCAGAGCGTTATGGCCCCGCAAGTCCAATCTAGGGAAGCATTGTGCAACTAATAGAGCGCAGCATCCGGATACGGCTAGCATGGCTTGCTTGCTCGGAAAGCTCTACAGGGCTTACGATGACAAGAAGAAGGCAATCGTCAACTTTGAAGAGTCTCTAAAGCTGAACCCGTTTATGTGGGATGCGTTTACGGCCTTATGCGACATGGGCGTTAATGTGAGGACAAGCAATATCTTTAAACTTAACGAAACATTTCTAGAGAGCCTGAACACCGACCAACCTATTGGTATCCTATCGGAACAAAAGGACAACGCTGTCACCAATCCGACGGAGCTGCAGTTCAGGAAGGCCAGCGGCCGTCCCGCCATCTTTGATACTATAGACCCTTTCGACCCTCAAAGATCAGTGGCCGCGAGCGGGCCACAGCCCGGCGCCAATTACCTGTCGGGTTCTGGTGTGAATGACTTCATGTCCAAAGTCAACGCAGCTCGGCCGAGGATGACGGCTGCTGCGGAGCTGGGACCCGAGGTTGTGGAGACGCCAACAGCTGCCTACAGCGACTCGACAGTTCCTCGAGTCAACTGTCCACCAGAGCCTCCCCAGGCACCAACTAGAAAAACAAGGCATGCCCAGCCTATCGAAGCCGGTCTTGCGGATATACCCCCTAAGGCGGGCTACCGAATTGGCGCTAAGAGAACCCTGAAATTGCAAGACAAGCCCCAGGAGGACCTCCTGTCGGAATCCAACCCGGCCCTTCTAAAACCTTCCGCCTCGGCCGTGACTGGCATCGAGAGGAAGAGGACCGTATCCGGCCACCTTGTCCACCCGAGGCAGCATCCTGAAGAGCCCGGAGCCCCGCAAAGGAGGAGTGCGAGAATAAACATGTTTAGGAGTGCCAATGCGAAGGCTAATTCCGGCGCGCCGACCGTTGGCGCCTCCCGAGAGCTGAAAAAGACGAGACCCACCGCCTCCAGGATCGTTCGGCCAAATTCGAGCGGCTCCAATGTCGGCAGAGCCGTTAGCGGCAACAGGAAGCCGCTGGAGGAGAACGGGATGGACGTGGACCAGGCAGAGGCGCCGCGAGTCAAGGAAGCCTACCCTCAGCCTCCGATCGCGAAACCCGCGGAGTCCGAGTCCGTAAGGGTCGAGGAGACGTCGAAATATCTTCTGGAATTATTGAAGAAGTTCGGCTCCGGCTACTTCGCGCTATCGCAGTATCGATGTGCCGAAGCTTTGGACTCGTACGCCTCGCTGCCACGGACGCATCAAGAAACGCCGTGGGTGCTCTCGCAAGTGGGCCGGGCGTATTACGAGCAGGCGGCATATGCGGAGGCGGAAAAGTACTATAGGAGGTTGCGCATCCTTGCTCGCACTCGACTCGAAGATATGGAAGTGTACTCGACCATCTTGTGGTTTCTCAAGAGGGAGACGGACCTGTCTTTCCTCGCGCACGAGCTCGTCGACCTGTCATGGCACTCTCCTCAGGCGTGGTGCGCGCTAGGCAACGCCTGGTCGCTCGCACGAGACCACGAGCAGGCGCTGCGCTGCTTCAAGCGAGCCACCCAGCTGAACCCCAAATTTGCTTACGCGTTCACCCTGCAGGGCCACGAGCACGTCTCGAATGAGGAGTACGAGAAGGCCCTCACGGCCTACCGGCAGGCCATCTCAGCCGACCGTCGGCATTACAACGCGTATTACGGCATCGGTCGGGTTTACGAAAAGCTCGGCAACTACGACAAGGCGTACATACACTTCCACTCGGCATCGGTCATTAACCCCAGCAACGCGGTCTTGATCTGCTGTATCGGGAACGTGCTGGAGAAGCAACGGCAGATCGTGCAGGCTCTCCAGTTCTTCACCAAGGCTACCGAGCTCGCGCCCCGTGCGGCCCAGACGCGTTACAAGAAAGCCAGGGCCTTGCTCGCTCTCAACCAACTAGACGAAGCTCAGAGAGAGCTCGAAATACTAAAAACCCTCGCGCCCGAAGAAGCCACAGTGCACTTCCTCCTCGGGAAGCTGTATAAGAGCTTGAACGACAAAGGGTCCGCCGTACGGCATTTCACTATAGCGCTTAATCTTGACCCCAAGGTTTGTCTGATGGACCGCCCTACCCCGCGGGGCCGTGGTGCTAACTCGATTTGCTAGGCGAGCCAGCAGATTAAAGAAGCCATCGAGAGCCTCGAAGACGACGACGACGGCTTTGACGATTCTATGATGGCATGATGTAAAACACGAAACCACCCCCCTTGTATTTTCTGGGCGGAATTGCTTCTGCCGTCACGGCACGAGCTTGTACGTGGCGGCTTTCTCGCGGTCTCGAGCACGGGGGAGGGTCTGGCAAGGCATATGCATCGGCGTTCGGAAGGGGATGGAAGGGCCCATCGGGTTCGCCACTATTAGGAAAATCAGTGGTTTTGTGTATAAGTACGGCAGGGGTTTGCATGGTGACAAAAGTGTACAGTAAGGGCGACGGGCCGCATCACGATCCACTTGGGAGGCTCTGCATAATACGGGGAATTCACGAGCATTCAATCATGGTTTGGGCACGCCGTCTCCGCGTCTACGTATCCTGCTGTATCGCACGGGCAGGACGGTGCAACCCGGCACGGGTTTGACCTTGACAGCCCTAACCGCTACGCGCACGCTCACTCGGAGCAGGCGATTCACGCGGACCAGGGACCGGAATTGGGTACCTAGCTAGTCTAGGCGTGTAGCAGCGCATTCGGAATTCCATAGCGACGGGAAGTGCTACGTACTCTTCGTGGCGTATTCGTATAGAGGTAGACACGGTATAGACAACGCGTCTCCTCACTCCGGATAGAGGGGAGGAGTATCGTGATTGGTTTAGTGGGATGGATGGCGTTTGTCCATGAGTATTGTGTCAGGCGGCACGTGCCTGGGCAGATATACCTACCAGATATGTGTCCCGGATATTGCGTGGTGTCCAATCCATCCTCGCACCGAACCGGGGCATTGGTATGCTATATAGTCAGAAGTCCGGAGCTGTTATGCAACTGTACGGTAAGACGCATATTCGCGGAGGCGCCTTGGGAGCAGCCGGCGCACGGACCAAGGCGCCACCAGTGGACCCGATCCGACAGGGGAAAAAGCCGAGAAAGCGCGCCAGACAGGGAATTGGCGAGCATGAAAATAAGACAGAAACTCGGTGCCGCAAAGGAGGGCGGAAATCAGACGGTAGCAACCAGGGTACATTGGCATTTCATATTTTTATTATTTAAATGCTTCTACATATAGGGCACTCACCCAATACGGCCTAGCACCTTTCCGTAAATCGAATCAGTAACACCGCTCTCCCATCCACATAAAAGCCTGCACCCTCTCGTCCGCCCTCCAGCCTTCACTCTCCCCTGTTTCCTAATTTATCCATCATCAACACACGCCTCTCTTCCCGCAGCACAACCCACTTTCATCAACATCCGTCCCCATCCATCACCAGTCTAAAACAAACTACCTCTCAATCTCAGCCAACATGACTGGACGTAAGTACATCTTCATATTCCGTCTTCCACTGTCGCTGTCGCACTAGGCTGTAATGCCGCGGACGCATTCAGCCGAGGGCCTTAGTGGCTCGGGTCCGGTCCGATGGGAGATCGCGGCGCCGGTCCGGTATCTTTAACTCGTGCCGGCTTCAGCACACGGTCTCGCCCATCTACTTGTCTTACCGTTGTCCCGGTCCTATGCCTTATACTGACGTGTCCCCTCTAGGCGGCAAGGGCGGCAAGGGTCTCGGCAAGGGTGGTGCCAAGCGCCACCGCAAGATTCTTCGTGACAACATCCAAGGCATCACCAAGCCGGCTATCCGACGTCTCGCTCGTCGTGGTGGCGTCAAGCGTATCTCTGCCAGTAAGTAGCACTCACCTGCGCCGCTAGTATGGCGTAACACCGGGTCCTAATGGCTATTCTCCAGTGATCTACGAGGAGACCCGAGGTGTCCTCAAGTCATTCCTCGAGGGCGTCATCCGTGATGCCGTCACCTACACCGAGCATGCTAAGCGCAAGACCGTGACTTCGCTTGACGTCGTCTACGCCCTAAAGCGACAGGGCCGCACCCTGTACGGTTTCGGTGGTTAATCGTGTCCACGGCTATTTGCTGTCCTGTCGGCTTGGCTGTCTACATTTGCTGCTATGTGCCACGTCCGACTCGCAACGGAATTCCACTGTGCTATGAGCCTCGATTATTGGGTATGGCGGATGTGTGATTCCAGGCTTGATTGCGGGCAGCACCGAGTAAAGGACTACGATGGGAGTTCTGGAGGGAGAGAGGGATGGTTGTGACATTACGGACAGGCATGATACACATTTTCAGACATTGGCGTTGGTGGTTTACGATACGGATGGTCTTCACAATGGTCTTTGAAGAGGGCTATCGGCATTGCGTGGCCTAGCCCGACGAATTACGGCATGCAGAATCAATAAATACATGTGCATTGTCAAGCAGGACGTGGTGACTAATTGGTGCTTGTAAACTCGTAAATCGACTGATTTGATCGGAATTGCGTTATCGGAGTGCAATATCGAGTGACGCGTGACAATGGTAGAAAAACAGGCAATCTAGTGACGGTAGCTCCATAACGCCTAGCTAATGGTATATCGTTCCCGACAGGCTTGAGCGAATCCTGCCTTCCAGCCCTCCACGCCAAACTATGTGGTGGGTATAACTACAACGTATTAGGATACGTACGGCCACCATCCCACGCGAACCTCCCCCGCCCTCTCTCGCACGCTGCTGCCGCGGCCATCATAGATACTTCCTGCCGGCGGCGGCGACGCGCTGGCGGAAGACGGGGCTGCGGACCTCGGCGCCGGCGCGGTAGAAGGGGCTCATGACGGCCTTGACCCAGCTCTCGTAGACCTCGAGCATGAAGTTGCGGACGGCCTCCTCGGCCTGGGGGCTGGTGGGGTTGTTGGCGATGGAGGTGGACGAGGACGAGGCCGAGGAGGAGGAGGCGGCGCGGGCGCCCGAGGCGGTGCCGGCGGCGTTGCCCGACGCGGAGGCGGAGGCGGAGGCGCCGCCGGTGAGCGGCTGGTGCAGGAGCAGGAACTTGACGTTGCCACCCGTCACGAAGCACGACACGAAGTTGTTGAAGAACTTGTCGACGCACTTGAGGTACCTGGTTGGGGGAGGGGGGGGAGGTTATTTAGGGAGGAGGAGGGAGGGGGGGGACGCTAGGCGCGCGGAGGCGCGCGGCAACTCACATCTGGCTGGTCCCCCACTGGACCTCCTCGACGATGTCGAGGCTGCTGTGGACGATGAACTGGTTCATGTGGCGCGCCTGGTCGGTGAAGCGCGCCTGGCCGTCGCCGCCCTGCTTCGACGTGCCGAACTCATGCTCGAAGAGCGGGTTGTCCTGCGTGCCGACGATGGCGAAGTAGTATGACATCGTTACCCGCCGCTACCTCTCTCCCTTCTCTTCCTATTGCTCTCTCTCTCCTCCCTCGCTCTTGTCTGTCTCTTTGGTTTTGTTTTGCGGGTCGGGGGGGGGGGTCTCGTTTATCTATCGAGTAGTGGAGATTGTGGGAAGATGGCTCTTCTCGGCGGGTTGGAGACGTCGCGAATCGGGGACTACAGTAGCGACGCTGCTGGACGAACGGGTGAATAGACAGGTGCTTGTTAGATAGGCCAGGCTGGTATAGTGACGATCGCAGAGGGCTATAGGCCAGGGATAATCTACTAGGAGGGATGCAGCGAAGAGAAAGAATTGGTAGACACTTGTAGTTATGGGGAACATGGGTAAATGTGGGTACATGTAGGTATCATCTATCTTCACCAAGCGCCGCGGCGGCGCTGCAAGAGGCCGATCGGCTGGTGGCCCGAGCTCGTCAACGCTCCATCCCTTTCCGCCCGCCACATTTTTCCCACACGCCCGCGATTTGGCCCCGTCCTCGCTACTCTGAATCCGAGAACACCCCCAACTGTCGGAACGCAGCACCTCGCCCACCATGTTCGGCGCCTTCAGGCCGACGAGCCCGCTACTCGGAGGTCTGCTATGGTACGCGCACCCTACCCCGCCCTCTTCCGCTGCGCTTGCGCTAGGCCCTTCTCACCCACCCGCCTCTGTAGGAAGATCCCCTGGCGCCTCTCTCGATTCCAGAAGGCCCGCCACCGTCACCGGCTCCGCGCGGTCGACGCAGTGGTGGCCACCGTCGAGAGCGCGTTGGCGAAGCAGGGCGAGACTATCAAGGCCCTCGAGGTGTGGAGGGCGACGATGCCCACCGAGGCCGAGATGCTACCTAAGGACAAGTACACCATGTTCGACCGGAAAGCGAAGAGGTATAGGAAGGGTGTGCATAGTATGTCTCCCCTATTAGTGCCCCCCCCCCTTCTCACCCCGATAGGTAGCGGTAGCTGGATCGGCTAAGAGGCTAATCGCGAGGAACCAGAGCTGCCCAAGTGGACGAGAGTATCGCAGAGAATCAACCCCCCCGGTTATTAAGCACTCGGCGCTGGAGTGGATATCACGAAGGATTCGCGATTCGCGCATCATCGAGGATGGATTCTCGACGTTACAACCCGAGTTCGTCACGGGCAGAGCCCAAACGCTGTGTACTATTGTACTTGGATCAGAGAAACATTACGAGCTTCCTCCCCGTATAAATACACCGCAATAACAGACGCCAAACACTTGACTACGGGACAAATGTCAAATTATGTCTGGAACTGAGCACCTAAGAACTATCTTATCTACCTAAGTTGACTCCTGTCTAGGTCGTGCCCATGACCCGCCTCTCTCCCGCGATGCTTTTATCTCAGTCGTCCGTAATCCTCCTCGTCGTATTGATCGTTCTCGCGATCCCGCAGGTTCTCGCGCTCCCTCTCTGCCTGGATGGCCCTCCCCAAGCCTCCCCTGCCCTCGTCGTAGTCGTCGCGATATTCGTCCCGCACCTGGCCGCCCGACTTGCCTCGGCCATATTGGCGGCCCTCCTCAAAACCCGGGTCGAGGTCGGTGCGGATGACGCGCTCGTCGAGTTTCGTACCTCCGATGTACTTCATGCAGTCGAGGGCGTCCTGGTGGGTGTAGTACTCGACAAAACAGAACCCGCACGGAGTCTTGGTGAATCTGTCTAGCCCCATGACGAGGCGCTTGATCTCGCCGCACTTGGAGAAGAGCCCATATACTTGCTCTTCGGTCGTGTAGAAGGAACTTCCCGACAGCCGCGTTAGTATACACGGAGGGAGGATATAGGGAGGGTGGCCCTACAGGTTTCCGACGTAGAGGGTCGTAGCATTGCTCAGGGGGTCCTCCGCCGGCTCTTTAGGCGCAGGGATGGCGGTATCGGTCTCGCCTTCTTTGTTTTCGCGGTTGTTGTTGTCGGGCCGCTTCCGCTTGTTCTACACCGCAAACGAACATTAGTTAGCAAGCAACTCGCGGAGGTCTACAGGCAACCAGAGACGGCAAGCTTACTCGACTGTGATAGTATGCGCTGGGGCGGTCCAGCCGGTCAACGGTGGACCGAAAAGGAGGAGGAGGGGCGGAGGTCATCTCGTCTGTCGTGCCAATGATAGAGTGTCGAACGCACCAATTGCTTGCGTACAACACTAGAAGGTCTAAAAGGGCGGATTGCAAGAGAAGTCGATATCGATACAACAAGGCAAGGTCCGGGAACAAGAAAGGAAAGGCTGGCAGGGTTGCCAGTGGATGGGATCAGGGAAGGCTGAGAGGGCCGGGCCCATATTTTACCGCGAAGTGTCGGGATTTGATTGGCCGTTGCTAGCCTGGCAAAGTAAACTTCGCCGGAGCTTTTCGTGAGCTTGGATGCGCGTTTCCAAACGCGCTTACTGATTAGGTATGGTGTACACGCTGGTGCCGCTGCCAGAGCTGGACAACCCAGACTACGGCGAAAGTACCCGGTACCTGGCCTAACATCGTGCCAGTACATGTACCTAGCCTCCCGACACAGATCGGTATCTCTTAGGTACCTAGGTACTACATTAGGCACGCCCCTGAGGCCTAGGAGGTACCTAAGGTAGGCTACCCTTAGCTTCGGTGGTGCCTAGCAGGAGGTACTTACCGCAAATAGCTTGGGCAGGGCGACCAAAACAACAGAAATCCAACCTGCCCACCTCACCGTCACCTGGCATCTCGGACTGGGCTACACCCATCTTTTTTGATTCCTTCTGTCGCCAGTCTAAGCAGTCTTAGCCCACGCCCAACTCGATACCCTCGACGGCGCAAAGCCACCAAGGTTGTGTCCAGCGAGGCCAGGTCGTCAGACTCTCCTCGCAGGGAGCGATGCAATTCTGCTGAACCGTTCGACGCCGCTTCCGCACCTCGAGCACACACACCGCCCCGTCGAATCAAGGACGCAAGATGCCCAAGATAAAAAGCTACACGCCTGCCTGGCTGCTGCCGCCTTCGCCCGGCCATGATCTCTTCTCCCCCGACCAGGCCGACGCCCACAATGGCTTTCCCCACGCCTTCAAAACCACCCCGCAGTCGGGTCCTCGCCGCACCATCGCCCGCCGTGGAACCGAAGTCTTCATCGCTGTCGGCAAGGAGATTAGGTGGGTCGACCTTGTATACATAAAGGAGCGCTGGGAAGAGAAGGCGGCCGAACGTCGCGGCAGCGTCCGCGTCAAGCGGGAGGGCTCCGTAGCCTCTGAGGAAGAGCTGGAGAGAGCGTCTATAGAGGACGGTTGTGCGGAAGGCTTCCGTGTGAGCCACCTCCCCCCTCCCCCCCTTTTTCTTACGTCTGCCTACCGGAGGCCGGTCGCTGATAATGAACAACTGTAGACGATTAAAACCTCTGTCGGCAGTGACATTCAGCAGCTCGTCATATCGCCTTATGCTAATTTCATGGCGGTCGTGACCACCCATACGATTCGCGTCCTCCTCTTGCCCGACTCGTCCCATCTCACCGCGCCCTGCCTCGATGCCATCAAGCCGAAATCCTGGACCTTGGGCCCGACAACCCATGTCATGGACCGCTCGCCCATCGCCTCGGCCCTATGGCACCCGCTCGGGGTAAATGGCTCCGCACTGGTTACGGTTACGAAAGATGCCGTCGTAAGGGTCTGGGAGCTTTCCCAGAAGGATCGCTGGTCGTTCGACACCCCTTCTCTCACCATAGATTTACAGAAGCTCGCCGATGGAACGTCCCTAGACCAGAACTTCGCCGCCGCCTCTGACGTTACGAACAAGGGCTTCTCTCCTGATTCTTTTGAGATGGATGTTGCGTCAGCATGCTTCGCTGGCAGAGGCTCCGGAGGTTGGTCCCCGATGACGCTTTGGATTGCTATGCGAGAGGGGGATGTGTACGCCTTGTGTCCCTTGCTACCCACCCAGTGGGCCCCGCCCCCGACGCTCATTCCCTCCCTTTCCATCTCGATCGTCGGAAATCTGGCGGCTATCGAAGACGATCCGAACGTCTCCGATCAGGTGAAGCTTCTGGCACAGCAACAGCTAGACTGGATGTCGGATCTTGACAATCAGGAACCCAGAGTTATCGACGGCCCTCCCGGAGAACCGCCGACGGAGATATTCACGCGCCCTACGAGACCTGGCGTGGTCCCCCGATTACAGGGACCTTTTGACCTAGAGATGAGTCCGGAGAGCGAGGACGACCTCGACTCCGAGCTTACGGACATCTTCGCCATCGGGCAGAAGCTCGACGCCGACGAGTTGATGATGGGTGAAGAGGACGAGCTTGATATGGAAGACATCGAAGGAGAGGGCCTCTCTCTTTCTATAATCTGCCTGCTCTCGTCGAGTGGTCAGCTACGAGTGTGCCTGGACCTGGACGGTGTTCAGGCCCAGTGGCTTCCTCCGCGAAACAAGTCCAAGGCTATGGGGCGCCTGAACGAGTCGCCATCCTTACTGACCTTCCAGAGCATGGATACGTTGAACTCTATAGAAGCCACCGAGCACGGTTGGCCCATGTTCAGTCCCGACGTTACCTCACGATACTCATTCTACATCACGCATTCCTCCAGCATCACGTATATTTCCCTATCGCCCTGGGTCTTCCGCCTGGAGAGCGAGTTGCAGGGTGATTTGCAGGCTGGGTCCGACTTTAGAATCGACCTGCTCGTCAACGGACAGACCTCGACGAGGGAACGTCTTTACACCAGTCCGACCCAGAGTGATACGCATCTCCCTCTCGCAGCGTCAGTCGCGATACGCGATCCTGACCTAGGCTATTTCCTGTTGTCGGCAACTTTCTTTGAGCCGATAGCCTTGCTCTTCGACACGCCGGACGATGTTCTGTCCCCTCTCCGATCCGCCTCGCCCACCTTCGAGGAGGCGGAGGTGAAGCCCCTAGACTTCTACGAGCCGCGCCCCGTCTTCCAACCTTCGCACGCTTTCGACGGGAGCTCGGCACTGCCAAACCTGCTCAACAACCTCCGCACTAGCCGTCACAAGACGATAGTCAACCAGGAAGTTCGACTTTCGCCCCTCACCTTGCAGCTATTCACCGAGGCGCACAAGATCCTCAGCGATGAGACGTATGGCCTCGGCGTGGCGGCTGCTGAGGTCTTCCGACGATGTATCAAGCTGCAAGAGGAACTCAAGCAGCAGATCACTAAGGCCAACGAGGTCAAGGCCAGAGTCGAGGCTATAACCGGGGAGGACCAGGAAGATGGTGGCGAGCCCGAATCGAGCAATGCTGCTATAGAAAGACGGCTGCGGAGCGTGCGGGACAAGGGTGAGGTTCTCAGCCAACGCTTGGAGAAGATGCGAAGGCTAGTCGGCAAGGCAACTAGCCGTGAGCTGAGTGACAAGGAGAAGGCCTGGGTTAACGAAGTCCACGCCCTAGATGTCAATCTTTTCGAGCCCGCCGCGGCTACGGACGGGTCGAACCGGCTCAAGCAGACCCGGCGGCGGTACGAAGAGGTGATGCGGCTCAGAGACGAACTCGTGGAGGAAGTGGAGCAGCTGGATGCGACGGCAGGCGACGGAGAAGAAAGCCTGGGAAGCTCGACGAGCGACTTGCGTATACCGTCGGAACTCCGGAGAGCGAAGATTAACCAGGTCAGGGGCCTTCTCGAACGTGAGACAGCTCTGGTGGACGCAGTGAGGGCACGACTCGAGCGCCTGTCAGCTGCCGGGTAGGCTAGAGTGCGACAAATAGGTGTGGCGCTAGACATGCAGCTCATCGAGGGATGAACCCCGTCGGAGAATGTAGGTATAACTGTAATACTACTTGTCTAATGCGCCATCCAGCTTATAGAAACGGGGCGATTCGATCGAGTTATTGGTGACAGGTCTGACGACGCCCAGGCACAGTCAGCATTATCGTTGTCGTGGCGGGCCCTCGGCGAATCTTACCGTTACTTGCTGTGACGTCTCGAAGCGGTATCGTCAGATGCCCAATGAGGCCAAGGTAAAGGGGGAGCCAGAGTCTCGACGCCGATCTCCTGTCCTGTTTTTCTTATCGTTCCACCGCCGGCGGGGGGGCAAATCTCGGCACGTCACCTCCAATGATAGAAGTCCAGAGCACCAGTCGATATGCAGCCTTGCAACACCCAACCTAGACCCAAGCTCCCCCCGAGGTGACGAGACATCCAACAGCTGAAGGGTGAGGTTTGACGGGTCCCAGCCAGCCCTTGCGCTGTGTGATGTGAGGGAAGGCCCTAGACCGGCGAGAGAAGAAGGAAGCAGGAGAGACGACGACCTTGAGAAGAGAGGGGACTGGCTGCGTCCTGCCACCATCGCGAGCACCGGCCCCCTCGGTTTCACACTATATAAGACTCAGGGGCCTCCTCACCTTCGAAGACATCACGTCTCACGTCCCCCGACGGTTCCATTACACGCACTAGATGCGTTGCAGTGGCTTCCGTCTTTTTTTTTTTCTTTTTCGTCCCCTCGTCTTCGCGAGTGGCATCCGTAAACGGCCGTTGCATATCCCAACAATCCAGAGCCACTCAGCCGTGGCCTGCTCGCCCTGTTTTTCATTGGCCATGGAGACTTCACAGTACGAAGTCGGTGTTTTATTTTATTACGCTCGTTGCAACTTAACACCCGGCCCGAAGGATCTCAATAAACAACGTCCCCGTAGCCTCCCACCATGCGGTGACCCGGCATGACAACAATCGCCGTCCTCAGGTGCGGCCGAGCCATACCTTGTGGCGAAAACTGTGCCCAATTCCCTCCCCCCCCCGCCCCCCCAGGGAACCCTCTCAATGGAAGGTCGGGATCTACGCCTGGTGCTTGCATCTAACGATGCACCTCTCCTTGGGTATGAACTCACAACTGGAGCCTGTAGCTGTCGGCAGACGAGGTGGTGTGCCTCGTGCTACCTCGCTCAGCGTGGCCTGGATATATTCGCTAGTGCCCAAACCCGCTTCGAAGACGGGAAGACCACGGCTCCCTTATCACCAGCCGTCGAGGTGCCGCAGCCATTGACGTATCAGCGAAACAAGTGTTTCACCAGCGCCTCGAGGAGGCTCCCGTACCTCGCGGTCAGTCCGTCAGTCGGTTAGCCAGTCGGTCGGTCAGCCAGTCATCGCGTTGCTGTCTGCACGCCCCAGACCCAGGTTCATTTCCTCGACGCCAGCCAGGACAAGGACGGACAGTCCCTCCATTTATCCAGTCCGCCTCACTTTCGTAACCCTAGCCTCTCCAGGCATGGCGATGATATGCAGGGCCTCGTGCAGGATTCTACCCGCCTCGGACACATGTATATAATACCTGTCGTCCGGTATCTCGGTGTCTGAATTTCTAAGCACTTGGAAGATTATCGCTCATTCCCTGATCAATGCTCGTATATCTCACCGAACAGCCTCACTCCGCCTTCCATCATTATCGGCCAGAGAACACCATGGATACACCCTTGGGCGAGTACAGGAGCCAGATAATAGGTCGGTCATCAACGGCTTGTCTCCGTAGTCCTCTCCGTCCTACGTTCACTAACTAGGTCGTATAGACAACTGCGAGTTCATGATATCCAAGGATGACTTCGTCTCGGTAATCACCAAGAAAAACGCTATAGGCTACTTTAAGGCGTATGCGGTACGATCCAGCGAAGACTCGCGTGAAGCACTTCTCTCCTCAGGTCCCAAGGAGACTATCCGCGCTGCCCTCGCATCGCTACTTGACGAGTCATGCCAGGCAGCCAACTACTATATCTGCACCAACGGATTTTCCTACCCCCCAGACCTCCAGAATAATAAGTGCAAGAATAACAGGATCAATAAGAATGACGACGACGACGACGACGACGACGACTTGTCGGTCGTCTCCGGCCATTCCATGTCCTCGACCGCGGCTCTATCTTGGGGCGATTCGGACGACGAGGTGGTGAAGATGCCAGCCCCATCGACGAGCAATGAGAAGAGCAAAGACAGCATCAAACATCGTGGAAAACTATACGCCATGATGCTTAGCAGCGGCGAAGACGACGAACAGCAGAGGCGTCCCGTATCACTACCGCCCCATGCTAAACTCTTGAGTCCATTGCGATCTCCTTCGACCGCGAATACTACGTATCGTGCTCCGCCGCCGCCGCCGCCGCCACCGCCGGGGTCAGTGGCCTGGGCCAACCGGCCGCCAACCCCGCCCACTGTGCGTGGTATACCCGTGTCAATACCCCAATCTCAACCCGGCTCGTACCGCCCTCGACACTCACCGCCTTCTACACAGACAGGCCCGCCCCCGCCCCTACCAGCGCCGGTCTTCTCGGCAACATACATAGCGCCAACAGCTCCCCCAGCTCCTGGCCCTGCCCCTATACGTGCCGAGTCTATCTCTCACGGCGTACCCTCGTCCTCTCCTCAGGACAAGGCCGCGTCTGCCGCGTCTACCACCCCTAACGGCAGTAATAATAACGGTCGTGTGCACACGACCCCCAGCTTTCCGTACTATTACCAAAATCCGCCGCGCCTGAACCTGAACCAGAACCAGCAGCACCAGCCTTCTGCTGTGACTGGCGCCAACTCCACCGCTCGTATGTACGACGTACGGCTGGCAATCCGGTGGGTCGGTCGCGGCGAGCAGCGGGTCCTGGAGAGCAGCCGAGCCAGTGTGAGGGCGCTGCAGGAGATGGGATTGGCGTATGTGCGGACGCACGCGGACGCCTTCAAGGACACGAGCGTTAAGAATAGCAGCAGCCCCGACGGCAGCATCAGCCACCGTAACCACCAGGGCCACAACAACGTTCACGGGTCAGCGTTGCGCGCACGCCTCCGCCAGGCCTTCTTCGGCGTCGAAGCGTACGACATGACCACGTACCGCGGTGACGACCTGACCAAGTTGTTCAACGTGCTGAGCGCGAGCGGCATCCCCCTCTTCGAGATCGAGGTCGAGACGGTGGCTCCGCCGCGGCCGGCACCGCCAGCCCCAGCGATGCCGACGCAAGCAATGGTGTAAGACTTGGGCTCCGGAAGATTCGGGACCGGGACAAAAGGGCCGCTGGGCAGACATACACAGGATACACAATAAACAAGACGGGGCTAAGGAGGCACATCTGATTTCTATTTTACGCTTATTTCTTTGCCGCGCTGTTCCTCTTCCTTCCTTCCTTGCTCTCCCCCGTTTCTTACGCCTCGCCCAACTTGCGAGCTGACGGACAGACGTTCATTTTTTTGTACTCTTAGCCTCGGGCAAGTCTCAGCACTGTTCCGGGCGGCCGATGCCTCCTTTAATTTATTTCTCACCGACGACACGGGCATACAGATACACTCTCCCGGTCCAACATACCCGAATGCGGAAGCGGTTTTTTTACGACCCTTCTCCTCCCACGTGTCATGATTCCTCGCCCCCCCCCGGGCGCACCCCCCTTTCCCTTTGATATTCATTCTAGATTGCTACGATATCATCAGAAGCCAACTTGTGCTTCACGAGGACGAGCAGGGAGTGAGGAGACGAGAGGAGGGAGAGAAGGGGAAAAGGGCAATGAAGAGGCGTTGTTGGGGGCTAGGACCCCCAAGAGTAAGAGAAGGGGGTGAGCGGAAAGAGAGAGAGACCGAAGGAGAGCAGAAGGGAGATTAGCTTGTCCGATTCCTTGAATTTTCTCCTATCTTCTAATATTCCCCTTCCGAAGTTGTACAAGCCCCCCCCCCCTACTTTCTCCTATTTACAGGTTGTACGATGTACCCTGCTATCGACTGCTGTTGTTACTGTAACTACCACTGTCTTGGATGGATTGGGAGGCTGACTGCTTCGGCAAAATGTAAGAACCCCCCCCTTTAACCCCCTCCTCCCCCTCCAAAAAATAAAGGCAGGCCCATTCTTTTTTTTCTTAACCTGCTCAGGTTGATGTTGCAGGCCCTGGTTTCGGACTATCTAGACTGTTCAAGGACGCAGTGTGCCTGTTTTCCCTTCTCCTGCTAGCTTGAAATCTCGAATCGAGGTAATGATAGCGTATTACTCTTTAACACACACACGAGCTTACGGATTCTTTCTGTGTTGCTGTGACCGACAGATCCGGATTTCCTACTAGGAGGCACACCTAGTAAGAGTGATAGGGCGATGCCTTATGAGTTACTTTACGCCTACGTCGCGCTATTTTCCGCGATACGTAGTAGAAAGAAGAACTGCAGAGAAAGAGAAACAAGGCGAAGAAAAGCAACCCCCAAGATGTCACTGTTTACTTTTTTTTTTCACTTTGGGTCACTTACACGACATCAATAACGTGAGCCCGTCCGCCCGCCCGCTCTCCAATAGCTCGGGCACGCAGAGGACGACGAAGTACGCAACATACCGTCCTACGTGCAACACCCGTGTACGCAATGCGGTGTCGACGTAGCATGTGGCCTCGCAGGCCGTCCCCTCGTACGCTAGACGTGGTATGGATGCACGTACGTCGTATGGCCCAGGCGCAGCACGACTGCGGGCGCTGTATGGGTGGATGATGTACGCCACGGCGGCCTTACCTTACTTTGCCTTCGGGCGGGCCAACAGAAGGGATGCATGGCTGTTCTGCTCTGTCCCCGGCCCCCGTCGCCAAGCGGGCTCGCCCGCCCAACTGGTCGTCCGGCGATTGGGAAGGGCGCACTGTGGTGGGCTGGTAGCACGGTAGGGTAGAGCAGGGCAGGGGAGGGTGGTAGTAGGGCGCATACATACGTAGGTATCTACAGACACACATGCTCAAGGAGGTAGCGGGGGTGACGCACGCAGCCAAGGTCATACCTCTCCCTCCCCCCCTTGGCTCCCCTACGAAGTGGCCGGCGCCACTCACCCCGACGCTGACGCGGCGATGGCGATGACGAGCACGTTGCGGTGTGGGGGGGGGAAAGGAGAGGGGAAGGGGGGAGGGGAGCGTGTTAGTACATAGGTGGGCAGAGCTCGGGACAAGAAAAAGGCAGAGCTTACTTGCGGAGTTCCATCGTCGTCCTTACGTAGGTCGACGCCCGGATTTGGTGTGGCGGACGGGCTTGCTGCGTGCGTGCCGTACGCGGTGTAATGTGGAACATGGAAGGGGAGGGGGAGGCGATACGGTGGGAAGGACTGCCACCGCATGCTCGCCGCAGACGGACAGACGGGCCAATATATAGGCGGACATTATATAACGAGGAAACATATAGGGAGGGGGTGCGCGTAGGTGATGTGCGTGCCCAGACACGTACATATATGTGCGTGTACGTGTTGCCCGCGCGCGGCATGCATGCAGGTATTATGTGCATACCTAGGATATGAGAAGTGATATCAGACACGGCCTGCGTCGCATGCGTAGCATCATATCATCCGATTCGGTGCAGCGACGCCGATCCCAGGACGAGGAGGTGGAGGCGACCCGCGGAGCCCTACCGTTATTGTCGTCGACACTGTCATCTCTTATTTGCCGTCGATCGATCGCCCGGTTTCCAACCATTGCATGCGTAGGGCTCCTATTATCTCCCCCCCCCCCCCCCTCCCCCGTCGGCATGGAGGTGTGTCGGCGAAGGAAGCAGGTAACCGCTGTCTCTGCTGTCGTATTCGCACCCCGTCGGTCTTCTACGCCAAAAGGGGGGGGGAGGACAGCGGAGCGGCACAGGAGCGCGCCGTAACGGACATATGTAGGTATGTATGGACACGCCTATAGCCTGCGCGCTCTGCAAGGCTGGCGGCGCACCGCAGCAGACCGGCGCCCCCATCCCCGCGGAGGCCAATCGGGGACAGCAAGTAGGTATACATGCGGTCGAAGAGTTTCCTGCCTCCAGAGCGATTCGGTGACCGAGTGTGCGTCGCTGTCATCCGGCCGTCGAGGGCTTGGGGACCCCTGCCTTCTAGGCACGAATACATGTTATCCCAAACCGGCATGTCGTTGCCGGGATATATCCCGTGGTTGTTAAGTTGAGGCGAGGTCGGGCTGAAAAAAGATAAGGGCCGGTGCCAAGCGCGGGCCTAGAGAAGCAAGTGATCGCCAGAAGCCTGGGATGGGCTTGCGAATCAGATATATCCCTACCGCCGGGTCAGGTATTGGGTTGAGGGGAGGGGGGAGGGAGGTCTTGCACTAGATCGACGGACAACACACTCCCGCCAGCCAGCCAGCCAGAACGCGCTGGTTGGTCGAGGCGAGACGAGGCGGAAGAGCATCTTGGGCTAGGCGAAGCCGAAGACTGCGGTGCGTATGGACAAACTGGGGGGTTTTGCCCCCCTGCGAACGCCTTCATTCGCAAGACGGGACGGGATGGCTGTTAATGGAGTCTGTTATAGGGCGGCTCGCTGAAGGCACATGCATAACACCTATCTATCCAGCCCTCCCTTTTTACTCTCGGGTAATTTGGAATCCAGGACGGAGAGCCTAGAAGAATCCCGATCCGTTCGTTTCATGACGGAACGTATTAATATAGTTTCCGCGGATGTACCTACTTAATAATAATATCGTCGCTCTCATATATGGGTTAGTACCTTAGGTGATTACAAGCCCTAACTAATACTGTCGATAAATATTAAATCTCAGCTCGCGTTGCTCTATTATAGAGGAAACTTCACAATAAACAACGGTAGTGTTTCTTCTGCACGAGTTGGCCCCCGTGATCCGTAATAGACCTCCGAAAGACCGATTTTTTAACACTTAGCGACACAGAGAGTAGGCATTCCGCTTAGCGGATGCTAACCAAGAAACATAGTGTAGTTTACCAAACCCCAGTCGAGTATCTCAGATGGCTTTGTTGCTCTAGGATATACCAGGGCCACCGCGGGCGACACATTCGTGCGAGTAATACTATCAACTGGGCCATTCGTGCAACCTGGGTAGAGTCCTGGAGGTAACAGTTCCCGACGGCCTCTTGTCAACAAGATGGATCCCACTGTTTACTGGAATCAAGGCCAGATACGTTCCTAAGAGAGGCAGCGTGGAATATTTCAACGCCCGCATATCACGACACGGGCTGGGTTATTATGGTTAGCTGAGAAAAGACTTTATGGCGAAGAGTAGCACTTCCTGTGCCTGTTTCTCGGGGTTATTCCCGTGCCGTTGTGAGTAGGGAGGCTATGTTTATAACACACATATATCTCGCATCTACGTACATGGTATCGTGGCACACCCCAAACTGTTGTTCGCAGACAGGATAGGCATTCTCTCAACTCCCCCCTCAAAGCGCCGAGATACTCAAGCTACCGGATCGCTAGCAACGCTCAACCTTTCCCCTCCCGTCAAAGAAGCCCACGTCGGGACATCGCTGATACTACATGCCGTCTCGCTGGTAAATCTCAGGCATTTCTTTCTTTCTCTACGCGGGCCACCCTCGCATAACCCCCCTTTCCCCTTAGGACTTTTTGCCTCCCGGCCGTCCACGTCGCAAAGCGAGAATACTCCCGTGAAAGCGCTGGTAACACCCGTCTCGGGCCCCCGTGTCTATTCGACTCTCTCCTCAAGAGAGCAGAGAGCCTAGGAACGTCATCCTACACTTTCAGCACCCCACCCCCCTTTTTTTCATTCCTCTCCGCGTCTCAAGCGAGGCGTTTGAGGCCGAGGGCACGGGCCGGCTCGGGGGACGGCTGAGTCGGAAGGGGGGCGGGAGGTAGAGGGGACGTCGACAGCGGCGTGCGGACAGACCCGTCGTGGGGCCGTCAGCCGCGGCCGCGCTCGCTGCCGTCGAGCAGAGGCGTCGCTATTCCCCCTTCTGTGTCTGAAGCGCCGTCAGCAAGTCACCTACCCGTCGCTTCTCCACGATCTCTCCCTCTCTCTCTCTCTCTCTCTCTCTCTCTCTCTCTCTCTCTCTCTCTCTCTCTCTCTCTCTCTATGTCGCCAAGCCCAGGTCCGCGTAAGGAGCGCCACGCGGCAAAAAGCAAAAGAACGACAAAGGAAAGAAGAAGAAGAAGAAGAGAATCCCTACGCTTGCGCGGCGGAGCGACGCGGCGCCGCCGCCGCTCCCAGCCGAGGCCGAGACTGCGCTCCAGGACGCGGCGCCGGGCGCGCGTGAGGTGCCAGGGCGGGGGCGAGCGCTCGACGAGGGCCAGGGCGCCGCAGTGCTCGCGCCGCAGCGCCGCGAGCAGGTCGCGCGCCTGCCGGGCGGTGACCTCGCGGCCGAGGAGCCGGCTCAGCGCCGCCGCGACGCCCAGCGGGCCCAGCTTGCCCGGGAGGCTGCGGTGCTCGAGTTTGCACTGTCACAGGGTGAGGGGGGGGGGGGGGGGGTAAGCGAGGCTTAGGGGTCTACGGGAGGGGTATCAGGGGGGAAGGGATGGGTGTTGGGTCGTGATGGGAATAAGGGTGGGCGTGTGAGGACGGTAAGGACGGTGTTGTGAAATCGACGGATTTTGACAAGTCGAAGACGTGCTTGTTGTAGGTAGCAGGACAGTCGAGAGCGAGGCGCCAGACCTAGGTACTCACAAGCAGGACAACAACAACGTCGAGCTCCTTGGCCGACCACTCTCGGAGCTCGGAGCTCTTTACGATGTACGACATTGCCGTTGTACAGTTGATGAACGCGTTTCGGTACGGAAGACGAGTGGTTTTAGCGATAAAATATATAGGGGTGTTGAGTTGTCTCAGTGGTCGTTGTCGTTGGCCTGTTCCGAGTTGCAGTCGCTGCTGGTAGGGGCTGTAGGGTTGTTCATACTCGAGAAAGTCAGGGGATATAGCGAAGAAGCGGCGAGAGGAAGATATCTGTCTATATATACCGAGAGAGAAAGAGGGATGAATGCTTGATCGAATGTCTGCGATGCGTGGCAGGAGAGAGAATGTGTTACCCGGCTGATGCTAGTAAATATTGGTCAACTACAGGCACAAAGTACCGAAACTCGAGAGCATTAACCTACGTTTTTCTATTAAATCTCAAATTGTTCCGTCGTCACGATTTAACTCGAAGAAGTCGTATTGATTCTAATACCCCTCGGATACATTTGACTCCATTGTAGACTCGAGATGGAAGGGCTATTCGAGTTCAAACATCTCAGCCGCACAATTATATCCGTCAATGCTTTCCGTCCTGTAGGCCAACCCTCATACATGACCCTGACTATACAACATTATGTGCCCTACTAGGGACTCTTATGGAGATGTGATGGAGGAGCTGGGCATCTATGGCGGCTGTCTGAGGTGCCAATATTCACACTGGCGGCTGGAGGATTCACACAAAATCAGCTAATTGAGGACTTCGCATCGTCTGGTAGGTATAACTACGGTTGGTGGAACCATGATCAACAACTACCCTCATTACAAAGATTCAAGATGGGTTGAGCTGTAGCTTATCTGAGTAAGGGGAGAGGCCATGGCTATACACCATACATCTCCGAACGCCTGTATAGGGCATGATGCTAGGTCCCCGGCTTCCACTTCGATAACACCCGTCACCACCATTCTTGAACACATCTCCGTAATATTCGGCAGGCTGCCTTATTCAGTGTATAGGCGCTTTATATCCCAGCAAAAACCCGGTAGGAAATCATTTCTGTCGCCTGAAAACGCAGACGTCTACATTTCCTCGTTTGGGTATGCACGTTTATGTATAGGGAGGATTCCCTACGTGACAACTTGAGAATAAGATCTCCCTTTCTTGTGCCAAGGGCAATGCCCCAATGTATCTTCAACCGTTTTCGTGCTGAAATATGTATAGCCCTAATGAGGGGGGTTGTTAGTGAATAACAAGTACTGGCTTTTACAGAGTGTCATACGTCTGAGAAGTATTCGTTGATATCCATGGGAGGATGAGAGTGTCCAGCTTGCACTGGTTTAGCAGAGCCACTGTGTGGGTGCCGTCCGTAACAGACAGAATAGATACCGGATCGATGCACGGTCCGTGCAGTTGAAAGTTGCCCATCGATAGGATCCTAGTAGAACGAAGGTCGAATGTTCTTCCGTCTCCATTGGGTTATGGCCGTCAAGAAGGCATGGGAAGATGAGTTGGAATCGAAAGGTGTTCATGCGGTGAAATGCTGCTGTAGTATCTCACCTTCTTAGGGGTCGGCCCTAGGAATCTAGAGGAGCAGGGCCAGGCAGGAATGACAACGATGCATCAAGATCTTGATACTCGGCTGACGTGTCATCCACGCCCTCTGCTTGGCCCCGCTCCTCCAGATTCCTAAGGCCGACTCCCACAAGGAAGATGAAGGTGAAATACCACAGCGGCATTCTACCGAGTTGATATAACCCCCCGCCCGCCACCCCATGGTTGTGTTGATTTGTGTTAGATCGACGGGGGAGGGGGGGGGGGGGGGACGTGAGACAGGAGGATAGTGCCGTGATGAGATGGATATCTCATTACTATAGGCATTGAGGCCATATTGGCAAAGCTCGTGGGGGGGTTGTCGTTGTTGTCGTTGTAGGAGGATGATCAAAGAGAGGAGGAAGGGGGAGATTGGGGGAGGAGTCTGAACTGGAAGGGCGAACCTTATAGTTGATGTCATGGTAGATGGTGGTTATTATGGTGATATGATGAGCAGTGGATGCTCACGCTAAGGGAAAGGAAGCAATAAGTAGGGTGGTTTGACAGGTGGTAATCCATGAGTCTGGCGTCGAGTGCTCAGATATTTATATTGGTTTTCTGAAAGGTATTCGTTCATGTGTGGGGGAGAAAGGCACATATTTATAGTTGGGGACAGGTGAACAAAATCAGCAGATCTCTAAATTGAGAGGAAAGTATTTTTTTTCTCGATTTTTGTTGAGGGATGGTCGAAATAACACCTGGTGCTCAAAGACAAGTTTCGACAGCCCAAGATGGTTTCATAAGTACGGGTCCCTTTATGGTGTTATATTAATGTGACGGTAGGTGATCTGCTGAATAACATAGGATGGCCTAGAGATTTGGGTGGTATTATTCCCAACTGAATATGTCCACAGTTGACAAGTCGTTGCAGTTTAGCAGTGTGATCTATTCCTCGTACCTTCGATGCTCACAATAGAGGTTGAACACAGACTGCAGTTGACTTAATGAGACAAACTTAGCTTGGGATTGAAGAGGAATCATTGCTAGGTAAGGATTGGTATTAGCAAGGGGGTTGAGATAGAGAGTGCTAGTCTGGGCTATGGAACTTGGCTGCTTGGATGCCTCTGGTCTCCTGCTCTGCCGCTCCTCTCTATGAAGCCAACCCTAGCCTGGCCATACCCCTGCGTACACCCATCCTGCAACTTACTATTCAAAATCATCAAATGGTGCCCACCTGAGGATTAGCGTCTCAAAATTGGTTGGTTCGCAAGCATGTATGTATATAGAGAAGACCTTGTCGTCCTGTCGCTGATGTCTAGCCATTCAAACAAACAATGGTTAACTCTGGACGGAGGCCAGTCCGAACCTGAGTCTATCGCCCGCAACGCCGCCCAAATGCCGCAATGCTGTTAACACCCCGTGGCCCGGATACAGAGGCCCTCTATGGTCGATTGACTAATATATACCCTGGGTGCGGTATTGGAAAGTGTCGTAACTGCTGAGCGTTAGAGTCGATTTAGCTAGAATGAGGAGGCGGAAGTCAACTAACAGTCGTGTATAGTAGCTGCCCAGTGACTTTGCGATGAGATCAGTCTCGACGAAAGTCTCTGCTCCATCGGCACTCAGATGCAACTGAAAACGCTGCCGCAATGTTGCCGTCGCCTGTGTTACTCCAACCGCGAAGCACGGCATATTCGAATCCCGTCCCATCATGCTGACTAGATCAATGATGTTGTCCGCCGAACGACGTAAAGCTAAGAAGGTATTAGAAGAAAAAAAAAAGGCGCGCATGGCAAGTCTTGCTCCTCTAGAAGTCTTACCTTGAAAGGCCTGCTTGCATAGCGTCTTGAAGTCTTCAAAATCGGGAGAATCAACCCCGCCCAACACCTCCACGTATTCCCACGTCAGTTTGAAAGGGGCTGCTTCAAATCCGACGGACCCGGGCGAATTTGAAAGCATAAAGCCGAAGTCGATGTGGATAATGTGCCCCTCGTTATCGATGAGCACATTGCCGTTGTGCCGATCTTTTAATTGCAATACATACGAGATGATGCTGTATGCTGCGAGGGAGCGTTTGAAGGCGTCTACGGCTGCTCGGTAAGGCTCGCTTTCTGGCTTGCCAAACGTCTTGACCCAATGGTCCTTGAGCGTTGCGAGGCGGCGTCGAGGGTTTGCCCCGGACTCTATCGAGGCTAGAGTCAAGCTACGTTTGAGCGAGTGCAGGGATACACCATTCGTGATCGTTTCGATGAGACCCGATGACTCGCCGGTGACCAGGATTCGCATCAGCTTCACCCACACGGGGACGCTCGCATCCACCCAAATCTTGTGGCAGACCTGGATGAGTTGACACGCAAAAGCTTCCTGCCGGAGATCGGCCCCGGTCTTGACGATGACACTAACCAAATCCCAATTCTTCATCCACCCGTACGGCGAGGTCTTGCGAATCCGTTCCTTCTTCATATGCCATGCTTCACCAAACACCGCGGCACTCGGGTCGTCACGATCCCCTTTCCTCTGGACACCGCCGGTCATCGCGTCGTTCTCCATCCGAGCAGCGCCCGCGTTCGGGTTAGTTGTCGGCTCGAGGTCCTCTTCCAAGTCGCCGCCTTCGGAAGCCGAGGATGCCGCCGCATTGGCCTTGGCTATGATTAAATCAAAGGTGGGACCGTGACCGTCGTCGAGGTCGAAGCTTTGTTCCTCAAGGCTCTGCATGCTTGCGATGATTCTGGACCGGATAGCGGCAACCTCCTGCCGCGGTCTCTTACCGCTCGTAGCTTCTAGCTGAGCTAGCATCTGCGATGCTGTCCGCATGTGTGTTGCCAGAGCCGAGAAATCCGGTTGGTCGCTTAGAGTGTTCCGGTGGTTGGGTAAGGTTAGCCTTCTCAACGGACCGGGACTGCTTGATCTGGATGTTGACGTTGTTGAAGTTCGTGGTGGAGTCAAGTTCGGTGGAGAGGATATGTTTGCTATGCCATTAGTCAGGCTGATGCGGCCGATAGGCTGCTTCCCATTCCTCCTATCAACAATGTCGTCGTCGTCGTAGGGTTTCAGCATCGGTGAGGTCCCTAAGTCGCCCGAGGTGGGTTCGAACACGCTATCGATCTTCTCTACCACAGAAGAGGGTTCCCGCTCAGCTGTTTGCGTTCTTTGCGAATCTGACAGGTCGAAGAGGCGCTTGCGAGTGCCTTGCTCAGACACAAGGTTACTGAGAAGCCGCTGGTTCTCTCTGGAGGTAGGATCGAATGTGAAGTCATCGCGAAGGATCTCGAGCATGAGGAGGTAGGGTACCTTTTCGGCGCTGTTAAGAACGGTGGCCTCTGCAGGGTTGATCCTCACAATACGATGGTGACGACTCTTTGCAGGCGAACCGTCGACTAGAGTGGGTGGACAGATGATAGGTATGTCCAGCTCGGCTGGTAAGTCTCTAGCGATGAGCGCAAGCTCGGCACGTAGAGCGCTGAGACGAGCCGGCTTCGGCACAATGACTAAGCGGTTTGATATATCCTCAAGCGCCGGCAGAAACGCGGTTTGACAATGAAAGTAATTCTGCCGCAATAATTTTGCCTTCTGGGCCACTGTCATCTCGGCTAGACTTGCAAGCGTTTTGATATGGTGAGAATGTCTTCGCGTTATGGTGTCGGTCGGACGCGGGAGCCCGGCGGAGAGCGGCGTGATTGGTCGTGCTGGCATCCTTGGCGATCTTACCTCGGGGAGCGGGAGAGACGACGAGCTCAAGCGAGCATCCAACAGCCTACTGTCAACATAGCCCGGCTTCCGCGGTTCGGGTGCGGCGTCTCCGTCGTCCCCGAGACTCGGGGGTGGGGGAGGGGTTACATGCAACGGAAACCTGGGCGTCGAAATAACCTTTCTCGAGTCGGGCACGCTCCCGATCCGGGCCGGCTCCCGCGGCCGCCGCGACCTCGTCGTGTTCCCCGTCACGGTTTGACTTCTCGTGACCTTTGGCGGCTGGCTCGGCTGGCTCGTCTCGGATATAACGTCGCCAGAGGGGTGGGGTTTCCTCGCCTGCGCGACGGCTAACGGGCCGGCCCATTGCGGCAGGCCCGGGAGACCGACGCTGGCTAGGACAAAGCTCGCCAGCACGGTGACGGGGAGGGCGTTCTCTTTGATCTTGTCGTGTCGCGCGGCTTCCGAGAGGCCGAAGACGATATGCTGCACCTTGTTGTAAACCCTCCGGCAGGTCTTGAAGGCTTCGGACTGGGGCGTCGAGGCGAGGTCGTGCAGATAGGTTTGGAAGAGCCAAAATGTCTGAGGCAAATTCAGCAGGACATTCTAACGGGGACGGGTTTCGGCGCGGGTGCAGACCAGCAGAGCGGCAGTGACAGATTCCTCGCAGAGATCCAGCAGGAACTCTTCCAGCGCCATAGACTCATTGTCGACGCTCATTATAAGGTGGCACAGCTGGGGCAGGAAGAACTCGATGTCCTCGTAGGGGAACTGGCGGAGCTTCGAGCACAGGACATAGTGGATGCCGACATGGTCCGCATATCGACTTTCACAAACGCCGAGTTAGCAAGCGAGCGCGACAGGAGCGAGAGAGAGAGAGAGAGAGAGGCACAGGCCGAGCGACGGCACCGAGGGAGGGAGAGCAAGCAGACTTACGACAGATAGGAAACAGAGAGAAAGGGGTTCTGGTTGAAGACATCACTCTCGATAAAGCGCTGGAGTAGATCCCACGACATAGCGAGCTGACGGTGTTGGCTAGGGATGGGAAGAAATCGTGAGGCTCAATGCCTCACCTATGGCTCGACATGAAATGATTGGATCGAGTGGAAGGGGGCTGTCATGGCTGAGCGGGATGCAGCGAAGCGTCAACGTGTCGAAAAGCTCAATGCCTGACCGAAGATTTACAGTGTGGGTGGGTTTTCGACGTCGGCGCGCATCTCGACAAGAGAACAGACAGCAACCTCCTCCTCCTCTTCTTTGCCCAGGTTGGGCATGTACATGCCTCCTCCCATAGAAGTACCTCCCTCAGGTACTGAACCCAAACCCCGTCCCAAGGCTGGCAGGTTACTTGCCCGGGTACTTTCCCGGGTACTTGCCCAGGAGGGTGGAGATTGGGTGGAGGTATGTAGTGGGCAAGTAGCCACCCACTAGGAGATATGTACTCATATATCTACGACGTACCTGTGGTCTGTAGGTGCGGTAGGTACGTGCCTTCGTTACCCATTATAGGTTAGGTACACTACCTAAGGAGGTAGGTACCTAATATCGTTCCGCAATGCCACTGTAGAAGCTCTTCAGTTGGCGTCGACTTAACGTGTACGGTACATTTGGTATACCTTCAGTGTACACGCATCGGATAGGTACACTTTGATGTTCGCTTTACGTAAGGCGCCAGGTCCTTCCGGGACAGCAGAGGCTTGCCGGTTCTCCCGTGGGCAGCTTAAGAGGTAGGTATATTGTAATAGCACTGACCTCGACCTTGCTGCTTCACGTACCTCGGTATCTTAACCGGTCCATCGCATGGGTGGTGGGTTAGGTACCTCTTTGGTGGGAGGTAGGTCGATCTCACCCATTCAAATGCACCAAGGCCATCCTTGGAACCCCTAGCTCCGTGCTCAGCACCTCAGATTAGAGGTATTAGAGATACCTGCCTAGGTAGGTAAATTAGAGTTCAGGTGTCAGGTACCTACGTATAATAATCTTCTGGGACAGATTCTGGCCTCACCTCAACCTCGATCGGATTGGGTTGGTAGTATAAGTGCATTGAAGACCAGATGACAGGTATTTTAGGTACTGCTAGACGGCTGTCGTAGAGTTACCTACCTAGGTAACTTGCCTATCAATCACCCTACCTATCTCCTACCTACCTACCTTCATGCCTCCTACATACCTGAGCTGAAGCATGTACATACCTACCTACCTATGTAGGTAGGTAAGCATACGTGTGTAGGTGTAGATGGAGGAGGGGGAGGTGAAAGCGAGACAGAATAGGATGATCCGCCCGTCCGTGATAGAGACGAGACAAGTCAGAAGAATACTGTTGTCTCGAGACCCGACGGCCCCGTCGCCTCTAGGCATTCAGGGGTAAGCGAAGAATCAAACAGACCAGCGAATAACCTCTCTGACGCGTTGCCAGGAGGTGCCTTGGCAGGAAATTAATGAAGCCCCGCAAGTTTCCTCTTCATCCGTATATCCTAAGCACATCATGGCTGGCAGGGTGCTTCCGTCCATCTGTAGGTATGTAGGTGAGACCGTCGGCATGGGGGGTAGAACATCATCGCGGAACGCTATCGAGAATGCAGACGGCAAAAGAAGGATGGTACGTACGTGTATGCACACATACAGGGTGCGTAGCAGTGGCATTCCAGGTACACAGGCGGACCACTTTCCAGCCTTACCGGGGTGGTCTCATCACGAGCAATTATCACGACAGCTTCCCATATCTCGAGTTTCTTCTTCTGCTTCCCTCCCCCCGTTGTTCCTACCGGAGCGTGCAGTGGCAGCTGGGCTTAGAATTCCCTCACTATCTTTTTACATTACTTATACGGCTGTTTTTTCTCTCTCGGGTCTCACCAGTCGTGTCTCCTATGCTCGGTTACCGCTTTCCCCGGCAAGGGAACCCGCACGAGTCGGCGCATAGCATGATCGGCCGGGCATGCATCTTCCTGTCACTGCGTAGGGTAGCCCCTTAGTAAACCTCCAACGCCGGTATATGCCGCCCCTCGGTGATGTAGAACGCCTGCGGCTCAAATCATTACTCATCGTGACCTCGTCATCGCCGTGATACAACCAAGAGAAAAGTACCTAGACGGAAGTGGTATGGCGGAAGCGATCGCTACGCCGGCGCCTTCTTTTTGCGCCCGCCCCTCCCCTTTTTCTTGACCTCTCCGCCGTCCGCCTCCTCGTCGCTGTCGGTGTCGGCTCTGCCCTTACCCGCGCCCCTCCCTCCCTCCTTCTCCTCGGTGACTTTGGCGACGATATCTTGCAGGAAGTCCCATTCGTTAGTCGAATCCACGGCGTGCTTGAGCATCTGCGCCGTGATCCTCTTCGAGTTCTTCTCCCTCGCCACATCCGCGCTCTTTCGCACAAGCTGCACCATGAACAGCTCCAGCGCCTTGCCTACCGCGATAGGCGTCTGCTGCGCGACCTTGCCCACCTCCTCGTCGGCCTGCATTATACGCTTGATCCGCGCGGTAGGGAACTTGGTCTTGACGGGCGACGCGCCCAGCTCGCTCTGCCGTGCCGCCGGGGCAATCTTGCGCGGCGGCATAGTGTTCGGCGGATCGGCCAATTGGGACTGGTCGTAGAAGACAGGCGGCTGCGCAGGCAGGAATTGGGCGGGTTGGGCCTGGGGGGTCGGGTGGAAAGGGGCGGCTGACGCGGGCTCGGAATAGGGCGGATGATACGAAGCGAGGCCCGGATCTTGCAGGCTCAAAGGCGGCCGGTCGGTGTAGGCGAATTGAGTCTGCTGTCGGGGGGAATAGTACTGCGCCTCTGGCTGTGGCGGTTGCTGATTTCTAACGTTGCGCGGCGGCGGATAGGTGTTGAAGGCGGCGTGGCTGTTACCGGAGTCGTCGAGGCCGATGTTGCTATATGCTGCTGCTGGAGCTGGTGATGTTGGAGCTGTGCCGACGGGTTGTGCAAGCGGCGGTAGAGACGAAGGGGTAGGGGGCTGATATGGCGCGGAGGTGTACTGGTGGCGGGGCTGTGGCTGGCCGTATCTCAAAGAAGCTCGGGCGACAGCTGGCGCCTGTGTCTGTGCCACTCCGGGACCAGCTGCTAGACCGACTCCGGCCCCAAGCGTGGGCTGAAAGGGGTAGCCACCTGGGGCGTTGGCGCTGGCAGGGATGTCGGTGGCGCCGGAGTAGAAAGAAGAGAGATCGGGCGATTTGGGCGCATAAGAGCCGCCTTGGGTGGACATGACTTCAACAAATGTATAGTAGGAGAAGATGCCACACAGCCAGATGCGAAGAAAATCGGAGAACTCAGGGACGGCGGGGCAGGTCTCTTTTGAGACCTGGCTGCAACCCTGGAGCTTGTCGGATTGGCGAGAGTGGCTGGTCAAGACAGGCGACTCATCGGGTTGCCCTGAAATGGATGGGTCGAAACGGAGGCTGCAGGACCGGGGAGGGCGTGTTTTTATCTGCCACCGTCTCGGGCGTTGGCTACAGTGCCAGAACAACTGAGGTACAGACGTTTACCTCTGCAGGCTAGGTACCTAGGAGGTAGCTTTTAGGCAGCGCGATGGGGTATGAGGATTGGAAGGCAGGCTGATGCACGGAGGTCTGTAGTGTACCTGTAGTGTACCTCTGCGGCGTCCCTGGACAGCCCCGGCCAACCTAGACGCTGTAGGGAGCTGGGTATAAGCCTTAGGCAGGAGAGGTACCTAGGAGGTATGCGGGTGTAGAGTACGTGGGCAGGTACCTGGGCAGACAGCACCCCATAGAACGTGCACAAGAATGCAGGAGGAGCAGGAGATCTCCGATTGGAGAGCGAGGGTGCGCGTGCAGGTATATATGTGTGGATGGTGCGGGTAAGAGGGGAGTGTACCCAGGTGGCCAATACCTAAATAAGAGCCGTTCCCGCGTGGGCCAGACACCTAGATGGATAATAGTCACTATGTATGCCCGCCTGACGGATTGTCGCACCCCCTCCTTTGTTATCTTTGTTATCGGGGATGGACGGGAAGTCTGTGGTGTGTGTGTGTGTGCGCTCTGCTGCTGTATGCGCGTGTCTGCGTGTGGTAGGGGACGGGGCGGGTATGTACCTATATCAGCTGGATTACGAGGTGGGTACACGAGGTAGGCAACTCCGTTGAAAAAGGACGGTGGGGCACCACTTGAAATGCGATGCCTGCCCGGATACACAACGCAGATATAGGTTAGTCAGGCCGAAGCATGGGCGCCGGAGCAATAGAACAATCGACGATGCGACGATGCGGATGGTCCAGCTCGGCGGTCGTGAGCGTCGGGGGTGCGCCTAGCAAAGGAAGAAAAATAAGAAAAAAGAAAAAATGAAGATCGGTGAACACTAGGCAGGTAGGCAGGCTACTGGGTGATACCTCCTAGCGATTACGGGCCACCGTTGTCATTTATAGCATACGAGCAGCGACCCCGCCGGCAGCCCTGGAACAAGCAAAGAGGACGCAGCGCGGCGCGGTGCGGTGCAGCGTCTTCAGCTGGGAAATCTGCCGGGCGGTGAGAGTGGGGTGCTGGGCAGGCTGGCGTTGGTGTGGGATGGGATGGGATGGGACGGGACTCGAATATCTGGCCGTTGGTTGGAGGGAAGGTCTCGGGTTCTGCTCGAACCAGCGCCGCGGGTTGGACTGTTTGGATTGGGCTCTGCACCCAGAACATGGACTGTCGACCGCAGCACGGGCTGGCGAACGAGCACCGTTTTTATATCCGCGACGGCCCACTGCGACGCGAAATCAAATCAGGGGTCCAGCTGTTGTGATTGGCACAGCCACCGAGCAAAAACGGAAGGGATGGCGGGAGACAAATTCACCTCACTTTTTGCGTTCGAGGCTACCTCCTAGTTACAGGCACCCAGGCAGGTACCTACCTTAGATACCTTACCTCCTGGGTTGCCTACAGGTTACAATACCACCGACTACGTACCTGCAACTGTACACGCTACATTCCCTTCAATACCTCGTTCTATTCCTATGCGTGTATACCTACCCCCCTAGGTACCTGCCAACCCGCCCACCCTAGAGGGTAGGTGTGGGTACTTAACCTAGTACCTGCCTAGAGGTACCTAAGGTACTTGTGTAGGCATCATGTACCTCTGTACAATGCCTACTTGCGGCGTATAGTAGGTATACATATCCTATACCAGTCTCCGTCGCCGCCGCTGCGTACACGCTACATGCGCGCTGCCTGCACCCTGCCGCCAAGTTACCTCTCACAGGCATGCCGTCCAAGGTACTGCCAAACGTCATGGACTTTTCGCCCCCGTGTACCCCTTCAGGTACCGACAGCAACGAGGCCCGGGCCCCCAACACACATTGTATCGCCTGCTACGCCCACCTCTTACGGGGTGCTACCCCACGGGCCACAACTGATTTTCCATTCTTCCTCTCCGTTTTTGATGGCCTCTCCCACGTCTCTGCTCTGTGCGGAATATCTCGATGGTCTTTATCGTAACCCGCTCTCCGAAGGCCACAATCCACGGTCTCCCCACTTGCGTCACCCTGCGGATCGCCCTCCCGTAAATAGATGGCGAACACTTTTCGCACCTGTGTCGCCATCAGACGGGACCCGGAGGGATGGGCGAGGCCATCATAACTCCTCAGCGCACCAATCCGTTCCCCCGTATTGGCCCGTCCCATCGAGCGAGCCTCCCCGAGAAGCTAGCCTGCAGAGCCAGCGTGGGACCATTTGCGATGAATGACTCCCCAATTCTCAGCCTCGTCGTCGGAGCCTGACTATGATCCTACTGTCCTGCGCGCTTATCGTCGCAAGAAGGTAGATAGGTACCCGGTGGAGGCGGTGAGTTCGATACCCAAGCTAGGCTGCTTCTTCCTCTCTTCTCCTCCCCTTTCCCCTTCTCGGGGAGGGGTGCCCGTCTCAAATGTCTCGGCACGTCATGAATGATGATATCTATGCAAAGAGCTTGTCGGAGACCACGGTTGACCCACGTTTAGAAGCCTAGGTTAGCAGGACTTTCCCCCTAGCCTATGGTTTCTTCTCTCCGGGTCCGGTCTATGATGGAGTTACTTGATCTAATCTGACATGACACGGCATGGCATGGTATGGCATGACATAAGCACACGTCCCTCTATTCACATGAGTCTCGCATCAAGCGGCGGCGCTATACCGTCATCTAACGGACATTATCTCCGATCACTTGCACCAAGGCTGCTAGTCCTTGCTTTCTACTTTCTAACGAGCCTCCGAGGAATAGACTCGCTACTGGCCAAGCATGAATACCCCCCTCTTCGGCTTGGCTGTGTACGTCGACATCGTTTTCCGCTAAAAAATTAACCCAATCCTCTATGTCGAGTGCGAGAACCTCCTCGGCCCCATAAGCCACGTAGATGCCTCTCGAGGGTATCGCTTTCTTCCACCACGCCACATCTCTGTTGCTCCCCGGCGATAAGACCGGGTCGTCGATCGGAACTTTGCCGGCGGCGTATTGACGGGCATACCGGTGTAGGCTCCCGGCATCCAGATAATCACTCGCGTTGTTGCGATGCAGGTTGGAGACCAACGTTACCCAAGGCGAAATGAGCGCTGCCATCCCGGGCTTGGCCAGGCGGCAGGCTCGAATGCCGTCCATCTTTTCGAGGTCGAGGTTGGCAAGGTGAAGCAACAGAGAGAGCACAATGGTGGCTCCCGCGGAGTCTCCGCTGACGCAAATCCTGCTAGGATCCTGCACCCTCGAAAGCACATGCTCGTAACCGGCAATGGCCTCTTCCACCTGTGTTGGGAAGCTACCGTCAGGAACCAGCGTGTATTCCAGAGAAAAGACGGCCGGGTTCCGGTATCCGCTAGCGCCCAGCATGCTCTGCCATGCATGCAGGAACTCGAGGTAGAAATACCCCGAGCCCATCGAGAAGCCCCCGCCTTACAGCGCTGTTAGTCGCCTCTAGATCCTACTCTGCGGATCCAAGTCTCTTCACACATACCGTGAGCGTAGAATACGCAAACGTCCGGTGTTTGTATCGGGTCCTTTATGATCCAGATCCCTCTAAAGCGCTCCTACGAGACCCGTGTTAAAGATTGAAATATGCGCCGGTAATGGCGTGGGCATCTCGTGCCTACATGTTTATACTCATACCAGTGCATGGGAGACGTGATATATCCGTGCCGCAGCATCCGGAACCGTAAGAAAGGCAGTGCCACCGGCTTCGAGAAGAACACCCTACCGACCTTCGGCGGCAGGTTTGTGAACGCATACCGTACGCACCGAGTAACCACGTGTTCGAACGGCGAGGCCTTCCGCACGAACGGGGACTGGTCCGCATGGCTGGTGCAGTAGCGCTCGCGAATGAACTGGTAAGGCAGCTCGAATACTACCGTCGTATCGGTTAATCCATCGTCCCATCTTGGGGTGCATAACTGGATCTTCTGATCTCGCGAGCGAACTCACATAGGAACGGCAGGCACCGGAGAACGACAGAAACGGTCTCGAGTAGGCTGACGCGGACCAACAGCTGCGGCGTGAGGAAGACGCAGAAGACGATGCAGTCCAGGTAGGAAACCGGGCCCAGGTTCATGGCGACTACGGATGAACTCGAAAGGCTCTTAGCCCAGTACCCATGCTTCGAGGAAGTGCAAAAGAAGTCTAAAAGCGGTGGCCTTGGCGGCTTCTACGCCATAATTATTGCAGAGTAAGACGACAAGCAATCTTCGAATCTTTTCGCTTCGGCTTCCGGCATCTACGTCGTAGACACAGCCACGTGCGTATTCAGGTACACGGATGACAATGACAACTTGTCCCGCCACTGGATTCACCCGCAACCTAACCTCAGATGGCCAAGCCGGCGGGGCTTTAGGTGTATGCACGCCTTGACAGTGACCTGAAGTCTTCGCCCGGATGACGTCGAGACTCAGGGAAGGGAGGAAGACGAAGAGGGGGGTTTACTAATCAGGACAGACATGACAAAGCCTCAGCCACCCGCCATCGTAAGCCAAATAACGTACCCGTTGTAAGAAATCTTCCGACAGGATATGTAGGCGGGATAGGCATCGCCTGTTGTCTGGCTTATACCGTTGGCAGCACGGGTGTACAGGTATACAGGTGTACGAAATACCACCCTCTGGTTCCAACGTCGTCGCACCCGCCCGAAGACGAGGTCGTGCCACGCCCATGCTATAGGTAGGTACTACGACGCCAAAATCTGTCAGCGTGTTGCCGCTGTCGCTGCTACAACTACACCCAAGGTTCCGCGAATTGTCGGAATGACAGGTCAGCTATGGACACAGAGGCTAGGCACCACGGCAGGTAGCTGTCCAATAATTGTCTCTGGCAATGGGGTGGGACGCAATCTTCTCTTTCCACCGTTGCGGAGTTAAGACATGGTGCATGCGCATAGTAACAATGCTGACTCGGAGACGGCAGACTCGTCAGATTCTCGTGGATGATACTTACATGTGTAGACATATATCGTCTCTCGGTATATATGTGCGATTGATATATAGGTATGCAGGCTATATATGATAGCTACCTGCTGCAGCGGCAGGTACCCGAATAGGTACATGCGTAGGCAGGCAGAGGTAGGAATGCATTGCACAACACCACACCACACCACACCACCTTGGACCAGCTCGGTGAAAGTGCTCGTAGATACGCGTGGTCCGGATGTGCGAGTACGGCGAAGGCGGGATGGGAATGGGGCGTGGGCGTCTAAGTGGGCTTACATACCGAATCCGGCTCTGGATATTAAAGGAGAAGTGCGATTCTAGACGCACAACGAGTGCTCGTCTGTCTGCCGAACTTAGAATTGGTAACTAGGTAGGTAGCTTTGGGGCGTAGGTGTCTCTGGGGTCGACTACGAAGTATGCCAATCACGTAGTCCTGACTCTGCTCACGACGCCCAAGTTGGTATTCAAGAAAATAATCCTGGGGAGAGGGGGAAGTGGCGCATCTAACTTGGGTGACTGCTACGTGCCCGTCAAGGATATCTCCTCTTGTTTGGTAGACGGATCTATATAGTAACATGTCTCATGGCTCTTCTACTGTAACTACCTAAGTACAAGCCGAGACTCTCTATAGCCCCCTTCCCCCGCACCAAGCCCGGGGCACGTAAGCTTCTCAGCCAACCCCCCACTCCCCCCTACCGCTTTACTTCCTCCCCCCCCTGCCTCCCTCTAATTATGCGCCACCTTCAGGACGCGCCGCTCCATCTCCTCGAAGGCGCCGAGGACGCGGCCGTACGCCTCGAAAACGGCGGGGCGGTATCCGTCGTCGAGCTTGCGCACCTCGTCCTCCTCGCGCCAGCGGGCGGCGAGCAGGTCGTCGAAGCTCTCCCACTCGTCGTCGTCGTCGTCGTCTTCGCTCGCCCGCCCCTTGTTCTTCTTCTCGCGCTCCAGCGCCCACAGCGCCTTGTACGCGCCGCCGAGCGCGCACGCGTTGCCGCCGACGTCGAGGCGGTACACGCCCTCGGCGCCGCCCAGCACGTCGCCGAACACGCGCGCGATCGCCGGGTTCAGCGACCCGCCGCCCACCAGGTAGATGCGGCGCGGCTGCGGCGGCGGAGCGCCCGCTGCCGCCGGTGCCGATGCCGATGCCCCCCCGTCCACCAGGTTGTGCGACCGCAGCCGCATCGACAGCGCCTGCGACTCGACGATGGCGCGCGCGTCCGCCTCCGGGCCCCACGCCCCCGCCGCCTCCGCGAGCCCCGCCCCGTCCGCCGCCCCGCACGTGTACCGCCACGTCCCCGCCCGCACGTTCGGCACGATCTCCGGCAGCGGGAAGTAGAGCCCGAGGCGCGCGCGGCCGTCGGGGCTGCCGCCGAGCGGCGGCGTCGCGAGCGCGAGCGCGTTGAAGGCGGCCCAGGGGTCTTCCGGCGGCTGCCCTGGGGCGGCGGCGGCGGGCAGGCGGTCGCGGACCCGCTCGCGCGCGAGCCCGCCGTTCTTGTAGCACAGCATGAACATGTAGTGGCCGCGGGCGGTGGGGTGGTTCATGAAGTGGTAGGCGGGGTCGGGGCGGTAGGTCGGGGTGTTCATGAGGAAGGTGCTGGAGGTGCCGAGGGAGACGATGGCGTCGAGCGGGCGCAGCGGCAGCGAGAGCAGCGTGGCCGGGTTGTCGCCGGTGAAGGGCGCGACGCGGCACGCCGCGCCCAGCCCGTAGCGCGCGGCGAAGTACGGCGAGACCGTGCCGAGGCTGGCGCCGCCGTCGCGCGGCACGGGGCCGAGCTTGCGCAGCAGCGCGGCTGACGCGACGCCGTCGCCGCCGTCGCCCGCCGCCAGCGCCACCAGCGCCGGGTGCCACCGCGCCCCCGCCACGTCCCACAGATTCATCCCCGTCACGTCGCTGATGTCGATCGGCGCGATCGCCCCCAGCAGCACCGACGCCAGGAACGACGACGCCAGCGAGATCCGCGCCGTCCCCTCGTACACCTCGGGCCGCCGCCGCCGCATCCGCAGGATCTGCGTGCCCGTGAAGCGCTGGTCCGTCCGGCGCGTTAGCCCCCCGGCCGCGTGGCTCGGTTTAAAGGGGGGGACAGTGGAGGAAAGAAGGAGAGGGGACGTACGTGGTGGGCAGCGCTCCCGGTGGCCTCGGCGAGCTGCTGGGGGCCGCCGAGGCAGGCGTCGAAAAGGTCGCACTCGGCCTGGGTGCTGTGGTCCTGCCAGTTGGGGGCGAAGGGGTAGGCGAAGGCGGCAGCGAGCTGGCGGACGAGGGGGCCGGCGGCGGGGGCGCCGTCGAGGGCGGCGAGCGCGGCCTCGGCGCGCGCGCCCCAGTACACGCTCGCGTGCTGCTGGCCGGAGCCGCTGACGCCGCGCACGCGCCCCAGCGGGCAGCCCTGCGCCCGCAGCCGCTCCAGCACCAGGTCCAGCGCCTCCACCCACATCGCCACCGGCGCGAACACCTCGCCCTCCGCCTCGTCCGCCAGCACCCCCTTCCGCACCCCGTACCGCGCCCCCAAGTCCGCGTCGAAGTCCACCTTGGCCTCGCTGACCACCTTGAGGTCCGACGCGATGACGATGGCTGTCGCTCGAGTTAGCTCCGCGCATTTTCGCTCTTCTTCTCTCCCCCCCCCGCCAAATTTTTTTTTTTTCCGGGGGGGGAGAGGGGGGTTTCTTCTTCTTCCCCTCGCTCGTTGTACGCCGGCGACGACGGTAGTGGTCGAGGCAAGCCGGTCAGTAGGTAGAAGTAGCCGGTGCCAACGTACCCTTCAGCTGCTGGGTCGAGAGGTCGAACCCTAGATACAACGGCCCCGTGTCCATCCTGCCGGCGGCCTAGGTAGGCGGATGCAAGGTGCAAGCTGTAAGTCCAGAGCTCGAAGCGGCAGGGCCAAGTTTTTTTTTTGATCCTGGCTACCCTTCCTTGCGACTTCCTTTGTCTTCCCTCTTTGTTCGCCTTTTCTTTCTCAAATAAAAAGAAAAAAAAAAAAGACCAAGCAATCGAGAACACAACTGGAAGTAAGGAAAACAGAAGAAGACCCTGAGGATCCCCAAGGTTATTAGTTTTCCGCAACGCGCCCCCCCTCAAGACCTGGGTATTTAATTCCCATGTATCGTCCGATGTTATAAAAGGTAGGTAGGTATCTGACCGGATTGGAGCGGCTGCTACGTACTGCGTCTAGGTAGATACGTTAGGCGCTGGGTGGGCTTAAGACAGTGTGTTATTATCCTTCTACCTGACCCTAGGCACTCAGCAATACGGCACGCACGATACGACGGCGTCATCAGATCAGCACGAGGGATCTCGGCATGGCGGGGCAATTCAAGCCTTATCAATTTAGCCTAAAGACGCCCTGTCAGATCCAGCCCAATCGTGGGAATCCGATAGAGACTCTAGACCGTCTTGGGTACTCCACTGAGCAACGAGTTCGCGATGCGGCGAAACTTGGCCGAATTCGCACATGGCAGAAGAGGCGCAAAGAGCCTGGCTAGCTCTGCTTTCAAGTCCGGCTCGGGTTTATTCAGCTTTCGATGTCGCCAGCTGTCTCTATGTAGCTAAGTTACTGCTCTAGCCTCGGGGGGGGCTCTATCACTTCGATGTCTGGTCCATGAATGCATCAGCCCCGGCAAAATGTGCTCGACAGAGCTCTCTCTTCTACCATCTCTGCTCCAAGATTTTGTGCATATGCTGTCCTCCAATCCCGTAATCTTCCAATGCCATTGGCTAGCAACGGAAACTGTTGCTACGTCCTTGCAAATGCCGTTCGACGCACTCCAGGCCACGTATAATACACGCGTGCTCCCTGCCTGTCCAGAGAGTCACGCCCGCTAAATGTCCGACGACGTGATTTTGGTATCATCAATATGTCGACCTTCCTGAGGGCCCGTTACTCTAAGCCAACGCCGAAAACGCCAAAAGGGGAATGTGTCTTCGATGCATACGTCATCATTTCGACTTGTGGTCGTGATCGTGTTTCCCGTTCCCATTATGCTGGTGGTTTTCGGCCTCCTCGGGTTCGGGACTCGATCGGGGGCTCACATCGGCGGCGATAAATTCGTCAAACTTGGGCCCGGTGGTTACCTCCTTCGGGGTAAACCGGATTCTGATTTTGCGAACACCGCGCACCTTGCTGCCGATAAGGGTTCTAATCTGCTCTTCGGCATTTCTAATATCTCCTACCGTCCAAGTGCTCGGCACGCCCACCTCCAGATCGACCAGATAGTTTTGCCCAGACTTGACGCCGGATACGTCGCGAAGCTCCATCTCGTGGCCGTCGGTAATGTCCGAAAAGACCCTCTGCGCGTGTTTTCGGACCGACCCCTTAACTTCGTCGTCGATGCTGCGGTCGGCCAGTTCGAAGAGCGCGGATATGGTGTTCTCAACACCCGCCTTCACCACCAGTACCGAGATGAGGAGACCGCCGACGGGATCCAGCCACGCCGCATTCTCCACCAAGTTCGCGCCCAAGATTACCGCCAACGTAACGAAACCGGTGAGGCTGTCAACTCGGTGGTGGACGGCGTTCGATGCGAGAACGGTGGATTTGCGCTCGCGAGCTACTTTCATGGCTGTTTGAGGGGGCAATGGTCAATACCGACACTGCTGGCACAATCGGCTGAGTTGAGGGGTGGGCGACACTTACTGGCATGATACAGCCATTCCTTTATGGCAACCGTACCCGCGGCCAGCCAGGCAGCATGCAGGCTCGGTATCGCATCACCAGCATGATCGTGCCCGTGGGAATGGCTATGCGCATGGGCCATCAGATCGGCGGCGGATGCCGAGTCCAGAAAGAAGTGGCCATAGAGGGTCAGAAGACCGCCGTAGCCCATCCACAGGCCGCCAAAAAGCAACATGCTAGACACACCTAGGGATCCCAAACTCTCGATCTTGCCAAAGCCAGTCGGGAACCTGTCGGTGGGCGGGCGCAAACTCCAGGAGATAGTGGCCAGGGTCAAGATGTCGGAGGCGAGGTCGGTCAAGCTGTGGATGGCATCGGCAACCATTGCTCTCGAATTGAACATGTAACCGCCGATGCCTTTCGCGATGGCCATGCCTAGGTTCGAATAGAGGCCGATCCGGGTGATGCGCACGCCGGCGTCGTTCCTGTTCTGAGATGTGAGGTAGACATTGTCGTGGTGGTGATGCCCGTGGCCGTGTTTGTGGCCACTGTGGCTTCGCGTCTGGGTGATGGTGGCCATGATGGGAAAGAGACGGTAGAATCGGCTGTGGAGGGTATGGGTTGAGTGCGAGTCAGGAAGGGAAGAAGAGGAAGAGGGCGACGAAGAAGGCGGGTGAAGGGAAAAAGAGGTAGAATGGCAGTGGGTTGTGAGGACGCGTCGCACATGGATGGTTTGGCGGAGATGTGTCCTAAAGAGGAGATAGATGGGCTGCTGCGGGCGGGTAAAGGCTATGCTCAGGCCTGTAGCTGACGTTGCAAGGCCAGGGGCAGCTGTGACGGCCTGACGCAGGTGGCCTCGGCATGGCCTGCCCAGAAGAGCAGGCGGAAACATTTCTGCGGCGACAACCAGGCGGCAGTACTGTCTGGGTACCAGGCAGGACGGCACGGCACAGCACAGCACAACACGGAACGGCACAGTACCAGACCAGGACACGATACCTCTAAAGAGGAGGGGAACAAAGAGCCTAACAGGTACCTCCTATATGCAGGTAGCGCAGACCCGTAGCGTGTTGCCGGTACCTGATAAGGGATGGTAGGCGGCGAGTGACCTATGTAAGTAAACAGTGGTTTAGGTGGTAAGGCCAACGCCGGTGCGGGACGCGAGGCAGACAGGAGAGGCACAGCGAGGGAGAGTGATGTACTGTGCTTGTAACAGGAACCGTAGCGCCCTATATACCTCTACTTGTTATCCACAGAGGGGGGGTGGGGGTAGGTTGAGAGACGGGAAGACCGTGACCGGCAACAACGGCGGAAAACGTAGGCACGGCGGAGGAGACGGCGGTGGCAGAGGCGAGTAAGTAGGTGCGCAAGTGCGTGCCGGGCGGGAAATGGGGCCGAGATATGCCAGCGACTCAACGTGGGAGGAGGGCGAAGCCGGCGGAGTTGAGTCGGGTTGAGGCGAGTTGGTGAGAGGGCAGAGGGCAGAGGGCATGCAAGGAGGAAGCGGGAGTAGAAGAGCACGACGAAGTCGCTCTGCAGTGACGCACGCGCCTATCTTTGTAGGGACGCGAGCGCGTATATAGGTAGGTACCTAACGTAGCACCGACCCGGACCGGTGTGGGAGCGTGGGATCAAGAGAGGACGAGGTGCGGCCCCGTCGCAATGGAAAAGCGTCTTTGAGGGTGCCCGTATTAGATGCGTGCTTGTTTCCTGGCGCCAGCAACGACATCGGATGGGGCGGGCAGAGCGAGAGAGAGCATGGCAGGGTGGAAAGGGGAAAAAAAAATTATAGGTTACCAATGGGAATCTTTGCAATTTGATCTTTTCTGCTGTCTAGCCCGCCGGCCCACCACACACTAGCAGAGGGAGGTATACGCAGTTGAGGCGGGGCGGGCGGGCATACTACGGACATGCACATGTACCTGACGGCGTAGGGTCCCTGAAAAGGATACTTGCGTCTCGTTTCAGCAGAAGTACCCCTCTAGGAGAGCGACCGCCTGGGCATGTAGTATTAGTGCAGTAATGAGGTGCGTGACCAGCCGCTAAGCACCCCGCTTGGCCAGCCAGGTACAAGCTTATCGGTCTTCGCAAGTACTTGCGCAGCTGGGTCTGCTTTTGGTGGGGGTGGGAGGGTACCTGGGCCAGAGGCAGAGGTATGTCCGAGAGGGGGCTTGCTCCGAGAACCGACGCCGTCCCCGGAGGGAGGATCAGAAGTGGCATCTACAGGGCCGACGTAAGTATACCAGGGGGGGCCGTGAGGATCCTGCCTTGCCTACTATAATATAAGGTAAGGTACCTTACCTGTCGTGGTGTACTTAAATATACCATACCTGATCCACCTGCCTGGAGGTACTTAGGTACCGCCAGGTGCCTAGGCTGATCTTACTCATACGTTAGATAAACCTATCCAGGTTTCCTAGGCACATACTCAGTGATGATTTCACTGTATGCAAAATCGACCCGTCCTGAGACAACCTTCAGCCTCACCCGTCACCCAATCCCTGCTTCTAGGCCTGCCAACATAACCTACCTACCTGAGGCATCTACTGCTATGCCACCGACCCCAATGTGTCCGGGGTACGCTAGGAGGTAGTCCCACATCACATTCCCCTCCGATCCGGCATCTCTCTCGATGCGCAGGCCGTATCTGCGCATTCCGTACACCGATGTATTAGCATCGCCCACCGTCGTCCCCCAGACCGCCGCCACCGTCTCCGGTGCCGTTGCCGCCCTGCGGGAGTTCTTCGGGGCCCCGCCCCCTCCTTCGGCCGCCTCCGCTGCCACCGTCGTCCTCTCGGGGGCCGGCATATCCGTAGCCAGCGGGCTCGCCGATTACAGGGGGCCCAAGGGCACCTATCGCGTGAACAAGACCTACCGGCCCATCTACTACCACGAGTTCGTGCAAGACCACGAGGCCCGGAAGCGCTACTGGGCCCGCAGTTTTCTCGGCTGGACGAACCTCCTCAAGGCGAAGCCTAACGTCGGCCACTACGCGGTGAAGCACCTCGGCGACCTGGGACTGGTTCACAGCGTCATCACCCAGAACGTAGATTCTTTCCATTCCAAGGCGCACCCCCAGCTGCCTACGCTCGAGCTGCACGGCTATCTGAGATCTTGCGTGTGTACATCATGCCACGAGGAGCTGCCCCGAGACCTGTTCCAAGACGAGCTGGCTAGACTAAATCCCGCTTGGGCAGCTTTTCTCGCCGAGATCCTGGCCACCGGTGCCCTGGACGCCGAGAACCCCGACGAGAGGCGGGCCAAGGGGTTGAGGACAAACCCCGACGGTGACGTCGACCTCCCGGATGCCCCCTATACTACATTTCGCTATCCCGCCTGCCCCAAGTGCCTCGCCGCCCCGCCTGCCGTCGCCGACGGGAGCCACGCGACAGTCGAGGTCGACGCCGAGGGGGCTTGGAAGGCGACAAGCACCGCCGGGATATTGAAGCCAGCCGTTACCATGTTCGGAGAGAACATACAGCCGCCGGTCAGGGCCGCCGCCGAGCAGGCCGTCGAAAACGCCGCGCGACTGCTAATCCTGGGCACCTCTCTGGCTACCTATTCCGCATGGCGCCTAGCCAAAAGAGCTAAGGATCGAGGTATCCCTATAGCCATCATCAACTTGGGCGGCGTTAGGGGCGAGGACACCTTGTTTGGCGATATCGACCCGGCCCAGGAGGGGGGTAGAGGCGTAAGAGCGGAGTTGTCCACCGACGAGTTGCTGCCCGAGCTCGTACAACAGCTTAGACTGTCATCGGGTATCAAGGCGGCCCCGGGTAGCCGCGATTATGCCACCGAGAAACATGGGGCCTCGGTTTTCAAAGACATGGTGTCGTGAGAGCGTAGAGCGATCACCCCGACAGATATATACATATATATGCAATGTAGATTTCTCTTGCCATGCAGGTGGCCGTAGGCTAGAAGAAATTCGAATAACCTCCAGTCTTCGACTGGCGTTTCTCCTTGTCCTCCGGATTGACTTTTGTTCGAGGGGCCGGCTCCGTAGTTGGGGGTTCCGGCTGTTTCCTCTTGTTGGTGTTCGTATTCTGGAAATCGTCCCTTTCGAGCTCTCGCAGTACTTGTCCCCACTCCATCTCTTTCGCAGCGTCGCCGGTGCCTAGTACCTTTTCGACATCAACCGCTTCGCCTTTTTGTAGCTTCTCCACCACCTCGCGCAACAGTCCGATGCGAACCTCGGAGCGTCTCATGAAAGCATCGAATTCCCTCTTTAGGGCGATCATCTGGATGGACATGGACCCGATGAAGAGGAATATGACGATGAAGAAGGTAGCCGGGTTCCATTCTTTCGTCTTTGGCTTCTCTCGACTCCTCGAGCTCCCCGGCTGTTCCCAACGCCGGAATGGTTTCGGTACGAGGCTTTTCCAGAACGATAGCTCCGCGACTCTAGGGACGAAGCTCACATGTCGAATAAGCTGCCGCTGGCCGGGGTGAGCTGGGTGCGCAACTGCGGGCCAAATAACACCTGAAACCCCTGCAGCCTTGCGAAAAAGCTGTCTACCCATATTAGTGCAGCGTTGCTGGTGTTTAAATGTGATGTGTGTACGGATGGGGAAAAAAAGGAAAGAGAAAATAATATCTACAGTGCAATTCTATCGGGTAGATAATTGGGTGTATTATCTAAACTAGCGGTTTCTATTAGATGCATACACATACCTAGTATGTACATATGATACTTTAAGAAAGTATCTTTACTTGCATTTGCAGATAACCAGGAACTGAATTATGGGGTAACGTAGAGCACCGACCGCCACCAGATGGCACCGGATGACACGCTAATTGGGGGTGAACTGGCCGTTGCCCCGTCGACGTGTTTATGCTATTTTGGGCCAATTAGCATCTACCTGGACAAATCCAGACGAACACATACTAAGCACTTCCCAAGCCCACACCAGCATTTCATGTTGTGTCATAAAGCTCAACCGCTACATACCTTGTTGCTCCATATGCGGCAGTATTCACAATCCTGAATGTGAAATTTTTTTGCTCCTCCTGCGCTTTGCTTTGCACAAAATACCCCATACGTACATTTCTAAGGTCCAGGCTCCGGAGTCTTCTGTACGCGATTCCTCCTACACGACATGCGCAGCCTTAACGTGTTGTAGCTGACCGTATATCCCTCCAGTTCTCCTATCCCAGACGATATGAATAGCTGTCGAAACGCAAAGAAACGTTGCACCTGAAAATGGATTCGGCATCCTCTCGAGCCGACACAGTTCGGACGGCCATCACATCAGTATCAACATGCACGCCTGTCACCTTGGCTATCGTGAAGGAGCTCCTCCAAATCAACGAACAAGACAACGACACATCTCGGCCCGCATCGAGAGCCCGGCCAGCAAAGGCACCGCGAGCGCCAAGTAGAATAGCACAATGCAACCAGGGCAATGGGGGGAGCCTGTCCCCGAGAGAGAGGGCAGTATTGGCTACGCAAATTATCACCGGAAGCCTCAAGGCGCTGGGGGAGGCAGCAAAGGGCACGTCAAGTCCAAGTACACAAGAGCCGTCAAAGGATGACTCGGTCATGCCTATGCCTCGGAAAGGCATGCGACGATCCAACTCGGCTCCTATGCAACCCTTGCAACCTCGCCAACTAAACAGAGTCACAACATCGCCTCCTGTCCAGAAAGTGCTTCGGTCACCCACGTCGATCGCTACATCCACGGGCTGCTTGGCAACGGTAGAGTGTGCGAGAGCTGCTTTTTCTGCATTAAGAGCATTGCAAGCCTCCAGGGCAGTTCAGCTCCCCGAATTACAATTGGAATCTGGGATGTCCTCTTTCGTGAACAGGCTCATTGGGTTGGACCTGTTCGATCAAGCAGCGAAGGAATTGCGGATGCTCAAACGACGCCTTGAATCTATGAATAACGGGGATGGTGCCAAGAAAGTATCAACACGCTCAGGGCCAGAGACGAATACGGCGTCGAAGATGCTCTCTGAATTGTTAGATTACCCTGGCATCACCACCTCCGGCTCGCTCCTCAACTTGGTCATTTCCTCCCAGCTTCAAGCTCTCCGAATCATCCACGGCCTCAAGAAATCGTCACATCTAGAAAGTATATTGCCGTTACTGCGGGAAAGCTGCTCATCGTCGCCCATAAACCTGCTCATGATGTCCCTCAAGGATGACAACCCAGACCAGACCAAGTGCGCAAAACAGTTGGAGAGCCTGTCTCAAAGCCTTCTCTCTCTAACGCCCGGCGTATCGGCGAAAGATGACGATTTTGCCGTGGAGCCGAGGCTGTCCCCTCGTCCCGAGGTAGCTCTCGAGGTGCAGGCCCTCGGCCTCACCACGAGGTTGCAGTCCTGGACTGTGTCTGGTCACAGGGGAGATGTGGACAAGGACGTACTATCCCCCCTATCAAAATGCCTGGCGGCCTTCACGAGAAGAGCGTCCCCGAAGCACTTTTCTCTCGCGTCCTCGGCGTTTTCCCAGGTTCTGAAACGAGTCGAGAAACTAGGACTTAGGCCGGCCGAGTCTTCGCGGTCACCCTTGGCAGCAATATATCAAGTTCTTGCTGGCGCGTCTCGAGAGTCTGGAAACAACGACGAAGCGAAGAAATGGCTGGCGAAGTTGAAATCCCTGACGAACCCGAGCGAAGATTCCGCGGCCAAGTGCTGCTCGATAACCGCCCAACTGTTGGCGCTCTCCCTCAAGCAGTCGTCTCAGATCGACGATAACCTGCTGTCGGAAGTCATAGATGGTCTGCGAGGGTCGGTCGGAGGCAACGGCAACGAACTAGACGACCTCCTAATCAGCGTATGTCTGCTACGAAAATCGGTAATGAACTTGATCACGGCAAAAAAAGTCGATCCAACCTCAGTTTCACAAGCCACGTCCAAGCTTCTCGAAGCCTTCATCTTCCAATTGCCACGTTTTACCCTTCGATGGCTAGGGAAGCCTCCAAGCTCGACCAAGGCTACGAAGGACTTCCTTCGTTTCGAACAGCGTCGAGAACTCCTGTCGACATACCTTCCCCACATTCTCGACTCAGCCTTGATGCTCTCGAAGCTGCTTCTGGACGAAGATAAACTGGCGTGGGATGTCATGGATTCAACACTTCAAGACTGCTTAGCCATCTTAGAGAACATGGGGGATCTAGCTCGACCAGGCTCCAAATGTAATCCATCGCCCTCCTACCATGTCAAGATCTCGCATTTTTACTACCAGCAGCATCTCGTTCTGCGAAAATATGGCTCTAAGTCGACAGAGACTACTTCCCTGAAAGCCCTAAGAAAATCTATCGACAGCGTCAAGAACCAGTCTGAAGCCGAGCAAACCCGAGCTCAGCTGCTCGTGAAATGGGAAAGATTTGCCGAGCTTTGTAGAGCTTCCGGTAGAGTCGAAGATGCCATCGACGCTCTTCGCGCTATCAGAGACCACCTCGTCCGAGAAGACATCGTGCCAACCATCACTACTAGCTTAGCGACGCAGCCCTGGCTTGTAGCTTGGCAGCAGAATTCCAATATCGAATTGCTCTCGCGGACAGTCTGCAACCTTGCTAAGCTCGACCGGAAACACAACGACTGGACTTGGCTGCTGGTTGGTTCCGACAAAGCCACAGCCCTCGAGCATGATCTCTACGCCATTATCTCCAAGGATTCCAGATACCGCCAAGGCCTCGATTTGTCTAACTCTACGGTCAAGTCGCTGTTAGAGTTCTACTCTGTCGAACAACACCCGATTCGCAGGCTCCGGACTTTACTTCAACTCCTCACGATGAACGTAGGGGCACAGACTGGGCTGGACGATTTGCGAAAGGAAGTGGAGGCTGTTCTCAAGGCCATCACGGAAGAGGTCGTCGGGGACGACGCTGGCTTGATCCGTTATACCCCCCACCTTCAGGCATTAGCAGCATGCGTATTCGGGCTTCTCGACTCAAACATAGACTCCCCGCAGGTTAAGAAAGCGCTTTCCGGTTGGAGAGACATGATCTCTAAATGCCAATCGGCCGAGCAGCTAGCACTTCATATCGACAACCCTCCACAACTCCTTACGAACCTGCAATCCCTCGTGGACTTTGCAAGGATCAAGGGGCTAGAAGCCCTCCAGACGGAAATCCTCGAGCTCTCGATAAACCTTTCCAAGGTCGCAGCCGAGAATAATCTTGAAGTCCTTATAACCCAGGGTATCGCGCTCTCTCGGCAGCATCTCAGCCACGGCTGGTCGTCAAAAGCAGAAAAGCTTCTACGAGACAACCAAGAACTCATTTCCCAGCCCGAGGTTGCTAGAGAGCTCGCGGTCAATTTCCACTTATCTGCCGCCGAGTACCACTTATCCCTAGGCGCCCTCGACAAAGCCGATCAGCATTTACGCGATGCCCAGAATGCCGAGATGGCCCTGTCTTCTGAGCCAGCTTCGAGAAAAGCGAAGGGTTCTAGCCGGAAAGTCATGATAGCATATGCCTACTCGCTATGCTCTAGCCTCGCCCTCGAGCGTGGTGACTGTCATCGCGCCCTACTCTTTGCCAGGATAGCAGTGAAGAGATTATTCCACGATTGGTCTAAGTTAGAGGAGATGAGGTCCGCCAGCCATGAGACTTCCCCCGAGGATTCTACGCAGTCAGATGCGTCAGAGAAAGACACAAGCATGAGTAATTCTTCCTTGGTCAAGGCGGACCTTACCCGGGCAAATGCTGGCCCCGAGTTTTGGGCTTTGGTATATCCCTTATTCCGATTTCTACTTCAGCTCTCGTCGACGTACGCACATGTAGGCATGTACCAAGAGACACTATACTATGCTGAGCAGGCACAAAAGGTCGCGAAAAGCATGGAATCAGCAGCATACCTCTCACAGTCCCTCACCTGGCTGTCGTGGGTGTGGCTCACTGCTGGCAAGCCGAATAAGGCCTTGGAGCTGGCATTGGAAGCAAAGCCTATAGCTCTAGGATTGGAGCCTACTTGCCAGAACGCGAAGGTGCTGTGCCAGCTCGGTTCCATCTATGGGGAGACGGAAGACCCAGAGGAGCAGGCAGAGTTGGTAGGTAGAGCCGAGTCTATGCTCAAATTGTTAAGCGTTGGCAGCCCGAGCCCGAGCAACGCAGCGAGCGAGCTAGAATCGAGAATGACAGAGCTCGACATAAAAGAAAAGCCCGCCGTCAAGACCACTGCGCGCCGCGCCGCGACAACCAAGCCCACGAAGACAATAGCGAGAGCTCCGAGCAGGAACGCCTCGAAGAAACCAGCATCGAAAACGCCAGAGCCCCCAGTCGAAGAACCACCGCGCGCCAAGTCTGAGGAGATGCAACTTTCCTTCCTACGCGCGTCCGTCCTGCAGAACCAATCCATCCGCCTCCTCAATGAGAGCAATTGGACGGCGGCCGTATCTACCCTCCGGAACGCGCATGAGCTATCTAAGCTGCCGGCGGACGTCTCTCAGGCCTGCTTCCTGATGGGCATTGCGCTGATCGGGCAGAGCCTGGAGCAGATGGGGCACGACGCAATATTCTCCGTGATCCAGGACTCGACGCTTTCGTTCCCGTCCGTGGCCGGGCCGGTCCAGGACAAGCCGCCGGCGGCGAAGGCTGCGGCGGTGGCGCGCAAAGGCCGCGGCCCGGCGCTGAACGCGCGCTCGTTCGTCGACAAGCTGCGCGAGGCCCAGGGCCACCTCCTGGCCGCCCACTCGATCGCGAGCCTCAACGGCGACGGGCGCCTGGTCCACCGGATCGCCATAGCGCTGCAGAACGTGGCCATCCTCCTGTCCAACACGAACCCGTCGCGGCCGGCGGCGAGCCACCCCGCGCACGCGACCTGCACCGTCGAGCTCGCGCGGAACCTGACCTGGCGCCGCGAGCGCAAGGCGCTGCACCTCGACATGGCCCGCGAGGCGCGGCTCGACTGGCCGATCGCCGTGGACGACGACGCGGAGGCCGAGGGCCGGCGCCACAGCCTCGGCTTCTCGCTCGACCTCGACCGCTTCGAGCGCGACTACGTCGACGTGATCCCGCCGGCGTGGAACGTGGTCTCGGTGTCGCTGAGCGAGGACGAGCGCGACCTGTGCATCACGCAGCTGCGGCCGGGCGCGGCCGGCGGGCCGTTCGGCATCCGGCTGCCGCTCGAGCGCGCGAGCTCGCGCGACGCGGGCACGCCCGTATTCGGCTTCGCGCGCGGCCGCGCCGAGCTGCGCGAGATCGTCGACGCCGCCAACCGCACGAGCCACGACGCGCGCGACATGAGCCGCAAGGGGGCGCGGTCCGCGTGGTGGGCCGAGCGCGAGGCGCTCGACGAGCGCATGCGCGACCTCGTCGAGGCCGTCGAGGAGATCTGGCTGGGGGGCTTCCGCGGCATCCTGGCGCCGCCGCCGCGCCAGCGCCGCCGCCGCGCCCGCGCCGCCGCGCTCGCGCGCTTCCGCGAGACCTTCGCCGCCATCCTCGATAAGTACCTGCCGTCGCGGCGGCAGGTGCGCGGGCGCAAGACCAAGGCCGCGACGACGACGACCGCCCAGGCGCCGCCGCCGCCGCCGCGCGTCGGCCTCGACGAGCGCATCTACGACCTCTTCGTCGGCCTCGGCGACGCGACCCAGCCCGGCCTGTACCTCGACGAGCCGCTGACCGACCTGCTGTACTTCGTCGTCGACATCCTGCAGTTCCACGGCGAGCGCAACGCCTACGACGAGATCGACTTCGACCACATGGTGGTCGACACCTTCGACGCCCTGTACGCGTACCACCACGAGGTCGCCCGGGCCCCCGCCGCCGCCGACGACAGCGACGGCGAGGACGGCCCGGAAAGCGAAGACCCGCCGCACACGATCCTCGTCCTCGACCGCGCCCTCCACGCCTTCCCCTGGGAGTCGCTTCCCTGCCTCCAGGGCGTCGCGGCGTCGCGCGTGCCGTCGCTCGCGTGCCTGCGGCGGCTCATCCTCGAAGCGCGGCCACCCGCTGCTGCTGCTGCGGCCCGCAGCGGCCATCACGCGTCGGCGAACTCGGGGACGTACATGCTGAACCCGAGCGGGGACCTGGCGAGCACGCAGGCGACGTTCGGCGGGGCGCTGGCGCGGGGGCTGGGGCCGGGGTGGCGCAGCGTGGAGGGGCGGGCGCCGGCGGAGGAGGAGTTCGCGGCGGCGCTGGCGGCGCGGGACGTGCTGCTGTACTTCGGGCACGGCAGCGGGGCGCAGTACGTGCGGGGGCGGACGGTGCGCGGGCTGGCCAAGTGCCGGGCGGCGGCGCTGCTGATGGGCTGCTCGTCGGCGTCGCTCGCGGACGTCGGGGCGTTCGAGCCGCACGGGCCGGCCCGCAACTACATGCTCGCGGGCTGCCCGGCCGTCGTCGGCACGCTCTGGGACGTGACGGACCGCGACATCGACCGCTTCACCGCGCGCGTCTTCGAGGAGTGGGGGCTGCTCCCGCGCGGCACGTTCGGCGAGCCGGACGCGGCCAAGCGCAACAAGGGCAAGGGCAAGGGCAAGGCGAAGCAGGCGGACCCCGACGACGAGGCAGACGAGGGCGCGGAACCGGCGTCCCGCGACACTAGCAGGAGCAAGAGCCGCAGCCGCAGCCGCGGCCCCAATCAGGACAGGAAGAGGCCGCCGGCCGGAGACGCCCCGCCGGACGACAGCGCGAGCCTCGTCGAGGCCGTGTCCCGCGCCCGCGACGCCTGCCGCTTCAAGTACCTCACGGCGGCGGCGGTGTGCGTCTACGGCATCCCGGTGTTCCTCGACAAGAGCGGGCAGTGAGCGGTCGCCGGTATAGACGGGTCCGGGGGGAAGGAAAGGGGTTGGGAAAGGGGGCGGGAAGGGGAGACGCGCTACTACAAATCACTATCGGCTGCATACAGGATCACGGGCGTTGGGGCGTTGGGCCAAGGACGGACGGGGGCGCCGACATCTACGGTCCGCTCCGTAGTCTGCTTGCTGTTCCTGCCGGTGTTGTTGCTATTGTTCGGTTCTTGATACCTTTGTTTCTCGGAGCTTTTCTCTGCTGCTAGCTAGACTCGGCCGCCTCAGCCCCAATCACATCTACATCTATTACTACTACTACTACTACTCCTACTACGACTCGCTCAGCTGTGCCTCCTCTGTCGTTCTGTCTGCCGCGAGTGTATACGCTTGTCCGGCTTTCGCGGCCGCCTGCGCGTCTATTTCCTACGCCCTACGTGCCTGTTTCCGCAGTGAATGTCGCAATGGCGGCCGTGCTCGTAAAAGTGAAAAAAAAATAAAAATAAAAAACTCCCACGTGCGCACCCGACTCGGCGCGCCTGTTGCTTCTTTTCTCTCTCTCTAGTAGCCGAAAATAGGACGGGCGGCTCTCGTGGCAGCTAGGAACTGGTTGCGCATTGACCCGTGCTGCGCATGGGGCTCCCCTCCGACCGGAAACGCGGGACGGGTTGGTGATGGAGCTGATCAGTGATAGCTTATGGCAGCTTATGAATCAGTCGATTGGGCATAAACGTGATTCGATCTTGGTCACATCCGCGATGCATGGGGTATATCGAGCGTTGCTAAGGCCTTCTCGACGTGACCGACGGGTTCCGCTCTCTTTCTCTTTCTCCCCCCCCCCCCCTGGTAACTAGGTCCAGGGACGCGCGTACGCGCCCGGCTGGGCGTGGAGACGAGAGAGGTCCGACCCGTCCGCCTTGCATTGGGGGGGACCGCTGCCCAGGCCAGCCCAACGATGGCCACCCGCCCGGCCTGTCTTCCCAGGTAGGCAGGTAGGCAGGGCGAGCCTTGTCCGGAGGTTTCGCAGCACGCACGCCTGGCTCCTCGCGCCGCACCTGGGGGGGGGCGCTTGCGTAGGCATAGCCGAACGCTCCGAGGCGGGTCCCCCCAGCAGGATCGCGATGACAAAGGAATAGCGCCGAAGCTTTCGCCGCAGCAAGCAGCAGCAGCAGTTTTCGAGTCGAGAGAGCCACGGGTTTCTTTTCTAGCCGCCGTCGGCCCACACAGCTCCAGCGGGTTGGCGTAGCCAATAGAACCGCGAAATACCGGAGGGAACGTAGCAGAAGCCTTGGGCTGAGGGAGGCGATAAACGACAGGGGGGGAGGAGGAGGGAGTGTTTACTCAGCATCGACCGAGATGCTCGACAGGTATGAATAAGAGTTATGTCAACTATTAACAATACTGCAGCTCTAACCAAGCCCGCGTCACGTAGCTGCGTGTGTCTCGATATGCATCATGGCACCGACAGCTACTCTAACTAATACCCTTGTCACCAACGACCTCTCTCGCCGTGGTATTAACTCCTACGGCGAGGCAGCGACTAGTAGTGGGTATTATTCCTCCCAACCGACCCCATCCGCTCGTTCGAAGATGGCCGGATCTCTGGCAGTGCGATCCAAATAGAATCTCTAAACAGAATCTATACCCGCAGGACTCTTGTAGCGGGAGATTGGCCTGGCGGGTCACCGCGTCGATGTAGGTTATCCGCGGATCGGTAAAGTATTAGCAGGCCTCTCAAGTCTTCAGGGTGTTTAAACGTTGAAAGCTTTGTCGATTAGAATCGTGGGTTAGTTAATTACTGTGCTCAGTGCGTGTTGCTCGCTTGTAATCATTTCACACGATACATATAATATTCGATCATTCGGGACGGGGAAGCCAAAAATACGGACGATAGGTATGACCAGCGAAGAGCGCCGACGTCGACCGAAATCGAATTGCCTCGCCCATATCCCACATCCCACATCCCGTCCGCATCCTCCTCCTCTCCTTGGCAGGTTGTCCTGGGCGAGGCCCCAAATCGTGGACCGAGGCCCCCCTGACTAGTCATTGGGGCCGGTCCGAAGGAACAGATGAGCCGTGTTTGCGAGTTGATCGGAATCGATTAACGAGCTAGCAAACCCCAACCCATAGTAGCGGGCTAAGCTGGGAGAAAGCCATGGGTTATACTGCTCACAGAGTTGAATTCTCCGTTAGACCCTGTCGCTATTGTAGCGTATAATATAAGGTAACAGGAGGGCTCAGCAAAGTTGTTCATGGCCCAACCAGTATTCGGTAGTATAGCGAATTCTCGATGCCAAAGTGACCTGATAACTAACCAAGTTCAACAATTTCCTTAAGTTGTTCAACTATAAAGCCCTCGCTCGGGTTTCCATCATCCAATACCGCTTCACGGTCACTAAACAGGTTCCCATATATAACGAGAACTGCGTATTAGGGTCAGCTCGAAGAGGGTTATCAGGATGCCGAGGAGAGTTAACGGATGTCTGCTGCCCTTGATGACAGCACGAAGGGCGACGCATACCGCAGCTGGCAGCCAATGTCTCCGAAGAACCCAATCCTCTCAGAGGATAGCTAAATGCAAAGAAATCGGAAAGGGGCCAGCCGCAGTGCTTTGGATGACCCGGACGTACGCGAGGGTGCGTAGTAACGATGATGATGGTGTTTTCATGTCACGTATGACCGGAACAGTGGTGGAACGGATAGTGAGAAGCCGGGTATCGTCGATACCGAAGCGAGTCTGGTTGAAGGTGGCGCCTGTAGCCAGAGTTCCAGACATTCTGATGCGGTTGTCGTGTTGGTACGATGGATGGTGTTGTATCGGCAAGATCCCAGGACCGGTGGTCGGATTTACCAGTAAGCTGCAGGGGTGCCGAGGGATCAAACCAGTCGTGGGTGCCGATGCCGTAGATAATACTTCACACGATAATATAATGTACCGAGAAGGAGGCTTTCGCTATTCATAACAAAAGACAGTTGCAAAACCCCGAGGCGAGAACAAACCCAACCCCAAGTTGGAGTTGGACTTGATCTTCGATGTCGTTGCTCCCACCGAAGTGTTTACAGGTAGTTACAGGTATAAGCAAGCAAGTATTGCCTAGGACGGGGTATTGAAGCGAATAAAAAGATAGATAAGTAAGTTAAGTACCTGAGGCTACGTGCTCAGTGATGTACATACGGACTTGAGCAGGTTAGAGGCCCCTGAAAGTATGCGATCTTGTAATGATTATAAGGAAAACTCCCTGATTTTGGAACACATCCTAGGCGTCTCCCTACCTACCTACCTCCTAAACACACACCCATGCGTAGGTTCGTAACCTATCTTTGATGCGGCTTGCTTATAAAGATTTACCCCTTTTTGCGAAACCCCCCTTTTCCCTTTCCCCCTAGCATAAGAAGAGCTATGCGTTTTACTAGCAAAGGATACAGTGATATCCCGTGTTAGGAAATTCTTGCTTCCTTCCAGCGCAAGCAGCCGGCCGGCATTCGCAATAAGTCCCCCGAAGAGATGGTCGCCCTTCCATATAGCCATTTATTCCATCTCGACCTTCTCACTACGAATAACACGGTTATAAGCAGACGGTTGGGTCACGTGTTATATTATTGAACCGGTCCCTCCAAGATAATATCCGTGAACTTACGTATTGCACGAATCGCGGAGGAAGACCAGGAGGAATAAGAGATACTCGTGTTTTCCGTTGAGCTTCGACGAGATCGTAACATCGTAGCGAAGATGGGCAGTTACTACCATCGACGGGCCATCCTACACTCGCCACTATCCTCACCACCCTGTAACGCACTTCCGTGTGCAAGTGTAGAGTAAGCTGTGCGAGGAGGCCTCGGCCGCCGGAGAGAGACATATGTTGATACATGATACCTACTTATTTCGTTTCCCGCCCTCGACTTCTTGGGCTCTGCATCTCCAAATCGGGTCAGGTTGGAAGCGAGAGGGGAACACATGCACGTCGGTCTGCGGTCCGATTTCTTTTCTCATATCTTGTGATGCCCTTTGGCTCCCTCTGCCCCTATCGAGCTTGTTGTGATACGCATTGGCGGTCTAGCCCCCCGTCTATCTTTGTGCTAGGCGAGAAAGCTCAACCGACGAACGGCGGCGATGCGTTGGGTTCACTTCGTGGCCATTCGAAGAGGGTGGCGCCCGCGACACCGGGTGCCATGCCGCACAGCATCGCTGCCGAGCCATTTGACAGCTAGCTGCCCGTTATCTGAGTACAAGGAGGAACCGTATATCCCTCTACCCCTCGGCGTGCGGGTTTCTACGTACTCGGGCAACCCCGGGGTGGGAGTGAGAAGCGGGAATAAACAAATCTGCACGTAGGCGCTGCTGTCCCTTAGGGGGCTTAGCAGAGTGGGACGCGCCTACGACTCTTGCTCTGCTGGTTGAGAATCGGCCTGGAGACTGGCTGGTTACCCTAGGTAGCCAGCCAAGGAGAAGACGCAGTCGTAGCGAATAAATATGCCACAGAGATCACCTGGTACGGCAACCTAGCGTAGATCTCGAAGGCGATCCACGTAGCATCGGATTAACCGCTCGACCGTACAAGAGAAAGATAGGGTAACGAAACCGTTGGAAAGTTACTTGATATCTTCCCTGAACAGGTAGGCGTCTGTGTTGCACGTTTTGCCGTCCTACATTCCCTTGTCATCCTAGGGAATTCGGTCTAGTCTGGGGAAGGAGACGGTGCTGTGTGATTTGGCGGATCGATAGAGAAGGACGAAAGAGATGGATGGGTCACTATATGAAGATCCTGCGCCGTAAATAGCCACCCCGGTTGTTGTGGATGGCGATTTACACCCAGAGGTAGCCTCTACATCTTGTTAGGTGGTACCACCTACCTCCCTCCTACCGTTATGGATATAAGACGGCAGCCGACTCGAATATGATATAAGGTAATCTTGATAGGTTCGATGACGAGTGCACACTTGCTTACTCTCGATCGAGTACTTGCTCAGGTATCGCTGCCACTTCTAAAGTTCCGAAATTGACCGAGTGAAAAAGGGGGACAGAGGGAAGGGGAGAACGGCTGCGGTGGCTTTGGTCACTGTTGATACCCCCCCCCCCCTCTCCCGGGGGGAGAGGCTAGGCGGGGTTATAAATCCCCACGGGAATACGCCGCATCCGGGGTAGATATGAAAGTGGGTGTCTAACGACTCGAGATAGTAGAGTCGCCGTAAGAATCTGCGAAACCGGGCGTCGTCCTGCTGGGCCGGGGCCTTGCCCATCGCCCATCGCCCATCGACCTTCCGTCGCAAGGCTGGAGGCCAGAAAACATGCGGGCAACGCGACGGAAGGAAAAGAATAGGACCGCTAGCATCCGCCAAGCAGGATGGGTCTTCTATTCTCCCGTGATATCCAATTCGCTACCGAAGTCCCCATCCGCAATATGTCGAAATTTCGGGAATTTCGAAGTCTTCCACAACTGTTCTGCGCAGCTGGATGAGGGACGGCGGTAAAATACATTTTGCCCACATTGAGCCGAATGTGCGTGGCCCCCCTCCTCCTTTCGGCGCTTTTGGGCTCTGGCTGGCGTCGCTTTTTCCTGTAAAGGACCGAGTCGACGTATGCATGATGATGTCTCGGCCGCATGCTTCTCTGTTCTCTTTCCTCTTCAACCCCCCCCCCCCCTTCTCCTCCCCCCCTTCTTTGCGTCTTCGGTCAGATTCGTTATGGGAGGTGGCCGTACCACGAGACCGTCTGTAACATTCACCTTCGCGGGTACGTCTCGGCATCGAGACAGGAGACGGATACATGATGCAGTGAGACCCTGCCACAAGGCGCAACTCGCCTCGCTTTGGGGACACGTCAGGAAGCTTAACCGTCGAGTAAGATGTGCGTTAAGGACGAGAGAATCAGAGTGCGACCTTGAGGAGTCCAATTCTCCCACCGACGCGACGCGGGAGCCGTCCCTTGCAGTTTCCGGCCGTGGATAGATTTGGGTTGGCTAGGTAGGTATGATTTATGCTGCCCATGGTGCTCGATGGTTGGCATCTTGAACCGAGGGCAGCAGCGCGGCCGTCGACCGTGGGTTAAGGGAAGACAAATACCAAGTGAAGTCTGGCCAATCGTAGCGCTATGCCTCCCACCGAACCGCAAGAGACTCCGGACAGGCTCCGGCGGAACCGAGCAGGGAAGCATGGCTTGTTGTTGCACCGAGGGGGTGTATTGATTAGTACGCTGCGCTGCTACGTCGAGGCCGATGTCGCCACCCCTGTCTCAACCAGAGGCTTTTTTTTTTCCTTCTCTCTTCTTCTCTGGAGGTTCTAAAGGCGGCCAAGCCCAGGTAAGAAGATACACGGTAGCATTCCGAGATACACATCGTGCCGCTCCGTGTCAGCAGAAGTGTAATATTGGACACACCACGGAGCCGATCGACACAACAACCAAGTTGGCGCGAGTCGTCGACAGAAACTGGCCTAACAGGGGAAAATAAATAAATAAGACAATGCAGAGACTTAATCGCTCTGGAGGATGCAACACCTTTTTTTTTTTTCTGGGGGCAATATAAAACACGACTGCCTCACATGCGGCTTTGGGTAACCTTTGTCGCAGACGAGCGACGATGCAGATTGTGCCCGGAAATTACTGTATATGGGTATAAGGTGGATTGACATGGCGAGCAGATGCCATCTTCCGATGGCACTCCAAAGAGGAGATACAGACCCGGAAGTCTGTCAAAATTTGGCAGGGAGGTGGGAACACTTGTGCTAGCACCGCGTATGCATGGGACGCCTCTCAACCGTGTACCTTAGGCTAGGAGATGGTGCGGGTTTCTCGTAGACGTCCTGTATCCGTTGTTGGTAAACATCTGTAGGATAGAGCAATATATGCGACTGGATAGACTGCTCTTACGCAACGGAAATGAGGCTGGTCGAGGCGAATCAGGTATGCGTGTCTCCCTCGAGCGCGCGTTCTGTCGGGATCAAAGGTATGATTTGCGAATTCTCCTCTCATGATCTGCGGCAGGATACGACTTGTTGATCGGCCAGGCTCTCTCGGGTTACAGGGCGCTTGACGGGCTGCGAGGGACGCGTGGTTGCTTCGACTGCTACACAGTTAGAACACCTGTATGAGGTACTCGGTTGCTCCAGCAGGCCAGGACCCAAGACATCGGGGAGGGGAGTGGGAGGGGAGGGAACCGGAGGACTTGGTTCACGTAGTTGGGCGATTTCCATTTTGGGTAGCAGGAGAGAGACGGACGAGATATCGATGCAGACAAGCGGTCTCTCGGAGAGCTCTGGAACGACTTGGGCCAGCAATCGTAAGCTATCTGTTTACTAATGATATCGATTGGATTTTATATGAGGGGTATAATTGGCCGGGCGGTTCAGAGAGAAGAGGTGCTATGGATAAGACATCCGAATATCGGTACGAGACAAGTGGGCTTGAATTGCGTCGAAACGAGCAGGGTTAGGCTAGGTACCTACCTGTAGGTAGCTTCCACCTATGGAACCTCTTAACGTGATGTACCTGCGCATGGACTTCAATGCACGCAAGCACCGTGCCGCCTGCCTGTGTGCACTCCCGTCACTCACCAACCGTGGTATTAATAGCAGCGACTACAGGCAGTAGTCGTATACGCAGTACCTAGGTACATAGGCAGGTTACTTGCTTATGCTTGCGGTAGAGCAGTGGTGGCAGCAGCGGTTACCTAAGGTACCTGGTACCTAGTCGTATAGGTGGCAGTGCTACGCAGCTACCGTGAAGGTGGGCGACGTAGCTTGGGTAGGTAGGTAGGTAGGTAGGACGCTGGTGTGTCGCTAGGTAGGTACCTAATAGCCGACCTCTACCTCCTCGGTAGCTATTTGTACTCATGTACCAACAAGCCATAGACCGACCCGGCGTGGGAGCGGGCGTGGGCACCTTCCTGCTGGAAGTGGTCTCGATCGAACCGGTCGGCCGTTTTTTTAGCCCGACGACCTGGAGAACGGCCAATCAGGCTTGAGCGAATTACTGTTCCTGTCCCCACCTCCAAATACAGCAATTAATGTGGGCCGCTGCCCCTTCCTAGACCCCATGCCCCCACCCCCTGCGCGCGTCGGCCCAGCCAATCGCGTGCCGCTACCGCCCATCCCAGCTCTTGCGCTTGACATGTCCACGCTGAGGCATCGTGGATTAAAATGTCCGATGGGCACGAAGGCCGTTGTGGTACTCCGTATATAAGTGAGACTAGTGTCGGTGGCCACGCCGCCGCTTTGACTCCTTTTTATCTAATTTTCGAGAACTGACCTGGTTCTGTCGATGTGTTCGAACATTTCGATCGCTCTGGTTCCCGTGGGTCTTCTGTGTTGCCTCGGTCGTCCGAGGTAGGAAGAATGCTGTCGCGTCTGTTGGAGCGGTACTTCCCTCGAGGCTAGCATCAAAATACCGCTTCCTCTCCCACCGTCCCAACCCGTGTCCCCCCGTTCCCCCCTCCCCCGTGGCGGGAATACGCTAAGGAACCGCTAAACAGACAACTCGCGCCGCGAATCCTGTAACTCGTGTGTGCTGACCTAACCTAGCGGCCCCGACGGGAGAGCGCCAAGCTGGTTGTTGCCTCCGCACGCTAACGATACCCCGGAGGCTCTAAAACTGTGCTACGGGCTCAGTAGCACGGAGTATCTGTTAGGCGAGGAGGAGTATCTGAGGTATACCATCTGAGTATTAGGCGTTGGCATCTGACATCGATGCCATGTACCAGATATCGCCTGCACTCACGCATACTTCCCCTAACCGCGGCCCGTTATTCTGCTGCGTCTACGAACGTTGGGGTGGATGCTAACCGTGTGTAGCTGATGTATAATTGTAGGTACGTAGGCATGCGGAGCGCTTCCCCCATCTCCTCCCCCATCTCCTCCCCCCCTCTCTCTGCGTAGTTAGGAGTGAGGAGACAGTGCACCAACCCGTAGCGGCCATCACTTATCAATCAATCAGTAAGAGAGGCACGTCACGTTGGATTCAGCACGTTTCATTGCGGAGTCACGAACCAACAGGCTCAGCACCGTTTACACAGGAAATACCCCAGCTCGTCGCTCTTGTTTTCCCCGTCGCAGCGTTCGAATCGGGGAACGAGCATCGCTCTTTCGTATCATTCCGTAGAACACTGTGGGCCGAGGCAGACAGGAGGGAGAAAGAGAGGGAACGGCCCACGCGGCGACCATGACGTGGATCCGGATACACTACTGTACTCCAGTTTCCCCCTCCTTCCCCTCCAGCTGATGAGTGAGGGGCGCTTCCTATCAGCCGCACTGGAGCCGGACTGGCTACGCCAGGTTTTTCTTTTTTGGTGCTGTGAGTGTCGTGGAGCAGTAGCTCGTGTGCCACCGGACTGGAACGGCCGATGTGGCACGGGGGCCGTCGTGAGCTATAGCGAGGCTAACATGGTTAGTTGTTAGGGTGTATGTCGCCTAGGCTTTTGGGAGGCAAAACCTCGTGCGTTCCCGGTGTCCCGAAGGCGCCTGTCATTGCAGCCCTCAACGAACTTGCTATACGCGGCCAGGTACGGTTGCAGTGTTGCACACATGTGTGTAGACATGTATGCATGTGGGCGTGGTGTACATAAGACTGCCACACACCTGTTGTACCTAGATGCATACAGCGGGTATCACGTAGTCGTGTATGGAGCAGGTGCCTGGGATATGAGTGTTGATGGGTGATGAGTGATGCGTGATGCGTGAGAAGCCCGCCGGGAAGCCCACAGCGAACGTGAGGTTACGTTGGCAGGTAGGGCGCCGCCTGATGAGTTGCATCGGGACCCGCGCCAAGAAGGGCCTACTTTCATAGAAATCCTTGTCCTCTCAGGACGAGCACGGGAGGCATCCTAGGATACAGACGGCAAGACGGAACAGTAAGTGAGCATGGAGGGAGGCACGTTAATCAGGCGTGTAGATGCGTAGGCGAGTGAGTCGGCGGACGAAACTCGGCATCGCTAGCCCGGCGCCCGTGATAAAGTGACCCAAAATCCGGGCTAGAGTGGATGTTGTCGTTTCGACGTTGGCAGCGCGGCCGGACGGCGTCATGGCGTCACTTGACTATCGATTCTTCCCTCTACACGGGCTCCCGGGGTTATACGACGAAGGCTGGGGAGTCGGTCGTTATAACGGATGAATGAGCAACAGGCTAAGATGTAGGGAGCGGCAGGTTAGGAGGAGACAATGGCTCCCGCCGTCTTCGAAGACGTAGTAGAGTACGTGGGTTGGTAGGAGGTAGGCACATTAGAAGGTACCTAAGGGCAGAAGAGTCCGATAATAGGGAGGCCCACCTGGATCGTCTCCCTCTTCGACGGATCCCCAGCAGGGCTTCGTAGCGCAGCTGGTTCTTCAGGTAGGCAGCCCATGTGCCTTTTCCCAGGCAGAGCCCGGAAGAGTGCAATTGATCAATGCGGGGCGGAGCTAAGCCAGGTATTATAGTAGGGTAAAGCCCCCCCGGCGCTCACCAATGGCGTACTATCGAATTGGTTCTCTCACAGAAGTGCCTAACTAAGGTACTTGTACCAAGGCCAGCGCGGAAATATGGCCTACCTGGAGGTTAGGCACCTCACATACCCAATGTGGTATGTGATAACCTGTGCCAACCGCGGTCCTATACGTGAGGAGGTAGGCAGTTAGGTACGGCAGGTAGGTGGCAGAGATATTCGTTGATATACCTAGGTAGGTATAGAGGTAGGTATAGGTAGGTATACTAAGGTAGGTATGTTCAGCATAGCGCAGTCCCCCCTTTCCCCGCCATCTCCAACCCCAAGAAACGGCCCAAGTAGGTAAAGTTAGCACGTAATCATCATTAGTCACCTGGAGTAGAGATCGGGGTAGGCGTCCGATGTCTCGCGGTCCCCGAGATATCGTCTCGCAGTCCTTCTATACGCTCCCTCCTGCTCTCTGAGTGAAGCTGCTCAGGGGATGGTGTCTCCCTGCCTCTCTTGTTTTATTTTCTCGCTTTTTTCGGCGGGACGTCCGTCCCTCTCCCACCTACACCGATACGTGCACCCGCTATCCAGATTGGGCAGGGGTGTGCTACCGCCCATGACCAGGCCGGTGTGTTCTACGGAACGTGTGTAGGTACCTACGTAGGACCAGTAGCGCCGCGGATTGTCGGTATTGTACAATTAGAATCTCCAAGACATGGATGCTTCGGGTAGAGGTACAGGAGATAGAGGTGGGTCACGCGGAGGTACCTCAGTACGTTCCGTGCCTGGATGTACCGTGTACGCATGTACATAAAAGTCTTATGTGTTGCGTTGGGGTACGACGTAGCAGGTACGTGATCGTCCTAATAGTGGGTCCCTCGACTTGAACCGCACTGGCAAGTGCCCACCCAGTTGAGCCAGCTTTACCCCACAATGCTGCTGGCCCTGCTGGTCCAAACGCACAGGGACCCACAAGGGTTTGCAGGGAAAGGGCAATGGCAGCGGACGGGGGGGGAAGGGGAGACTGGGGGGGGCCTAGAGACTGGGGGAGCAAGTGCGACTCGTCTCCTGGGCAAGTCGACGCTTCCCATTCACTCACCTGCAGGCAGATTTCTCTTCCATTTTGACAAGGGCAGACCTGTGGACGTTTATCTAACCGGTTGTACCCCCCCCCCCCCCCCCTTAGTTACACTGCCTGACCTGACAGACAACCTCGAACCTCTTCTTCCCCCAACTCGCACTCACCACTCACCGTCCATCATTCATCTGTCCGTCCAGACTCGAGCCTGTCCCCTTTCTCCCCCTCCCCGCGGAAAGATAGGCCCCTTCGCATCGCATCGCAATCCCTTGCTCCTTTGTGTCATGATATAGTCTAGAGTCCTGTTCGCGCTCTTCTCCTCTTATACCCGGCCCGCTGAGGGCAGCATCGAAATATCCGGTCGCGCCGGGCCGAGTCAGTTGCTGGTTAGCATTCTGTGCGCTAGAGAGTACTAGAAAGAAGCAGAACCCTCCGGCGGTTAAGTAGTAACGCTGGCGCTGTTGATCTCTTCCCTCTTCCTCGATCCTCAGGGTCACCGAATTCCCGAGATGTCACCTACTCAATCTCAGCTTAACACGCAGTCCTTTTCACCCCGGGATGTTGCCGGCTCTCAATCGCTCGTGAATGTGAAATCGGAATCTCAGCTGAATACGACCGACCCGGCCGACTTAAACGGGTTCTCCTTGGACACTCATCACAACGCTCTTTCGAACGGGGTCGCCTCGCACAGTCTGATCGACACGCAATTCTCCGATTTTCAATTTCCATTTCAGGACATGTCTGATGCTGGCCAGATGGTCGCGTTGGGCGACCATTCCGATGACTTATTCGCCACGCTCGGCCACAGCTCAATCCCGTCGATGGGCGAGCGAAAGGATTCCGCCGCCTCGGGTCCCCACAGCGCCACCTACACAATGATCGACCATGCGCACAACAGCCAGCGTAGCATTGATGGATCCGATGGTGGGAGCCCGGAGAGCGCCCAGGTCGGTTCGAATTCTCTCGAGGACAACATGTCCGACGAATTCGGGCTCTCCGCGGGCGCGCCCGGTGACGGTACTGACCTTGGAGGGAAGCTGAAGGAGAGCAAGTCCGATCCCGCACCAGCCTGGAGCGAGCTGAAGACGAAGGCGGGGAAGGAGAGGAAACGATTGCCTCTGGCGTGCATCGCATGTCGGAGGAAGAAGATACGTTGTTCGGGAGAGAAACCGGCGTGCAAGCACTGCCTGCGGTCCCGGATTCCCTGCGTTTATAAGGTTACGACGCGGAAAGCCGCCCCGAGGACCGATTACATGGCCATGTTAGATAAGCGGCTGAAGAGGATGGAGGACAGGATTATCAAGCTCGTGCCCAAGTCAGAGCAGGATACGTCGGTCAATACCGTCGTCCGTGGCATCGTCAAGCCTGCCATCCCCGGAACTCTCCCCACGGGAAAACAGACGACGAAGAAGCGAGGGGCCGAGGAGGCTTTCGGCGCCGAACTAGATAGTTGGGCCCGGAGCGGCTCCAAGGTTAGGGTGGAGGCTCCGGGCAAACCAACATCGTTGCAAGTGCAAGAAGCAGAAGAGAGCAAGCTGCTATACGAAGGCGCCGAGGCTTTGCCGCCGAAAGATCTTCAGGAGCACCTAGCGGACGTATACTTCGAAAATATTTACGGTCAAGCCTACCATCTCCTCCACAAACCAAGTTTTATGAGGAAGCTGAAGTGCGTCAACTCTCTCTGACCCCCCTCCATATACCTCATCTTGTGACTTGTGCTGATTTGTGCCAACAGAGCTGGCACCTTACCCCCGGTATTAATTCTCTCCGTCTGCGCGGTTTCTGCCCGGTTCTCTACCCATCCGAAGTTCTCCACGGCCAATAATTTTCTTCGGGGAGAGGAATGGGCGGCCCCGGCTCGGGAGATCGTGATGAGACGCTACGAATGGCCCAACATCACGATCCTGACCTGCCTGCTGCTTCTTGGCTTGCACGAATTCGGCACGTGCCATGGAGGACGGAGCTGGTCGCTAGGCGGTCAGGCTATCCGCATGGCGTTTGCGCTGCAATTGCATAAGGATTTGGAGTACGACCCCATGCGAGTCAACCCAACTAAGCAGCTTAGCTTCATCGATCGCGAGATACGAAGACGTACGATGTGGGCTTGTTTCCTTATGGACCGTTTTAATTCCTCGGGCACGGATCGGCCTATGTTCGTCAAGGAAGAAACCGTGAAGATACAGCTGCCCATCAAGGAGAAGCTTTTCCAGCTTGACATGCCTGGCCCTACCGAAGATCTACAGGGACAAATCCCCCATCCCGTGCCCCCTGATGAAGGTCAACTCTCCAACGCCAAAGACAACATGGGTGTAGCTGCCTACATGGTACGCAGCATCGCTCTATGGGGGAGAATTATCAATTTTCTGAACCAGGGAGGCAAGGACTTGGATGAGCGCCCGATGTGGGAAAGCGATTCCGAGTATTCCCGACTACTTAAGCAAGCTGAGGATTTCGTCGAGAACCTGCCAGACGGCTTGAAATACAGCGCAGAAAACCTCCACCTGCACCAAACCGAAGGGATGGCTAATCAGTTTCTGTTTCTACACATATCGATACAACAGAACGTTCTCTTCATGAATAGATTCGCTGTATCATCCCCGGGCGGTTTGCTGAACACCGACGTACCCAAGACTTTTATCACGCAAGCGGGAGCGAAGGCATTTGCTGCCGCTAACAGGATATCCGAGCTGCTCAAAGACGCGGAGCATTACATGATCGGGGCGCCTTTCGTAGGGTACTGCGCCTTCCTGTCTAGTACCGTGCATATCTTTGGCATCTTCTCCGGGAATTCCGCCGTTGAGACTGCAGCCAAAAAGAACCTGGCGACAAATGTCAAGTTTCTCTCGAAGATGAAGCGCTACTGGGGAATGTTCCATTTTATGGCAGAAAACCTCCGCGAGCAGTACAAGACGTGCGCAGACGCGGCGCGACAAGGGACGCCAGCCAACGATAACTCGGCAGCGTCACCTATCTTCCAATACGGAGATTGGTTTGACCGATATCCACACGGCGTATCGCAATCCGAATTCGTCGAACCGGCCTCCTTCAAGAAGAAGGAAACGGGCGAGGATGCGGTGCTCGAGCAGAAGCCCGAATTACATACAGTCGAAGAGTTTTTCACGCAGCTCTCACCCCCGCAGAGCGCGGGCGAGGGTCGCGAGAATGCCGGGCCAAATAGGCCATCCCTGATGAAGCGCAAGCCGACAGCGAAGAGGGGTAGCATTTCGTCGCGTGGCGAGCAGCAGCAGCTCGAGCCCCTCCTCACCGATATAAACTGCGCTAGCATACCCGAACAAATCCAGCGCATCCAGCAGGCGCACCAACAGCGAGCGCAGCGCAACTATTCCCGCCTAGGCGGGCAAACCAGTGGGCCGACCTCCTTCCACCCCAATCTAATCGCACACGCACGCTCACAGAACGCAGCAGCGAACTACCACGCCCTGTCACCGGTCAGTCCTGTCTCCGTCGGTGGCTACCAACGCGGCCACGGACATCAACACCCTGCCTTCTATAACCCCGAATTGCTTTCCCTGTCCCTTTCGAATCACGCGGGGATACTGCCGCAGCTCGATCGGCAGCTCGTATTCAACGCGTACGGGGGAATGGATCCGTCGACGATTAGCGGGCCCGAGGCGCTCATGGACTGGGACGCGCTAGCTGGGAATGGGGCCGGGACAAACGGTGGCCACGGTGCGAACGGGTCGAATGGTGCGTCGAGCGAGGACCAAGAGGGCTTACCTGCAGGGTTCGTCGCCGAGCCCTCGTCTGCGTGGTTCATGCCGTTCAATATGGAACCGCCAGAGCTGGGAGATTTGGGTGGTATGGGCGGTATAGACGGGTTCGGGATGTTTAGTCCCGGCGGTATGCATACCGCGGGAGCCAGTCTCGGTTTGCGAAGAGGCGGCCGATGAGGCACCTAGGCGTAGGCTTCGAGGCTGCACGTCCGATCTCGTTGGCGGGTAGGGAACCGGGCCGCGAGGACGAGACTCGCTCGATCGGGCGGTAAGGCTGTGCTACGACGACGCACCACTTCACGTTGAACATCCGACGGACTTTCCTTCGCCGGATGGCCACGCTGCCCTACCTACCTACCTGCCTACCTACCTACAATCCTTGGAGTATATCCCTGTTCTTCGAGAGGGCATAGGTGCCATTGCCGGTTTCTGTTCTATCAACGAGGACGAGGTATTAGGGCACACGTACCCTTCTTCTCTTTGTATATTTTTATTGTACCGGGTGAAGCTGTATCGGGACTGCTCTTTCGACCGAACGGGTTTTTCGACGACCTACGGCGCAGGAGGGAACCGATGCCAGAGTCTCGGGGCTCGATTGGCGGGATAGCAGGGGCGGGAAATTGGAAAAGGGCGCCGGCATACTCGACGTTGGGTGCACAGCTAGCACCGCGTTCGTTCGCTGTTTTCCACACAAGTGTTCATATTCGGCGTTTGCCTATCTCGGGAATCGGCGAAGGAGAAGGGGGAGCAGTATGTTTCTCTAGTCATACTCCTTTGTTCTGCTTTCATACGTTCCAATGTCGTCGTTGTCGTTATCGTTATCACTGCTACCGTATACCGTTGGGGTTGGCCCGAGGGTTTGGAGGGTGGGGACAGGCAGGGTGGTAAATCGTGGGGTTGCTGATGGTGCTATCGATTTTGTCGGTTTTGTCGTCGTCGTCGTCGTTGTCGAATCTATCGAACAGGATACCACTTCTCATATACATGTAGGGAGGAGTACTAGCATGACGGGATATATAGAAATGACCGTGATGACTCAAACGAAGGGAGGAGGGAAGGGAGGCAGGGAGAAGGACGGAGATGAAATAAACAAGGAGTTAAATCTGAGATCGGTCTTGGAAGTGTGAAGACGGCTTGAAGCAAGTATGTATGCATGATGTATATGTATAGTTGTAGGTGGGATCGTGGACGAAGAACGGATGGACGTTGTATCGTAAGTACGTATATACATGCATATATACCTGCTCGACCACGACCACGGCTCTGGTTCGGGGGAGGGATGCGGCTGGTCGCCTGGTTTTATGTTGGTTTGCTCGCGCTCAGGTTGTCGTAGGGTTGTCGTGGTGCGGTGGCGCGGTCGCGGCGCGGTGCGGGTTGCGGTGGACGGTTTTCGCCAGGTCGGGTTGCTGCGGATGGTACGATGTCTGGAGCCCCATGGCACCACGGGCGCGCGGTTTTCCCTTTATCCAACCTACCGAATTTTTTTTGGTCTCCCTTGGGAAAAAAAAGACCCCCCGAACCTTTTCCCTCCCTTGCTCCCACCGGCCAAGGTAATATATACGCGTAGGCACGGTAGGCGAGGTCCAGTAGGTTGGGAAATCAGATGTGCCGAAGACGCCAGGCTTCCCTTGCGCCGTTAGCTTACGAGGTTAGCTGGGCTAATCACTGAATCACTGACTGCCTTTACGGCGGCCATCGCCGGGAGTGGAGCAGCACGAGAGACGAACAGGAGACAATAGCTTTTTTTTTTTTGCACGTGTTAGATACCTATGTGTTTGTGTAGGCTAGATGGATACCTACGTGCGCGCAAGGGAGAGAGACACAAACAGGGTCGAAACCGGCGACACGGGAAGAACATGATACCTAGGCATGGCGACGGGCAGACGGGACCTGCTAGGCGCGCCTGGCCGACATGGTTCGGGGGCCCTCTCGCATTATTGCGCCTTCTAGCCTGCCCCCCTATGGCCTAGGTAAGGGTGATGCCGTGGGAGGTCTGTCTGTCTGTCTGTCTGCCCATCCAGCAGCCCCCCCTCGGCGCACTCCCACCCTGGCCGGGGGGTGGAAGCCCAGGGCCGCTACTATCTACCGAGACGCTCTGCCGAAAGGGGGCTACCCGCGTTCGTGTCATGCACCCACCTCCGCCTGCGCCTCCTTCTCCTTCCCCTTCCTGCTCACCCTAGACCGCTTGCGTTTCTTCTTGGAGGCGCCGCCTTCGATTGCGTTGCCGTTGGCTACCCGCTCGGCAGATGGATAGTGATCGTCTGCGTGCTGATGGTGCTGGTGGCGTACCCGCGCCTGCGCCTGCGCCTCCGCCGGCGGCCCGGGATCGAACGCCGGGGGCTCCCTCTCGAACTCCGGGCCGAACACCTCCCTGCGCCACTGCCGCAGCCGCGCCTTCTTCCCCAGCCGCTTGCGGTCCTTCGCCTGCTTGTCCGCCGGCCGGAAGTGCGCCAGCTTCTTCAGCCCCGCGAACTCGTTGAGCGCCGCGTCCGACGCCATCAGGATGTCCCGCGTCGTCAGCCCGAACGACTCCGCCTTCGTCTCCCGGTACGCGAACCGCGCCCGCCCCGCCCGCCCCGACGAGCTGCCCGCCAGCACCTCCGGGTCGTCCATGCTCATCTTCGCGTCGACGAACGCCTCCAGCTTCGCGCGCTCCCGCCGCACTGCCTGCTGGCTCTCGAGCTTTGCCCTCTTCCGCTCCTTGCTGGTCTTGGCCCGCTTCGCTGCCGGCGCATCCTCGTCGTCGTCGTCGTCGCTCTTCTCCGGGTCTTGTTCGTCGTCGGTGAGCGTGATGTTGGGGCGCTCCTCGTCGTCAAAGTCGGGAATTAAATCTTTGATATCGATGTCGTCGTCCCATTTCGGTTTCTTGATCTTGCGCTTCTTAGAAGCGGCCTTGCCCTCGCCCTCGTCGCCGGAAACGTCCTCGGCCGCGGCGTAATACTGATCGTCGAAGGTCTTCTTAAGTTGCTCCTCCCACTTGTCGTTCTCCCACGCATCCTCGAGTAGATTCTGCCATTCCTCGTCCCTCAGGGTCTTGCCGGATAGCCCCGCCGCTTTCTTGATCTTTTGTAGCTTGCTCTCGGCCTCTTCGAGCTTGAGACGGCGTAGCCGCGCCCGCTCCTCCTTCCTCTTTCGCTTTTCCTCCTCCTTCTCCTCGCGTTCAATCTCACGTTGCCGCTTTCGCGACGTCTTGTCCTCTCGTCTGACCGAGCGGGCAGCGGCCACGTCACGGGCGTAGGACTTCAATACTTCATTGCTCTTGTGAGGGTCCTCGAAACGCAGATTGTATGCCGCTTCCCACTCGTCTGCCTTCTCGTCTTCGCCGTCGTCGGATTCAAACGCTTGCCACTCAGTACCGTCATCTGGCACCCAGGCGCGAGAGGCCATGAAATTTGATAGGAATAGTTCAGGGTCCTTGTCCGCATCGGCGACGCTAGGCTTTGCGACCTGAACTTTCGCAGCTCTCGAAGGGTGAACGCCGTTCTCGGGTACATATCTCGTTTCCTCTTTAGCCTTCATGAAATCTTGATCGCCGTCGCTCTCCTCGCTCTCGCCGTCGCCTTGTAATTGTGCTTGTATTTCGTCTTTGATAGATTGTTTTAAATCGTCTTGCTCTTGAGTGTAGGTCCGCGGGGGTTCGGGCTCGTCGTCGAAATCAGCTCCGGTGTCTCCCCGCATAATCTTCTCCCGGTGGTAATCCTGCAAGAAAACGGGCTTCTCTTTCTTTTGCTTTGCCGCAGCCTCCTCTCCGGCGGCGCCTTCGGTAATCGGCTTATAGAAACTGGTCTTGCCATCGTATACACGCGGGTCTTTACTCTTGATCGCCCGAAGCGTAGCCGATATCTGGACGTCGAGATCTTCAGTTGCCAAGAAGCCGTCTTCGTCTTCGGTTTCGTCCGACTCGGAATCCGACTCGTCACCAACATCGTCGTCTTCATTCGGCTTATCCCCGTTGGTTGGCTTTGACTTGTATTTCTCCTCCACTAGAATCGGCGAAATTAGCTCGGCTAGCCCCGAATCTACAATGTAAGACGGAGGAGGGTCACCAACATCTCTGCCGCTCCTCCCGCTTCTTGTTATGCTCGAATCGTTTGGCGTAATCGGTGTTGATTTGAAGTTGAACACCGCCATCCGATTCATCGTCGCTGTCGTCGAACAGGCTCTCCTTCCGGGTGTCGGAAGCAGCCATCTTGAATTGGCCGGCGAAGGAGTCTTTCGGTTTAGCCGCAGGTTTCACTTGAATAGCTTACAACGAAAGAATGGATAGCAACGAGGAATGAAGGTAGTGTGAAAAATGGCCGCGATAGTGGCAGACTTGCGGTTCGCGGTTATAGCGGCCGGGCTAAATTCCTCTTTTTTTTTTTTTCCTACCGCGTCTCGTTCTCAACGATGGAGGGGACCCGATAAGATAAGCTGCCCTCTCAGGCGTTTCCGTGCATCCCGAGCAATGGGGTCAGGTATTCAGGTGGCTGCATAAATTTATGACCTACAACGGATGGTGTTCCGTTGGCTTATTGTTATTGTCTGTATGAGTACCTACACGTACGTTAGGTACGTACGTTAGGTACATACGTAGACCGCATAACGGAACAATGCGGTATAACGTTCAGTATAATTAATGCGGCGCATCCAGTCATTAACGCATACTACCATAAAGGGTACATGTATAGGAGGTACCTGGGGTACCTAATGTAGGCACCTAAGATACCGCTGCGGTCCTATGTCAAATGTACATATGTGGATGTATCGTTTTCGGATGGGGGCGGGCCTCCCCCAGCGTCGTCATTTCTGATTCGATATGGAATGTTACCCATCTGCCTACTTACGTCTACAGCCATCCATGACTGCTAACCTCCGAATATTAAGACTTGACCACCCTCCTACCTACCGACCATTGCATGCGCCGTTGCTTGCGATTCATCATAGTCTATCCACGAACCTCTCCCGATAATTCCCCCGTTCCCTTCCAGACGGGGCACAGCGCCATTCGAACCCTATTCCCCTCGAACTGACCGTAGAAGATGGCCGACTCGAATGCTCCGAAGCCGAGCAGCAGCGTCAAACTAGTGCTGCTGGGTGAGGCAGCTGTGGGCAAGGTAAAATATGCTTTCTCCCCAGGGCCCGACCGCGAGATTACAATCCTAACATGTCTGTGATAGTCGTCGCTCGTCTTGCGATTCGTCAACAATGACTTCCAGGAGAACAAGGAGCCTACTATTGGCGGTAGGTGACCCTATTTCGGCCCCCGGTCGTTGTACCGTATCGCTAAACCCGCCTGCTACAGCCGCCTTCTTAACCCAGAAATGCAACCTCCCAACGAGGACGATCAAATTTGAGATCTGGGATACGGCGGGCCAGGAGCGCTTCGCCTCGTTAGCCCCCATGTATTACCGAAACGCCCAAGCCGCGCTCGTCGTCTACGACCTCACCAAGCCCACGTCCCTGATCAAAGCCAAACACTGGGTTGCCGAGCTGCAGAGGCAGGCGTCTCCGGGCATTGTGATTGCCCTGGTCGGCAACAAGCTCGACCTTACCAACGACGGCGAGTCCGGTCCTGCCGCCGAGGGCGAGGGGGTCGATGGCGAGGATTCCGGAGACGCCCGGAAGATCTCCACAGAAGAGGCAAAGTCGTACGCCGAGGAGGAGAGCTTGTTATTTTTCGAGACGAGCGCGAAGACGGGCTACAACGTCACGGAGGTGTTTACCGCGATCGCGAATGCCATCCCCGAGACGTCGCTGAAGAGCCAGAGGGGTCCCGGAGCTGCCGCCGGGGCCAGTCGAGGCGAGGAACAGAGGGTGAACCTCAACGGCCCTCGGGATTCGGCAAAGGAAGGCTGTGCGTGTTGATTTTGCGGTGGGGATAAGGAGGGGGGGGGGGGGGGAGGCTTGCGGATGAGACAGTTACCCGTCACCCGTGGGCGTGACGGCAATTTCGCTTTGTAATACGGAGTGACGGTTCATTGGGATTTGATATCTGGAATGCTTTCGACGAGTGGATTCTCCTTTGTTTCTCTGCCACTCCTGATATTTCCGTGCCGCTTGACACTGCTAGTGGCACCTGAGAAGCAAGCTGATAGTTGCCGCGAGGAAATGACGGGGTGCGGGCGCGTTGGAAGAGTGGTATACGATTCGGCTGTAACGTTCTGTAACGCCTCGCCGCAATTCCTTGGGGGTGGGTTGCTGGGTTGCTGCTTGTTCGATTACTACGAGGTAGGTATGTAGAGGTAGAATTACAACGTATTGTTAGGTAGAGTTAACAACCGACGTATCCACGCCTTTACATACCTACTGTAGCCATCTAAGGAACGGGTGAATAGTTAATTGAATTATAGTTATCTACGTAGCCTTTTAGAGCCGTTTTACGTGCCTTTTATATCCCGATTAGCCCTCGCTAGGGTAGGGCTTACCCTATGGCTATACGTAACCGATTACGTACTTACGCGCTTATACGCCTTCTTAGCCTAAGTAAGGCTATCGTTAGGCTCTTAAATAACGTAAGGCTTTGATTCCGTGGTGTTTTTCCTTATTTCTTTATCTATATATTTATTTCGTTTAAGGCTATTACGGGTTCTTTAGATATAGTAACTTAATAAATCTTTAATATTCCTTCGCTTTTAAGGGCTTCGTAAGTTTATTAGCCGCGTTTTTAACTAATAGTACGTATTTTAGCTTAACGTATCCTTCTTTTACCTTTTATCTTACGTAGTAATAATTCTTTCGGATATGCCGCTTTTATTTATTTATCGCGGTTTCCTTTACTTACGTATTCGCCGTCGTATTATCGTATCGTAAGGTAATAAGGCCTACGGATATTACGCTTAATTCGGTAAGGAAATTACGTATTTACGCGGTATTTACTACCGCCGTCGATAAGGCTATATACTTAGCTTCTTCCGAGCTTCGCGCGACTACCGACTAAAGCTTCGATATTTATACGATCGGGGCTCCTACTATAAAGAATACGTAACTACTCGTTAACTTAGCTATGGAAATATTTCTCGCGTAGTTCGAGTTTACGTAGCCGTAAAGACTTATTTCGTTATACTTTTTATAAGGATAATTTTCGTTTAATTACCGATACCGGATCCCTTGGCTTACCGTTCCTTTAAGATATCGCATTACGTGCTTAATTCCCGTTTAATGCTCTTATAAGGTGTTCCGTAAGCATGTACCCCTAGTGGGAACCACCTAGCTTACCTAAGCTAGCTGAGCACTACTATATGTACCTATAGATCGCTCTATACTCTCTAGTAGCTTTCCTTCTTTTCTAGTTAGTTAATATATACCTTCTTACCCTCATTCCATTACTCTCTTTACGAATAACCTATTAACCTAAGCTTAGCTCTTATAATGGGCTATGCCTATAGTAGGGCCCTGGCTAGTGCCAGGGCTTAGTACGTGATTAGTACCTACGGCGGATAAGGCTAGCTGTCGTAAGTGCGGCCTATAGGGCATACTTTCTTCCTTTTTTTCCTCGTTTAGCTTTAGTTTATTATTATACGGCTTTTACCTAGCGAATAGCTCTTAAAACCGTGACAAAAAGCTAAACTAACCTTCTTTTATCGTTTTACGGAAGTAGTAGTATCTTAGCGAACGGAATTAGTAATAGGAACGGCGATGTAGCCCTTAGAGAAGCGGTACTAAGCTAGTAGTCGGAAAGGCGGTATTAGCTTTTGGATATACGCGCCGGTAGTACCTACGAAAGAAAACCGACGAAAGGCGACGATAGTAGTAGTATCTTAACGAGCGGGATTAGCAATAGGAAAGGCGATATTAGTACTTACGCCGGTTAAGTTAGTAATCGGAAAGGCGGTATTAGCTTTTAGATATACGCGCTGGTAGTACCTACGGACGAGGACCGATAAGATAACCGAAGAAACGACCGATAACCCGAGAAAACGTAGATTTAAACGGTAATTTTAAAATAAGAACGACGAAAAATACGGCTAAAAACGGCGGAAAATTTTTTTCCGGAGAAAGATGGTAGAGCGCTGGAGCATAGCGTTCGTCGACGAGTTAAGAACGCCCGAGGCGTAATATAAGGAAGGAACGGCGTTAGAATAGCGACGAAACGATAGGTTACGCTAGGATAATAGGATAATAGTACTTCGATAAAGGCGCTAGCGGCGCTAGTAGTAGACGAGAGGGCGCGCCTTCGCGCGCTCTTAGGCGGAGTCCTTAGCTCCGCTAGCGGTATACGATAAACGATAGTCTTTAAACGAATAGGGACGGCGTGCCTTAGTACGTTCCCCGGCGGAGCCTCGCGGTTCCGCTAGTAGTACGGATAGGCCCCTAGCCTTTAAACGGAAGGATAGGCCCCTGGCCTTTAAACGGTAGGAGAGGCCTAGGCCTTTTAGTAGTAGACGGGAGAGCGCGCCTTAGTACGCTCTTAGGCGGAGCCCTTAGCTCCGCTAGCGGAAGATAGACGAGGGTCTTTAAACGGCGGTAAACGGACCGACGATTCCGTGGCTACGGGAGCTAGGCTAGACCTAGTAAGCGCCTTATAATAGCGACTTCGTACGTAGGGCTTTAAAGCTTTACGGTTTAATAGGAGGATCGGGACTAGTAGCCCCCGGGGAATAGTAATACCCCGGGGAACGAAAATAGTAGCCTGGGAAGCGGATAACGTAACCCGGGAGACGGAAACGGCGGCCTTAGGGGAATAGTATACCGGGGGATTAGATAATACCCGGAGCGCCGGTAATACCCTAGGAGGAGGAGGATAAGGAGGGAGAGGAGGAGATCTCGGGGAAGAATAGGACCCGGGGGAAGAGCGCCGGGGGGCTAGAGGCGCCCGGCGTAGTACCCCGGGAAACGAAAGGCCCCGGGAAGGAAACGGAGGAAGAGGAGGAGACCCTAGGGTATAGTATAACCGCCGGGAAGGAAAAGGAGAATAAGGCTATACCCGGGGGGCATTAATACCCCGGGAAACGTACGAACGGAAGGAGGCCTAGGGATATATTAGTACCTTAGGTAGCGGAATTAGTAACCCGGGGAACGAGTAGCGTATCCCGGGGAACGGAGGTAGCACTTAAGGATGCGGTACGTATCCTAAGGCGCGCGGAAAAAAACGGGTTAGGTTATTAGGGCTAAACGCCGAAGAAAAGGGCGGCAGGGCGTACTTTTTTTTTCCGGAAGAGGACCTTATATAATAGGCTATGCCTATAGTAAGGCCCTAGCTAATATTAAGGCTTAGTACGTAATTAATACCTACGGCGGATAAGGCTAGCTATCGTAAGTGCGGTTTATAGGGTATACTTTCTTTCTTTTTCTCCTCGTTTAGCTTTAGTTTATTATCATACGGCTTTTACCCAGCGAATAGCTCTTAAAACCGTAATAGTTCTCGCTAGCTACGTAATAGTTATAAGTCCGGGGTACTTTTAAGGAGCTATTATTACTTAGGTTATTCTAGCGTAAGTAAGTAATATATTTATTTATTTTTTAGATCTTACGATCGTACTTCCTTTTTATTTCCATACCTGTTATATAGAGAGCCACTTATATATGGCTCCTTACTCCTTCTCGAGTTGCTCGCTTACCTAATATAGCTCCTAGCTCGCTTATGTAATATAGCTCGTAGCTCCTTATCGTTTATATATAGGTAGCTCGTATCTCCTTTGTTGATCTCCTTTCTTCTTAGATAGTTAGTTAATTTACCTTTTTCTTCCTACCTTTCGTTACTTCTAAGAAGTAACCTTAGTATCTACGTAGCTCTTTTAATCTACGTATTAATTATAAGCCCGGTAGCCCTTCTAAGGAGTTAAGTTAACTAAGGTCTTATTATATAAGCTTCCGAGTAATCTTATTATTTATTTCTATCTCTTTAATCTCTCGATTAATCGTTTTTCTTTTAAATATCGCTTTCGTTTTCTTCTCGAGTAATATATTTATAGTAATAACGGGTACTAGCGGAAACTTCTTTATTAAGAAGCTATTTATTAATATTAACCTACGTAACTTCGACGAATATTTACGATAGTTTATTACTTTTTAAAATTACGCCGAGTAATTCGATATTTAGAAGGATGTTAATCTTAATGTAAACGATTATAAGCTAAGCTCGGCGATACTTCTATCGCTCGAAGAATTTATTACTTAGGAAAAGGAGCGAACGAGGAAGTAATACCTTTAAGCTTTTTACGAATAGGTCGAAAAAGATCCTAAGACTCGTAGGGAGGAGCCGAAAGCTTTAATTAAAAACCCGCGCTACCTTTTTATCGAAGAGTATAAGTAATTATTCGAATAAAGTCGCTCTTAGGAATCTTAAGTTATTATCGCCGGTAAAAGTTACCGAGCTTTTTATTATTAAATTATATCCTCGGTCTTTATTAATTATTTCGAGTTCGTCGGTATATAACTTAAAGCTTAAGAACTTAAACCGAACGTTTAGAATACCGTAAGATTATTCCGCGATTATTTCGCTCTTACCTTTATTATTATGTAAACGCTCGTTCGCTAGGAATACCGCGAGGTCTTATAAAAGGTAAAGGCGGGTATTTTCTACGGAAAGTAATTCTTTACTACTTAGAATAACGCTTATTACCGAGCTTTCGCTTACGACATTAACGAAATCCGAGGCGTACTCGAAGCAAAGGACTTCCTCGAAGTTATTAAAGCTAAAATCGCTTTAGATTAAGCTATTCGCGTAATTATTAAATTAATTACGGCGGACCGGCTTAAACGATAGCTATTTTTCCTTATAAAATTAAGTAAAATACTCGGAGCTTTTATTTCCGAGGATAAGAAGATAGGTAAATTAGGTCTTTATATTTTAGCTACGTATTAAAGAGTTACTTTAGGATATAAAGCCGGAGCGATTAACGTTAGTAGCTTTAGTAGCTTTAATAGCTCGACCGATAACGCTAGAGCTAATAAGTATTTATATAATAAATAATACCGTTAAGCTCCGGAAATATACGTTAACTTTTAATTCGCTATTACCGGTAAAACGCTACGATAAATCTTATATATACCCGACGACGTAAAATTAATTATTAAATAGCGGTATAACTTAAGCGACTTTGCTTTATTCCGAGTCTTTATTAAGAGCGACGGATAAAAGGTTACCGCTCTTAATTAAGGTAGCTCCTCCGGAACTAACCTACCTCGGAATAAGCGTAATAAAAATAATAAGTAATCCGGTAATATTAACGTAACGATAATCGATTTATATATTATTTATATAACCTTTAGCGTAGGGATATTTTCTACTATGGATTTAATACGATACTTCCTTTCCGAAAGTATTATCTTCGATAACTACGGAACTATTTACTTTATTAATAACCGGGATTTATTAATCGAAGGCTTCTTCGCTTC